GCAGGAGGAGGGGGGGGGCGAGGGGTTGCAGCAGGGACAGCAGAACCAGCGGCGGCGGCCCTGGCACCACTCCCTGAAGCCTCACCCCTTCTGGGTGGGGAAACTGCATGGGCGTGAGGTCCAAGGACGTCTGCCACGAGCCAAGGAAGAGGACGAGGAGAAGGAGGAAGAGAAACAGTGGCAGGCGAATCTGCAAGAGGAGGAAGAGGATGATGAGGATGGGATTTGTGCTTTCTCGCTTTGCCCAGGAGTTCTGAGGATCTCGATCCGCAAGGGGCCCTCTCTCTCCCTGTCCCCTGTCAGCGCCGCGGGGGGGCGCGAACGCAGGGGGCTCTACGCTGGGCTGATGATCACCGAGGCGCTCGGGCAGGAAGGCAAGGAACGCTTTGTGGGCAACCGTCGGGTTTGGCAGGGTCGCGCCGCGTCGACTCTGCGGCGACGCCGGCGCGGGCGCTCAAGGCTTGAAGTTTGAAGGCCAACGGCGCCTTGGACCAAGCCAGCTTTGAAGCATATCGGCTGCTCGATAGCGTAGATCGCACAGGTTTTACCGATCTACGCGGTCTCACAAGCCAGCGTCCGCGTCGACACGACGGGAACCCGCTGCAGCTGATGTTGGGGGCTGAGACAGAAGTGAAACGGAGTCGCCCAATCGGGAGACAGTTTTTTTAGGGTCCGCCGATTATCCGGGTTATCGGGCCCTCCCCCCTCCTTCCCCCGGGATAACCTGGCCTTGTCGGTTGCGCAGGGCGTACGTGGGGCTGCCCGAAGCGGTGCGGCGGGGTGCAGGGTGGGCGCAATACTGGTGCGCGCGGGCATAAGTGGGGCTGCCCGAAGCGGTAATGCTAGGTTATCGGCGGGCCCTCCCCCCCGGATAACCCGGGTTATCGCCGCGAGTAAAACATGCTTTCCAACCAGCCGTCGGTTTCGATTTCGGTTTGTGTCGTGCGTGCGGGCGAGGCCAAGCAGCTCGAGTTCCTGCAGTGGCTAGGCCAGAGTTGCGCCAAGATTTAGTCGCCCTGTCGTCAGGGGCGTGCGGCGGGGTTGTCCCGCTGTTGTCCCACGGTTGTCCCGTGGTTGTCCCGTGGTGTGCGCGGGGGTATCCCACGATAGTCTCGCGGTTGTCCCGTGTTTGTCCCGTGGTTGTTACGCGGTTGGCCCGTGACTGTCCTGTGGTTGTCCCAATGGTTGTCCTGTGGTTGTCCCACAATTGTCCCGTGGCTGTCCCTTAGATAGGTGGAACGTGAGACCGACCGATCAACAGTTTTGTGCCACAAATGACATAGTATATCTAGAGATCGTATATCGGTATATGGATATATGGTGACGATAAGTAGTGAGACCGATGTACAAATTGATAGTGAGATGGATCGCCGCGTGGTTCAAAAATGGTTGTCCCGCGGTTGTCCCGTGGTTGTTCCGTTGTTGTTCCCGTGGTTGTCCCGTGGTAGCCCCGCTGTTTTTCTGTTGTTGTCCCGTGGCCGTCCCGCGTTTGTCCTGTGGTTGTGAGTGGTTGTCCCGTGGTTGTGCCGTAGTTGTCCCATGGTTGTCCCGAGGTTTCCCCTTAGCCGTCTGGTGGTTGTCCCGTGGTTGTCCAGTGTATGTCCCTTGGCTGTCTTGCGGTTGTCCCGCGGTAGTCCCGTGTTTCTCCAGTGTATATGTGGATAGATCGTAAAATCGATATATCCGTGGTGGTATCGATGTACACACCGTGAGGCCGACATGTAGGGAGGTCGAATCTATGGATGTGTACGTAGATGCCGAGACCGACACACACACACACATAGAATTCGCGAACCCGATCCGCCGCCAATCGCCCATCGAAAGTTGCATCCTGAACCCCTCCAAACCTTACTACCATCCCAAGGGCGGTCTTACAGGTATAACCTGTTTCCGATGGCGCGGTCGTCTGCGCACACCTTCTTGCACGCGCGGCGGATGGCCTTGCGTGCTTCGCAGCCGGCTGCCGATCTTCTGAGCGGCATGATATTCGACCACAGTGGTCAAGCTTTTGCCTCGCGAGCGCGCCGCACTGCCCCTCCTTGTGGTGCCGTCCCCCGCTGGGCCCTGGCATCCCCGAACAGGTTGGAGATTGGGGGGCGAGATCGAAGTGGGACGTTTTGGTTCGTGGCGTGCGTGACGTGCGGGCGAGGCGAAGCTTCGTGATGGCGAGGGGGATCCCAGCCTTGTTAGGTCACGGTGCCATCAGTAGTTCCTCCCCGTCGGCGGGCGGTGAGTCCCGGGGTGTCCCGCGGCCATCCTGCGGCCATCCCGCGGATGTCCCGTGGTCTTCCTGTGTCGTGGTTTCCCAGCGGCTTTCGTGTGGTTGTCTCGTGATTGCCCCGCGGTGTTAGTCCCGCGGCCGTGGTTGTCCGTGGACGTGGATGCATCGAGAGTGAGGCCGATAAGTAGTTAGATCGGAAGGCAGTTCGATGTACAGACAGGTCGATTCATAGGTTGGTAGTGTGATCGACGGAAAGGTAGAGAGGACATCGAGGTCCTTAGACAGACAGATCACGAATCCGATTCGACGCTAATTGCACACCGACAGCTGCACCCATCCCCCCCGACCTCCCCCATCGCCCGAAGGGTGGCCCTCTCGGTATGGGGCTTGCTTCATTCTTGCCGCTTCTCTTCTCTGGCTTTTCCATTTCACGCCCAACCCTTGCCCTGTCCTGCCACTCTTCTTTGCACAAGCTCTTCCAGTGGGTGCGCTTTGTTTCTTGATCTTGTGGCTGAAATGAATGGTCCATAAATTTGAGCTTCCCCGCTCTTCTATGGCCTGTAAGCTTTGGGAAATCAGGTCAGGGGTGTTTTCCACTCTGGCTTGTCACAGTGGTTCGCGCAGGGTTTCCTTCCCCTGCTATGCGGGGTGCGACGATGCTTTCGACCGAGTCCATACATACATACACATATCCGTAAGGGCTTCGCCCCATGCCGCCGGCCCCCTGTCTCGGATAATGGGAGATACAAAAGCTAAATCATGAGGTCTGGGCGCCGCCGTGAAGCAGTGTCGGGACCTGTTTGTTTTTTCGACTCTGACCCTACGGATCTGCGTCACGGGTGCCACCGAATTTCAAAACATGTGGCAAATCCTCTGTGATTTTGGACCCTGACCCTGCGGATCTGCGTGAGGGGTGCCGCCGTATTTAAGAAATGTGGCAAATCTCTTGTGTTTTTGCACCCTGACCTTGCCGATCTGCGTGAGGGGTGCCACCGAATTTCACAAATGTGGCAAATCCCTTATGTTTTTGGACCCTGACCCCGCCGATCTGCGTGAGGGGTGCCACCGAATTTCAGAAATGTGGCAAATCCTTTTTGTTTTTGCACCCTGACCCCGCCGATCTGCGTGAGGGGTGCCAGCAAATTTTAAACATGTGGCAAATCCATTTGTTTTTGGACCCTGACCCCGCCGATCTGCGTGGTGGGTGCTAGCAATTTTTAGAAGTGTGGCATATCCCTTATGTTTTCGGACCCTGACCCCGCCGATCTGCGTGGTGGGTGCCACCGGATTTCAGAACTGTGGCAAACCCTGACCCCGCCGATCTGCGTGAGGGGTGTCAGTTCTTACCCACCCCAGCAATTCAGACAACACGCTCAGGGCGTGGTAAAAATGCACGTTTTGGGCCTCCCCCCCTCGCGCGGTCCATCAACAAGGAACAGTAAGCAGCAAGAAACATACAAGGAGCAGTAAGCAGCAAGAAACATAACTGTAACAGTGGAAACTGAAACCTGCAACTGGTACAGGAAACTGCGAACCTTAGGCCTACAGCCTGGTGGCCCCACAAGGGGGCCGGCGGACTATGCACATATAGATATGTCGTTGCCTGATGGTCGATGCTTTGTTAACTCTATGCGATTATGAAATTCTACACACACACACGCGCACACACATGTATGTATGTATGTATGTATGTATGTATGTATGTATGTATGTATGTATGTATGTATGTATGTATGTATGTATGTATGTATGTATGTATGTATATCTATATATTATGTATCTATGTATAGATGGGCGCTCACTGTTGCGTGCCAGCTTTACGTTTCTGTTGTTTCGGGTTTGGTGGTTGTTGTGGTTGTTGTTGCTGCTGCTGCTGTTGTTGTGGTTGCAGTTATTTCGCCTGTGTCTGCCCGACCGAGCCGATCTGTGCGAGCGCCAGGTCCGCGATAAACAGGTGTGCGCCTCATTGGGGTTGCACGTTGGTTCTGTTTGCCTTGCGCATACCTTGGGTTGTTCGCTGTGCCTTGCGTGTGTCTGCCACGACACGGTCATACGTCCGTGACGTCAGATTTCGTGGCCCCATGGGGAGCTTTACCGAAGGCCCCAGCGGCACAGCCCGCATGCGTTCCTGCCAACTATTTCGGCACACACCCCTCACACGTTTCGGGGCCCCATAGGGGCTACGGCCCCGTTGGCAGCGCCCGCATGGCTGCCCCGCACCATTTCGGCACAACCTTTCCGCGCTACGTGGCCCCAGAAGGAGATCCACCGAAGGCGGCGGTACTCACAATGACGGTACTCAGAACTGCATATGGTTGGGTCTTTCGCCAGGCTAGTTTTAAGACGGATGTTCGCGGCGCTAAGGCGAGAGCCACATGTTGAAAACGATGCGCCCTCCATATGTGAGCTTTAGGAGCACAAGTGGTGAGGAAGTCTCAGGCGAAAGCCCAGCCCGCCCTTTTGACCGGCCTCGGGTTGCGTCAGGGAGAAGTTATTTATAAGGAAAAGGGGCGGAGGAGGAAGAGGAGAAAGAGGAGGAGGAGGAGGAGGAGGAGGAGGAGGCGGAGAAAGAGGAAGGAGAAGGAGGAAGGAGGAATGCGGAAAGCGGAGGGAGGAGGAGGAGGGGGAGGAGGAGGAGGAGGAGGAGGAGGAGGAGGGAGGAGGAGGAGGAGGAGGAGGAGGAGGAGGAGAGGGAGGAGGAGGAATGTGGGATGGACGGAAGGAGGGAGATTGGGGAGAAGACTCGTCCTTATGCTCCCCCCTTCTCATCGTAACCACCTTGGCTCAGGGGTGCTCACATGAAACGCCCCCGTCACTCCACATGACCGGATACTTGTCAGACCGCGCTCCAGGCGCACTGCAGTGCGTGTCAAGAAAAAGATGAACCGCGCCGTTGTCACTCGGCCTGCGTGCATCGTCGTGACAGCATGCTGCTTGCAAGGGCTCCTTCCGTGCCGAGCGCAGGGTCCCATCTTCGACGGTAGCGCGCTGTTCCAGGCAGGCGCGGTCGTCGACCGCGCAGCCGTCAGCCTCGTCCCTGGCGGCCAGCCGGCCATCGGCGCCGTGGCCTCTGGCGGCGAGCGCCGCGAGAACGCGACGGCGGACGCCCAGACGGCGGCGGCCGCGCAGACGGCGACGGCCCCCCTGGGCGAGCGGGGGGTGCCTCCGCTCCCGGTGACCGAGCTCACAGGCTGCCAGATGAGGAAAAGATAGCGATGCCGCGTCTCGTCCTGGAGACTCATCGTCGCCACCCTTGGATTCTTTTCGAAATTCTGGTCAGAACGCACCTCTGGAGAGGTCTGTGGAGTAGCGTAATTAATGAATACCTTTTTGTCCACCCAGGCTGGGGCCGCCTGTGCCAGTTGATGCCCGTAGTGGTAGTCGTGGCCCTCAGTTTCGACAAGCTGCACCAGAGCTTCGTGAGGAACGCCACCAGCATGTCCGCGCGCAGCATCGTCGAGATCGCAGCCTGTCTGGCCCTGTACTGCGTCTCCGGCCCGGCGATCATCCTCCTGAACAAACACATCATGACGACCCACAAGTTCCATTTCCCGATACTTCTTGCCAGCCTGGGGAATGTCTTCCTCATGATTGTGACCCGCGCCGCTGTAGCATTCGGGTGGAAGAAGCTCGAGGTCGAGCACCTCTCTTGGGATAGGTACCTGGCTGTCGTTGTCCCCATCAACATATCAAACTTTCTCGCTCAGGCATTGGGTATGTATGCATTCCTGTTCATCTCGGTCCCGGAGATCCAGATCCTGAAGAGCACGACAATCGTGATGGTATTGTTCCTCGCTTGGCTGCTCGTCAACGAGAGGGTGGGCACGATGCTGATCGGTTCGGTCCTGGTGATCACCATCGGCGTCTGCGTGTCGGCCGTCGACGGCGTTTCGAAGGTCGGCGGCGGCAGCGTCTCGCACACCCTCATCGGCGTAAGCGTGATGATTCTGTCTTGCGTTTTCGAGGCCGCCAAGACCGTCATCAGCCAGGTTTTGGTCGACAAGATGTCGCTCTTCGACGGAATCTACCACTCCAGCCCCACGTTTGTGCTCATCGCCATGGCCTTCGTGGGCTGCATGGAGGCCAATAAGATCTACCACTACGACTTCAACCGCATGGTCGTTGGGCTACTGGTCGCCAACGCACTGACCACGGGCGTCATCGTGCTCTCCAGCTTCTGGTTCGTGAAGTTGGCTGGGGCACTCACGCTGAAGGTCGTGAACCAGGCGCGCTCCATCGGCCTCATCCTGTGTTCGGTGTTCTTCTTCGGGGAGTTCTGCAGCGGTCAGCAATACGTAGGCTACGCGCTGACCTTGGTGGGCATGGGCATGTTCGACTACGCGAAGCAGGTTCTCGACGGGAAGGCGTCCGAGGCCAGGTCCAAGGGTCCCAGCCAGCGGGGAGAGGCGATGAAGGGGGAGACGCAGAGCAGGTCCTAGCCGCGGGAGCCGCCAGGCAAAGGCACTACTTCATCAAATGACGCTCACGCTGCGGTGGTGTGCCCGATGCTGCCTCCTCTCTCCTCTTGCCCTCCTCCTCTTTCCCTCCTCTTTCCCTCCTCTTTTCCTCCTCCTCCTCCGCCTCCTCCTCCTCCTCCTCCCGCGCCCACCGCTGAGTCGCGCCTTTGATTTTTGAGCGGGTCAATGGAACAACTTGGGCACATCTCGTCACGTGGAGTGATTCTTCGCACATCGGACAGGGTTGTGCTCCCTCATTTGCATGGGTGGGTTTTCTTGTAATCCAGCTGCCTGCGGCTAACTCCGCCACCCTGTCAGCGCAGCAGCGCAGCGTGAATGAGGTTGAGTGAACAGCCCACTGCTGCAATGCAGCGCGCGGTCTAAACTCGAGCGGGTGTTAATTTCGGCCTCTGAGGGTCCTCTCGGGGGCCTCCTGAACGGTTTCTTGGGGGCCTCTTGGGGGCCACTTTGGCCGTCTTAGGGCTCTCCTGGTCCGAGCACCAAAATGTGGGAACTCGGAAACCATCGAACAACATGTGGATATTCACTGATTTTGGCTTCTTCGGGCCCGCCTGGGGCCTCTTGAAGCCTTCTTTGGCTGCCTCGGGGGCCGTCTTGGGGCAATCTGGGGCTGTCTTCGAGGCATCTTGGACCAGCTTGGCGGTATCTTGATGCCATCTTGGATCCCCTTAGCTGTCCTGGCGCCGTCTGGAGGCCAAACAGAGTGCCAAAAAGCAACCCCGGAGTGTGTGATTTTGCGAGGGTGGTTGCCGTTCAGGGATGGGATCGGCTTCTTGAGCCCTCTAGTGCTCTCTTGGAGCCTCTTGGGGTTTCTAGAGGCCTCCTGGAGCCTCTTTTGGGCTCCTCTTGGGGCCGTGTTCGGGGCATTTTGGGCCCCTCTTGGGGGCTTTGGTGCCGTGTTGGGCCGTCTGGGGCCGTATAGAGGCCTAGTCGGGACTTATTGAGCTCTCTTGGGCATTCTTGGGGCCTCTTCGGTTTTCTGGAGGCCTCCCGGAGCCTCTTTGGGGTCTTCTTGGGACCGAATTCGGGGCATTCCGGGTTCCCCTTGGGGGCTTTGGGGCTTTCTTGGACCGTCTGGGGCCGTCATGAAGGCCTCTTGGGGGCCTCTTGTTAGTTTTTTTGGCCATCTCGGACGCCCGCGAGGCCAAAGAGCCAACATTTGTAAAATCGTACAAGAACTTAGTTTTCCAATCATTGGCCCCTGGAGGCCCCCTGAGCGTCCTCTTCGAGCACTCTTGGGCCGTCTTGAGGCTTTCTTGGGCCCTCTCGGGATTATCTCGAGCCGTCGTTCGCCATCTTGTGGCCATCTGGGGCCGTCTTGAGGCCATCCTGAGGCCGTGTTGAAGCCGTATTAGGGGCATCTTGGAGGTAACATAATTAAACAACAAAACCGAGCTGACGGGGACGAGTCCTCCCTTCAAGATGGGCAAGCTTGTACCAGCATCGCTTAACCGATCCCTATCCCCATTCCCATCCCCATCCCGAGCCCCACCATTTTGCCACCCCAGTTGGGGACATACCCTTCGAAACCCGAAGGAGACAGCCTACACCCCCATCTGGGGGAGTAAATCGGCCAGCGGGACCCAGGCCACGCCAGGGGGGACAGGGATCGGCGCAATGATGCTCACTACCAGCTGGCAGGTCAGACCCTCCAAACATTCGAACGGGGCCGCAGGCCCAGCAGAGGGCCCGCTGTATTCTTCACGCTTCGTGTATCGCCTCGGGGGCTTTTTTCCCTCTTTTCGCCCCCCTCCTCCTGTGCGCTAATTTAGGCCGATGCATCTGCGCTTCGTTCCTTCACGCCGCCCGACTTGTCTCGCCGCGGTCGCGATCAAAGTGTATCCCCACAGGTCCATCCAGAATCTATGCCCAGGCGAGCTGCCCTGATCAGGAAAGTGTAGGGGCAGCGAGTAGAGCAAAGGGAGGAACAGCTGTCAAAGCGAAGCTTGGGAGCAGCTTTAGAAACCCATGGGCCAACCACACGTGCCTTCGCGTGTCTTTGGATGTGGGAGCATCTTGGAAGATGTTTTTGGGCCATCTTGTTATTCTCTCGCGACCAGTTTGTAGGCCTTGAAGGCTCTCTCGGGGACCTATTCTGGGCCTTGCCAGCAGCATGTACGGTGGGTGCGCGTCGTGTCGACCGGCGGCGACCCCGCCGCTGGCGTTCAACATTGGACGACGCCGGCGACCTGGAGTCGGTCGATGGTGAAAAATCTGACGTTTCGAGAATTGCCGATCGTTGAAGGATGAACGATCCCAGCGGTGTCGGAAACCAATGCTGAAGTCAGCGCGACACGAGCCTGCCGTAACGATCGATTTTCGCGGGCCTCTCGGGGCCGCATGACGCCTTGTCGCTGCCATCCGCGCGGTGGCGCCTTTTTTTTTTTTTTTCTTTTTTTTTTCTTCTCTCTCTCTCTCTATCTCTTTTCTCACACAGCAGCCACGACACAGGCATCGTGCTGCTGGGCATCGTGTGTGCCTGTGTGTGCGTGTGTATGTGCCGCCCCTTGGCCTGCCTCGCACTGTTGCCCTACCCTGTCGGCCACGCCTTGACCTGTCCTCCTTTCTGCCGCGGCTGTGCCGTCAGCCCTCCACTGTCCCTCCGCGCCCCCGTCGCCCCCTTCGCGCTTGTTTCATCCCATTGTTTGCCTTGGTCGGGCCGTCTGCCTGTCGCTCCTCCACCCTTTCGACGTGCCGTTGCGCTTCCGCGCTGCGCCCTTCTTGCCCCGCGCACTGCGCACCACCACCACTTGCTGCCACTCGCCCCCTCTCCCCCCTCATCCCAACCCCCTGTCGTCCCCGCGCGAGTGGCCCAGTTGATCTCCTGTGGGCGGAACTCTGGTCCTCCCGCCGCGTGAGCTGGCCCGGCTGTGCGCTCGCTGCCCTCGGCTGTCTACGCCGCGCCGCCGCGCGCGTAGCCGCGAGGCCAAAACATGTGTGTTTCTCTCTCTCTCTCTCTGTGTGTGTGTGTGTGCGTGTGTGTGTGTGTGTGTGTGTGTGTGTATGTGTGGGCCTTGCTGGTCCTCTCGGGGCCATCCTGGAGGCCATCGAGCAAACAAGAGGGTGACACTCAGAAGGTTCTCTCCCTTGGGCTCTCTCGGGGCCGTCTTGGAACTGTTTTGGGCCTCCCTTTGGGCTCTCTTTGGCGACATTTGAGCCATGTAGAGGCCTCAGAACCCCCTCGGAAGCGAAAGGGCTAGAAGGCCAACATCACTGAAGAACCACATGGACTTGAAGGCTTGTGTCTCTTGGGGGTATCCTTGGGGGCTCCGAAGTCACTTGGCACAGTCTTTGGGTCGTCTTGGGGCCTCCTGGAGACATGCTGGATGCCAATTTGAGCCACCTTCGACCATCTTGCGCCATTTTGGAGGCTATAGTAAGGCGTCCGGTGCCATCTTGGAGCCATCTTGCCCCCAAAGCCTCCCAAGAATGTTCCCAGGAGGCCTACCAAGAATGCCCCAGAGAGCCTTCTGAAGGCTCGCTGGGGCGATCTTGGAGCCATCTAGAGGCCTCAAAAGCCCACCGTAAGCGACAAGGCGAGACGGCCAACACCACTGAGCAACTGTACGTTTTTGACTGATGTTTTGTTTCTCGGTGGTCTCCTTGGGAGGGTCCGTGCCCACTTGGAACGTCTTGGAGGCATGTTGGACGCCACCGTGAGTCATACTGTTATATCTTGGAGGCCCGCTTGAGCTATCTCGGGCATTCTTGGGACCATCTTGGCCAATGTTGGACCCTGCATCGCATCGCGCGATTCCTTGGTCCCGACCTCATGGGAGGTGGTAGGGGGAAGGGTAACCGCCTCCCCGAAGGGATAGAAAGGGGGTAGAAAGGAAAAGGGATGGCTAATACTAGCAGCAGTCAGACTTTCAGTACGAAGAATGCGAATCTAGATGCAAGACATTGTAGCAATGCTGACTCAAACAGCAGATGTATATCCAAATGGAAGGCAGCTCAACAAATGGTAATATCAAGGAGAAAAGGAAGCGCTCTAAATCATTTGCGCCCAGAGGGCTGGTGGGACTCTCCAAACCTAGCTTGGACTGAATGAGTCTTGCCCGGTGTCTGAAGAGACGCATCCCACGACATGGAACTCTCTTCGCCCGTCGCTGCCAGGCAGTTCTTTCGCCCGCCCTGTCCTCGACAGCCCCCAGCTACCCAGACCTTCCTCCGCCAGCCTTGTCCCTGACTGGTCCCGCCACAGGTGCTGTCGTCCTCTGCAGCCAAGGCAAGCTCTCCTCGCCACCCCCTTGCCCCCTGCCGCCCGCGCAGCCCAGTGCGGTGCCCTCCGCTGCAGTGGGCACCCCAGTTACGAGATCGTCTGGCCAGCAGGTCCCCCCCCCCTGAGATGTCTCATCCCTCGATGGCCCCAGGGCCCTCCTCCTCCTCCTCCCCCTCTCTCTCCTCCTCCTCCTCCTCCTCCTCCTCCTCCTCCCCCTCCTCCTCCTCCTCCTCCTCCTCCTCCTCCTCCTCCTCCTCCTCCTCCTCCTCCTCCTCCCCCTCCTCCTTCTCCTCCTCCTCCTCCTCCTCCTCCTCATCCCTCTGGGGCACCCTGGCTCGGTAGCAAATCATGGGAGCCTCGCAGACCATCGTAATTTCCTCTTTCGAGTGCGTCGGCGTCGACTAGCATATGGTCATCGGTGAGGCAGTGCCGACTTCGAGTCGATTCGTGTCGACTTAGCGTCGGCCAGCGCCGATTCGCAAGAGCCAACAAGATGATATGGGAGGCTTCGAGTTGCCGCAAATCCTTAGGACCCTCACGGATCGACGAAGAATCTGTTCCAAGATCTCTTGAGCCTCGAGGTTTCCGCCGACCGGGCGCGCACCCCTGCGCTTAGGCAATCAGATACGTTGCTCACCAGCACCCTTCTCTAAGCGCCAGAGCAAAATGCGCGTGTGAAAAGGAAGGCAGGGTCTACAGCACGCTTTCTCATTGTATGTGCCTGCTGCAGTGCTGCACGTGTCTGCTGCAGTGCTGCTTTCTCTCCCCGACTGCCCCTGGCCTCGATGCTGGCCCCTGCTGTCCTCGCCTGTGGGCCTCGGAGGGCCCTCTTGGCAGAATGGCGAAGGCCTGCAAGCCAGAAACCTTCGGAGGTCCGCGCGGGAAAGGAGCGCGCCAGGGGCGGCGCTGGAGGCACCGCCGGGGGGGAGCCCAGCGCGGGTCCGAGCAGTCCGCGGGGACCTCCGAAGGCCTGTGCCTTTCTGCAGACGTGCTGTTCCTCGCCTGGGGGCCTCCCTGGGGGACCACCTTTGACCACCTTGGGGCCCTCCATGGTGGGCCTGGGCCTCAGCGCTGCCCCCCAGGGCCGCCAGCCTCCTCCGCCGGCCCTGCCCCCAGTACCCTCCGCCGCCGCCAGCTTCGGGCGTCCTTCGCTGGCCCTGTCCCAGCTGCCCCTGGCCCTGCGCGCCGCCCCCCTCACCGCAGCACGAGCTGAGGCAACCTTGGTGGTCCTTCGGGGGGCCCCCTCGTGGCCACGGCCGGACGCAGCTCAGAGGACGGAGCTGGACCTGGCTCAAGCCGTTTTGGCCCAAGCTTTCGGAGCGGCCGGCTCTTCCAGAAGACACTCCAGGGCTCTCCAGCAGTGGCGATGCCCCGCGCGGCCCCGCGGCGGCGGTGCCGCCTCGCCACAGCCTCAGCACTGACGCTTCGCTTCCTCGCCTCGTCCTGGAGTGCGCTCTGCTGCCCACCTCTGGAGGCACTCAGGCTGACGTGGGATCACCGGTCCGTGGGCGCGCACGTCGGGGGCAGCGTCGCCCTCCTTCGACAGCGTCGCCCGACGTTGATCCAGGAGCCGGCGAGCCACGCGCAAGCCAAGACCCGCCGGCGGGCAGTGGGCCAAGGTCCGACCGATGCCCACGGTCCCACCAAGGAGGAGGATGGTGAGCCACTCGGCGAGGCAGGACCGCCGAAGCTGCCCCCCGCCGTGAACTGGCACATAGAGACACGCTGCAACTTCAGATGCAAGTTCTGCTATGCCACCTTCAAGCAGGACCAGGGGAAGAGTATCCGCGTCCAGGACAAGCTTCGGATTTTGGAGCAGCTGGCCGCAGTGGGGGTCGAGAAAATAACATTTGTGGGTGGGGAGCCGCTGCTTCATCCAGATCTGATGGAGCTCGTCAAGAGGGCGAAACAGCTGAAATTTGTCACGTGCGTGGTCACCAACGGCAGCCTGCTGACCGAGGTTTGGCTCGAGAGCATGCGGCCTCACCTCGATTGGCTGGGCGTATCTATCGACGCTAGCACCGACGACATCCACGGCGAGATCGGGCGGGCCCCACCCAGAGCGGCTCGGGCAAAGGAGTCGCATTTGGACCACGTCAGGTCCATGTGGAGGGAGGCCAAGAGGCTCGGGTACGGCCTGAAGCTCAACACCGTGGTCTCCCGTCCAACTCTCGGAGACGACATGTCCCAGCTCGTCATCGAGCTGCGACCAGACAGGTGGAAAGTGTTCCAAGTCCTTAAGATTGAAGGCGAGAACGACGAACATTTCGACGACATGAGCGTTTCAAGCAAGGAGTTCGAACATTGGCTCACCAGTCATCGATCGAAGGTGAGACCTCATAACATCACTTTGGTCGCCGAGGGCAACGAGGACATGCGTGGAACATACGCAATGATGGATTGGGACGGCAAGCTCTACACCAATGTGAACGGCTCGTACCGTCGCAGCCGGTCGTCTCTCGATATTGGTGTAGAAGCTGCTTGGAACGAGGTATCCTCTGGCTTCAGCCATGACAAGTTCAGGGGCAGAGGAGGCGTGTGGGAGTGGTAAGCTGCAGCTACGAGCAGCGCGCAGGAGCCAACTTTCACAGGCGCACGCGCGGAGACAGCTTGTTCGGGTTCGTTCGACAACCCCGCGGGGCTGGCAGCAGCCGCCAATTTTTTCAGTTGCGCCCCATTTCAGTCCATCACAGAGTCCCTCGAACAGCTGAAGGCGACAGCACGCAGCCATGTTTGTCTAGGGGATGCCATTAATTACAGGGGCAAGGGCAGGAAGAGCGCAGCGTCGTGCTGTATTTCGCGACTTTGATGTCCTGGCACCGTGTGGCGGACCACGGAATGGCGTATAGCGGTTCCAGGTTGGCCACGCGATGTGAAATTGTCTAGTTTGGTGTCCCTCTTTAGCTGTTTCCATGCAGGCGCTGAAAAAAGAAAACTGGTGCGTGTGGACCTCGGGAGGGTTCCAGGGACCGATTTTGAGCTGCCGTGGTCGCAAATCGCCCTGCTCCAACCCCCCCCGTCGGGGCCTCGGAGGTCGACGCCAGCACCAAGATCCTGTGGCCCAGACTTGTGGCCCAGACAATTGCGTTTCAATGCGAGGGGACTTTTGTATTCCTTTCGTGCTGGTGCCACCTACCTGCCCTGCCGCCAGGCGCTCATCTCGCCAAATCCTCGCCGCCATACCTCTACCATGTCTGATTGTTTGGGGTCCGCGCGTCGGTCTCGCTGATCTTCTGTCCCTGCCGTTGACCCTCCCAAAGCCTGACCCAAATTTCTACGCAGGCCGCGCCGTGTGCTGGTGGGGGGCCCGTCGGTCAATGAGGGACAAGGGGAGGACGGAGGGGCGCGAGTTGAGACAACGTTACTTTGCCTTCGGGGGGTCTCCGCGTTGCCGCGGCTGGACGCAGCTCGGACAGCTGGCGCGCTTGGATCCCCCGGAGGGTCCTGGGGAGCCATTTTGAATGCCGAGGGGTAGGCCTGGGTGTGTAGATTGAGGAGGCGAAGGATGGGGTTGGAGAGGGGGTGCCGTGTGTGTGGGGAGCAGAAGGATTTTTGGTCGGCGGCTCCGAGGCAGCGGACAGGGAGCGGAAGGCATGGGGAGCAGAAGGACGGAACACCGACAAACCGGTGCCGTTGATTGCGCAGGTGGAGCTCAATATAAATGGGAACAACGACGGCTACGAATTCACCAGCTTGACGTCCCTGATGAGGCCTGGCTGGACCGGGGCCAGAGCGTGTATTGAAGTATTGGTTTACGGATTGACATATTTCATGTGCGCAAAGTGTATAAGGAGCGTCGCTATCAGTGACCGCTGATCTTAGTTCTGAACATGAGTACGTTCTATCGAAGACGCCTGCGGCGAGTTAACGCCGTCCCTGCCTTTCTGGAAACGCCTGGCTAAGCTGTTGGATTATGTGCTCCCCGAGCCGTTGCGGAAACACTTGAGGAGCTTAGCGGTTACAGGACAGGAGCGGGTCGCATTCTCACATTGGGAACGGTACAATTTCAGACAAGCAATGGTCACGCTTTGAGCTGTGTTGGAAACGTACGGAACGCGGCATCAGAGGCGCCATTGCGCACAGATGGCCCCGGGTAGGCCAGGGGGAGCTTGTAAACAAAACGACGTCCCAATTCAGTAACGAGGGAAACGACACCAAGCACCCAGCGTGTTGTAGATCCAGCTATCACGACACGTCTGCAGGAACCTATAAAACAACATCGCTCCAGCGACCAAACTTTGGAGCTCATACAACACCCTGGGCGTTTCCAACAACCACTAAGCCTTGGGGGAACACTAGGGGGAGCAATACGGAGAAAGAGAGAGAGAGAGAGAACAAGAGAGATAGAGAGAGAGAGAGAGAGAGAGAGCGAGAGACACACAGAAAATACGCGAGGGGCCAAGCTAGAGAGACTGATACTTACATTTAGATTTATAAGCAGCTGTATCGGAGGAGCGGGATGCAGACGATGCTGATGCTGATGCTGATGATGCTGCTACTGCTGATGATGCTACTGCTGATGATGGCCCTGCTGCTGCTAATGATGGTGATGACTATGGTGGTGGTGGTAATGCTGATTATGCTGATGATGCAGATGAGGATGCTGATGATGCTGATTATGATTAGGCTGATGATGATACTGCTACTGATGATAAGTATGATGCTGCTGCGGATGCTGATGACGATGCTGCGGGTGATGATGATGTGGTTGTCCATGCTTAATCTGATGTTGATGCTGATGATGCTGTTTCTGATGATGCTGCTGATGATGCTGTTGATTATGAAGATGATTATGCTGATGATGATGAGGAGGAGGTGGAGGAGAAGGAGGAGGATTAGGAGGAGGAGGAGGATGTGGATCATGATGATGATGAAGATGAAGATGAAGATGAAGATGATGATGATGATGATGATGATGATGATGATGATGATGATGATGATGATGCTGATGCTGCTGATGATGATGATGATGATTTTGATGATTATTCTGAGGATGACGATGATGATTATGATTATGTTTATGATGGTGGTGATGATGATGCCGATGATGACGATGATGACGATGACGACGATGCTGCTGCTGCTGCTGCTGCTGATGATGATGATGATGATGATGAGGATGATGATAATGATAATGATGATGATGATGATGATGATGATGATGATGATGATGATGATGATGATGACGATGATGATGATGATGATGATGATGATGATGATGATGATGATGATGATGATGATGATGATGATGATGATGACGATCACGATGACGATGACGAGGATGATGCTGATGATGCTGCTGCCGATGCTGATGCTGATGCTGATGCTGATGCTGATGATGGTGATGATGATGAGGAGGAGGAGGGCGAGGAGGAGGAGGAGGAGGAGGAGTAGAAGGAGGAGGAGGGGTTGAGGTTAAGGATGCTGATGCTGATGCTGATGATGCTGCTGATGATGACGACGATGATGATGCTGATGATGCTGCTGCTGATGATGATGAGGAGGAGGATTTCGAGAAGGACGCCTTTTAGGGGGCATCATGGGTCCCTCTTGGGGCTTCCTGGATGCCTCCTGTGGCTCAGAGCCAAGAAGGCCTCACAAGTCTGGTGTGCCAAGCACCCGTTTGCACGCAAAAGGGGGCGACGTATCGAAGACGTCTACGGCGAGTCAGCGCTGCCCTCCTGCCTCTTTGGAGACGCCTATGTGGCCAAACGTTGGGCCATCATATGGCCAAGCTGTTAGCTATTGTGGAAATCCTTGGGGGAACACCTGGTGGAGGCAGAGGGAGGGGGGTAGGGAGAGGGGTAAACACCTCCCCGGAGGTGCAGAAGGAGGTTGGAAGAGGAAACACACCGAGGCCTTGGGAGCGCGGCTGGGGATCCACAGCTCCTCGTGTCTTAAGACTGTACCAAGGGACCGTCATGGGGCCCTCTTGGGCGCCTCTTGGGCTGTCGAGGCGCCAGGAGCTGGCCCAAGACGCTCAAATCATTGGAGCACGCATCTGCGCTTCTATGATGTTGCAATTCTCTGCTGTGTGGTCTTCAAAGCGCCCTGGACAACCGAAGAGGTCCGCTTATATGGCCCCAAGAGAAGCCCCGAGGCCCCCAAGGCGGCCCAGGAGGCACCCAGACCCAGACGGCCCCAAGAGGTGCCCAAGAGGGGGAACCCGAACTTTCCTTGCGAGCCCTTGCCTCCAAAATGGCCCCCGAGATCGCCAGCAGGCCCCAAGGACGCCACCAAGAGGCCGCCAGATGCCCGCCAACAGGCCGCCAAGAGACCTAACGAGATTTTTTCAAGGGGCCGGTAAGAGGCCCCCAAGAGGTCCCCAGGAAGCCCCCAAGAGGCTTGTGTGAGGCCACTCGTCCACGACCGAAGGCTACCAGATCCGCCGCCCGTTTTTGCTTGCAGAGGAGTGCACGGCGTGCCAGAGATCCAAGTCCCACCAGCCTTCTGGGCGTGAGTGGTTCAAGAGACCCCGAGAGCCCCCGAGAATTTCGGGAGTCCAGTGTCTGCGGTCCTCTGGGAGATGTTTTACCATACTCAATGCAGTGCGCTCGAGGGGACCCGAGCGCACTCCACTTCGTGCCTCATGGCACGGTGGAGGATTCGCGCAGGAAATTAGGTATATCGCGTCGTTCCGTCAGTTCTGGCCCACCACGCTTCGGCGCGACGTGCTATCCGCTTCGGGGCCCCCAAGCGTCAACGTCCCGAGCCTATCCGAGCCTCCCGCCCTGGGAAGCGGAGCGACGCGCTATCCACTTGCACGGGCTACCGTGTCGCAGGGGCAGCCGCGGCGACACGCGAAGCAAAAGCTCCCGTCCGTAGGATAAGGCAGGATGCGGTTGGACGAAACGTGTTTTGAGCCAGGGCCCTGACCACTCCAGAGCCGTGCAATGCCTGCTCGGCCCACACATGCACCTTCTTCATTGCGTCGGCGTGCGCGCGAGATGGGCTCAGGCTGGTCCGCGGCGAAAGACACAGTGTTTAGCGCGCTGGCGTCCACGACGGCCTCAACGCTGACTGCAGTCATCGGCATGTTCGCATGAAGCCTTGCATCAGTGGCCACTGAAAGCAAACAAGATGAACGACCGAAGGTGCTACATCCTGTGTTTTCCTGTGTGGTTCACCGTGGCTGGAGTGGTTCACCACGAATGGGGGCCAGTGATGGATCTCACGTTTGAGAAGGGAGTGGCTCTGGTGAGCCTCGGTATGGCTGCCTGAGCGGTCAAGACTATTGACTTGCACCGCCGGCTATTGACCTTCCGAAACCACTGCCGCGTGCCCATCATTGAAGGTGTTCGCGGACAGAAGCGCCGGACTCCCCGAGGGAGGGGCCAGCGGTCCGGGGTGCAGGCGGGGCGCTGAAGTAGGGCTGTTGCATGCAGTCGACGGCATAGAGGATGAGCAGTGCGAAACCACCTCCAGGGGAGGCGCGTGGGGCCTGCAAACCAGGCAAGGCGGGGGGGGGTGGGGGGTGGGGGAGCGCGGGCGGCAAGACCAGCCCAGGCCCCGAGGCGAGCAGAGCGCGGCCAGAGGGCCGAGCGGTGGGCCCGCCGAACGGGCGGGGGCCGCCGGGGAGCGAAGGGCGCCGAGCTGCTGCACTGCCTGCGGGAGCGCCCCCGCGGCTTGGGGGGGGGGGGCAGGCCGAGCGAAGGGGGCCGAGGGGGAAGCAGAGCGAGAGCGCGGCACCCCAGTGAGGAGCCGAGGCGGCAGCAGGGCGGGGGGCGGGGGGGGGGGGGGCTGAGCGGCCCCTTCCCGCAGAGCGCGGCGCGAGAGAAGCGTGGGCCGGCCCGGGCCAACGGCCGCCAGGCGGGCGGCGGGCACCTGGTGGGCCGGCCGGGGCGCTGCCGGGCGAAGGCGCAGGGCGGCCGAGGGCCACGCAGCGGCCCGCAGGTGGAGGGAGCCCAGTGGCGGATGGGGCGACGGGCGACAGCCCCGGGGAAGGGGAGCCAGCGTCCCCCAAGAGGAGCGCGGGCGGGGGCAGGAGGCGGAAGGCACCGAGCCGGAGCAGGCGCGAGGCGGAGTGCCGGGCGCTCGCGGCGCCAGGGGGGGGCGAGGAGAGCCCGCAGAGGCGTGAGGTCACGCCTCGCAGTGGCGGGGGGAGCACCAACACGGCGCCCGGGGGGACGCGTGGAGGTGGGGGCGTGGGGAGGCACCGAATTGGTGCAACCGTCAGGTGAATGGAGGGCGACCCCGGCCCCGGGGGGGGGACCAGGGACGCGGGCGAACCAGGCCGGCATGCCTCCCAGGGGCGGAGGGCCGCCACGGGGGAGGACCTGGCGCGCAGGGCGCAGTGCCGGCGGGCGGGAGTGCCGCGCAGGGCGCCCAGGGGGTCGGAGGAGCAGCGGCTCGGACGGGGGGTGCCAAGGCTGATGCTGCCGCTGCAGCGGAAGTTGGGGCAAGCACCGAAATCGCGGAGCTTTGACTGGGGCTAGTGTGGATCCAGGCCGGTCAGTACTGGGTGGAGCTCGCTGGGCGCCGTTGCCTGGAAGGCTCGTTGCTGGGGCATGTCGGGTCACCGCGACGGTTGCCTTTCCCAGGAGGCTCTGGGCCTTTCCCTATGCCTTGCCGAGCCCAGGGAGGTGTTCACTCTTCTGGATCTGCTTATCCCAGGCTTGGTGCCAGTCGATCTGAAGGCTGAGTCTCTGGCACAGGTTGCGGATGTCGAAGTTTTCTTCGATGAGCTGGATGACGAAATCCCCGCAGATCTGATCTTTTCCGTCGGGGTTGTACGTGGCCCCGTGGCGTCCTTCGTCCTTCCCTGTGATCACAGAGGGCGTTCCAGCCGATGACCAGCATTGGGCCACACTCCCGCTTGAGGCGGTTGACGACCTCGGGCCAGCTCTCCTCCCTTCTGGCCGCGTAATTCCACGTGCAGTGCCATTTAATGGCCTGGCGGGGCCTGTGGTAAAGCGAGTCGTGGGGGTTGGGGCGGGGAGTGTAACGGACGGGGGGGTGCGCTGTGCAGTGGGCGCGGTTGGGCGGGTACGCCTGCCTCTCGTGCCCGTCGAAGGCGCCAGCTTCCCCCTGCCAGTGCCGCGAGGGGTGGGCGGGGCTGGGGTGCTCCGCAGGCCAGGGGCGTCTTGCGCGCCGGTTCGTCGGGGGTCTCGGCAGGCGGTGGTCCGTGGGTCCCCCGTCCGACTGCACCGCTCGCAGGGCCCGTCCCCCTTCGCTCTGCTTCCGTGGGGAGCGCGTCGCGGGGGCCGGGTGGCGCGGGCCCCCCGTCCTGGGGCGCGGGGCCTCCTGGTGGCGGCGGCTCGCTGGAGGGGCCCCTCTGGGACCTCACCGCGGGGCGGGGTCGGGGAGGCCGGGGATGGCTCGGAGGAGGCAATCGCGGGCGAGGGGTCGACGGTGTCGTTGCTGGCAGCTGTGCCACGTCTGGCGGCGTGCGGTAGGGCGGTGCCCGCAGGGGGTCCACTGCCTGAGCCTGAGCTGCATGCTGCCGCCTGCCGAGTGCAGCGTGGGGGGCTGCGAGCCCGAGCGGAGTTGGGTGGGTTGGTGCTCCTCCGGTCCGCGGCTGGCCGCTGGGCAGCCTTTGGAAGTCCTGCCCGCGCGTCCGTTACGCTCGGGCCTGGAGATCCGCCGGAGGCGGGCCGGTTGTATGCGTGGTCCCTCCCTGGGGGGCGAGCGGCGATTTTGTTGTGGTTGGGCCGCTGGCGTCTCCCTCCCGTTCTCGGGTCGTATCCGACTAGCGGGGCAGCGCGCATGTTGTGGATGTCGACGGACTCCAGGAAGCCGAGGAGCAGCTGCCGGCTGTACCTGCTGGTGTCCCGTCCTTTGTCCTTTGCGTGCTTGTCGTGCTTCAGCCTGTAGGCGTCCCACAGGTCGGCCATATTGTGCTCACTTCCGGGGGCGGGCTGGTACCTCTGGCTGTGCAGGTAGCTGATGAGGTGGGCCAGCGCAGCGTGTTTCCCGTCCCACTCGGTGCCCTCGGGCATCCCGGACTCGGGGACGATGGTGCCGTATATGTTGGAAATTAATTCAAATGGGTTCCGCCCAAGCACTGGGGTCCCGCGGGATCCCCTGGTGGGAGAGTGCTTCGTCCCGTCGCAGTGCGGTCCAGGCTCTCCAGGCATCGTCAATGCCGGGGTGCAGCGTCCTTGCGTAGGCCACCATGGCGTGCGATATGGTGTTGTCGGCCTTGCCTTTGGTTGGCAGAGGGGAACGTCAGTGACAGCTTCCAGGTCGCTGATGACCCTCACCTTGAGTGCAGGGCACGGGGGAGGAGCGAGCGCTGGGATGCTGTCGAGTAAATCGCGAGCAGGGTCGGGGGGATGAGTGGCCAGGCGGTCGTCGGATTGAAGCCGCAATCGCCCCGGGTGGGCTGCGGCTGGGGCTGGGGCGGCGGGACTGCGACTGGTCTGCGCTCTGGCGTACCTGCGGTCGGGGCTGAGTGGCTCCAGTGGCTGCCTCTGGTCGTGGTGCGGCGGCGGGGTGAGGCTGTAGTAGCTGCTGTAAGAACTGTCGTGGCTGCTGGAGCTGCGGCCCCGCGGCTGGTTGGCTTAACTCTGGGACGTGCAGCTGCTCGCTGTGTTGCTGGGCGACCTGCGGTAAGGTTTCCGACCAATGCGGTGCCGACCACCGTGCGGGGAGAGCGCTGCTGGCGAGGCAACCCGTCTTGAGGTCCTGGGGTGCTGGCGGCGCGGAGGTTCCCACCGCGGTGGGTGGCGGGCGGCCGCGCTGCCTGGCCCCGTGCGTCCAGGGTGCTGCGGGGCACGGGGACCTGGTGCCTCGGCTTGGGGGTCTCTGGCTCGCGGGGCGGAAGGGGTCCTTCACTTCAGGCGGGGCTTGCTCCTGGGGCCCTTCACACGGCGGGAGCCGCGCTGCGGCCGTCGTCCAGTGGCGCCCGAAGGGGCCGCTGCGGCGGGGCCGGGGAGGTGGTCGGGCGCGCTCGCCTGGGCAGGTGGGTAGGACAGCTCGGGACCCATCCCGGGCGAGGATCGCCTGGACATCGAGGGGCCGGGCGTTCCAGACGTCCCCCAGGCATCGCGCGCAGTGCCGCGTGGCGCTCGACTTCTTAGGGGCGAGGAGGCGTCTGCGATCGTCGAAGAGCGGAAGGCCGTGAGCGCCTGAGCCTGGGGCCTGCTCTCCGGGGCGGAAGGTAGAGATGCCTTTGGGAGTGTCTCCGCACTACCACTCGTGCAAGGGGTCGCTGCCAGAGCAGCGGTCGCATCTGCATCGCCATTTCCCATTGCCGATCTCTCTTCCGAACCTGTCGTCCTCAGTGCGCTGGATGGGGATGGTGGTGCTGGTAAGGATGGGGTCTTGTGTGACGCGCTGTGGGAGGAGGAGTCGCCATAGTGGCGTGTCCGCCTCGGGTAGTTGCACAGGAGGCCTGGCCGGCAGAGGTCGGCGGGTGTGATTGCTCCAGGTTGTGGGCGTACTTGTGGCGCCGGCCGTTGCGAGCCTGACTCCTTCGGGTATGGGCAGGCCTAGGACGTCCTGGCTTAGTCTCCAGCAGGTGATGCAGTGCCAGCGACAGTCTTGCCCTCTCCTGTAGCATTCGAGCCGGCTTGCGGCCGGCAGCTGGCGCGTCTCGGGGTTAACCCAGGCGCCACCGTTGTCCTTCCGGGGGTCGAATGGGCCACGTCTGCAAGAGTCGCAGTAGACGTTGGGGGCTTGATCGGTCGTCTGAAAGTGGCTGTCCCCGGTCTGCAGCGTGGGTGGGAGCAGCGTGGCACCTGGGAGTGCGCCCGTCGGGGGGGGGGAAGTGCAGGTCCCTCCCTGTGCCAAAGAGCCCTCCCCCTAGGTAGGGGGGGATTCGAAGTTCCGGTTCTTGGGTAGGAGGCCAACGGGCGAGCCGAGCAGGTCCTTCGAGAGAGCGCAAATGGCGCAAACGTCGGGGCGCAGAGCGGACAGGTCGGCAGGGGTCGTGAGTTGGCAGCGACCAGTCGAGGTGTCTTGAGGGAGGAAGTCGCGGGCGGCGGTCTCCTTCCACGTAGCTGTCTGCTGCTGGCGGCCGAGGAGGGGTGGTGACGAGTCACGGTGGCCAGTCTCGAGCAGGCCTCGATGAAGTCTTCGATGTGTTCATGGAGCCGACGGAAGTCCGGCTTCGCGAGGTTGTGGGACTTCCCAAAGCTGTCGCCAACGGCGGGTCGCGCCTCGTTGTAGGGCACACAGATGCCAAGGGCCGCCTCGATGATGTCGCCGGTGTGACTGGGGCTACCGTATGGGGCCAGAGTGAGGCGGGTCTCGCGTACCAGTAGGAGCATTATCACCAGCACACTGTTGGCCCAGGGTCGGGTAATCGGTGCGAACCCACATTTCGAGGCCTTCGCCCCAAGAGGACCCGAAGACTGCCAGCAGGCCCCCAAGAATCTCCCAAGAGGACCCGAATGCCCGCAAGAGCCCCAAGAGCCCGAAGGAGTCCCAAGAGGCGTCAGGACTGCCTCCACGAGGTTCCCGAAAGACCCCAACAGGGATCCAAGATGTCTCTGACCAACGTCCCAGACACGGTGGCAGGATGGGCCTCAAGCCACTGGGAGGTGCACATGTGGACGAGGGGCACCGTGGCTCCTCCTCTCTGTCCTCCTTTTTGCTGCTCCTCTTCAGCGGCGCCGTTTCTCTGCTCTCCCTCCTTGCCGTTCTGCTTCGTCTTCGTCGCCGCCATGCTCCTGGACAATTCTCCCCTTTCTCGACCTCCAAACCTCCCCCCTCGTCCTCTGCGTCGTCCTCCTTGGGTCCTCCTTGCTCAGGGAAGGGTTGTTTACTACGTATTCCCGTAGCGCCTTCGGACTAAAGTCCTATCCGCAACCGTCGCCCAACTCTGGACACCTCACTGCGAGCGGGGAGAGCGCGCGCGAAGCCCGCGCGGTGGTTCTGGTGCTAGGTGGTGGTGGTGGTGCTGGTGGTGATGGCGATATCGATGGCTATGGCCATGGTGATATCGTTGTTCTGCTGATGAAGATGAAGATGAACATGAAGATGATGATGATGCTGCTGCTGCTGATGATGATGATGATGATGATGATGATGATGATAATGATGATGACGACGATGATGATGTTGGTGACGATGATGGTGATGACGATGATTATGATCATTATTATGATGCCAGTGATGATGCTGATGATGAAGATGATGCTCCTGATACTGCTGCTGACGATGATGAAGATGGTAATGATGGTACGGATGATGATGCTGATGATGATGACGCTGATGCTGATGCTAATGATGATGATGCTGATGCTGATGCTGATGGCAATGATGCTGTTGTTGCTGATGATGATGGCGATGATGATGCTTCCGCTGATTGTGATGATACTGATGATTCTGATCACGAGTATGATGCCAATGCTGATGCTGATGATGAAGATGGTGATCCTGATACTGATGCTGCTGATGATGATGGTAATGATGATGCTGATGATGCTGCTGATGTTGATGTTGATGTTGATGTTGATATTGATGATGATGATGATCATGCTGATGATGCTGATGATGATTATGATGATGATGATGCTGCCGATGATGCTGCTGCTGCTGCTGATGCTGCTGCTGCTGCTGCTGCTGCTGATGATGATGATGATGATGATGATGATGATGATGATGATGATGATGATGATGATGATGATGATGATGATGGCGCCGCTGGTGGCGGTGATCAAAGTATAGCCGATGATCATCACAATGACGACAGCAGTGGTGGTGGTGGTGTTGTTGGTGGTGGTGGTGGTGGTGCTGGTGCTCAGTCTTGTCATCGCCAGCAGTGCAGTCACTGCGAGTCTCTTCCGCTCGAGGCGGCCAGTTTGGTCCAGCGGGCAGCGGCTCCGGTACTCTGCGCCCTCCCCTGGGGCGCGGGGCACCGCCATGGCGTCCGCGGTGGAGGCACCGCGCGACGAGGAGGCCGTCGAGGCTCCGCCCGGAGCGGGCGCCAGCTGCACCAGACGGCGATCGATCGAATTCCAGGAAAGAGTCACGATGACCATGAAGAGGGGGGGAATGGGCTCGAGGCTTGTGAGCTTCGAGGTTTTCGGGTACTTTCGTGAGACCCTGGCGGTTTTCCAACTTCGGAATGCGCTCCATCAGCTGCGCCTCGTCGAGAGCGTTCCGGCGGTACCTGGATCGTCCCGGACGGCCGCCAGAGGCCCGAGTTACGGCCCGAAAACCAGCAGAAGTCGACGAGGGCCAATATGTCGCGCGGCCTTGGCGATGCAGATCTTAGTCGTGGTAATGCCGGCCTCCGCCGATTCGCGAGGTTGGTCCACGAGCTGACGATGACCAGGATGGACGGTGACCATGAGTCGCACCGCCGTTGCCGCGCGCAGTTGTGGCTATCCCTTCGCGAACCAGGGGCGTCACCTGAACGAAGGATTGCAAAAAAAAAAACCAACGATTGCAAAAAAAAGGATTGCAAAAAAAAAAACAAAAAAAAAAGGATTGCAAAAAAAAGGATTGCAAAAAAGGTTTTTTTTTTTTTTTTTTTTTTTTTTTTTTTTTTTTTTTTTTTTTTTTTTTTTTTTTTTTTTTTTTTTTTTTTTGCAATCCTTCAGAGGGCCCCTTCGGAAGCACCCCCTGAGGTCTCTTCGGCACCAGTCTGCGTGGTCGAGGCCCTGCGGCGTCGGCTCTCGGAGGCTCTCCAAAGCCCCCCGTGTGACTGCTCGCGGAGGCCCTCCTTCGAGGGCCGCCGGACGCCCTGGCGGGGACCCCCGAGTGACCATCGGGGGAGCGTAAGACCCGGGTTTGCCGGGACTCGGGTTCGCCATCGTTTTTTGACGACCGCGACTCGGATTTTGACGAGGAGGAGTTTCGTGGGATGTCTGCAGCGGGAGGCCTCGTCAAAATGCAGGCTCGGCCTCGTCCTTTTTTTGACGACCTCGTCGGGGATTTTCGAGTCCCCCGTACCCGGGTCTTACGTCTCCCCGAGACGAGTAACTTCTTCCAGTTCCTTCCGTCGGGGAACAACTCATAACATAAGCATGAACTTTCGGAGGTCCGCGCTGATGTCTCGGATCGGCGCTGGGCCCCCGCTTGGCAGCGCTCGAGGCACAATCGATCATCAGCGGGGGCGCGATTACAGCCGCGCTTCGTGTTCTGCTTTCTGCGGGCTTGTCTGGGCAGCCGGACTTCTCCAGGGGGGCGGCGCGAGGATGCGAAGATGAGCTCGTCTTTCACTTTGTGCAGCGCGAAGCTTGAAGTTAGGTGGCCTTAGTTTTGGGTGTTCCTCTCCACATGCCATCCCGCCCTTTCTCGAGTGTGCTCATGTTCCTTGAGCTCGTCGTCTCCTTACAAGCTTGGGCGAGCTCCAGGAGTTGAGCCCAGATGAGGCGAGCTCCAGGGAGTTGAGGGAGGAGGGAGACTGTCTGGGGGATTCTGTGTGGTTCTAGTCTGGCACGGCGCGACCGCCATCGGGCAGCACCTGACTCGGCCGCCAGAGGCCGGGGACGACAGAAGGTCGGCGCCGCAGCGCAGGCGCAGGCAGACGCCGGCCCCCCCCCTGGTCGCCGCCGAGGGCGCAACCAGCAAGGCCCCCCCCCCCGTCGAGGGCGGCCTGGGGAGAGCCCAAGAGGAATAGGGCGGGCGACGCCTCCAGGACGAGGGCTGCCACAGGCTCCAGCCGGAGGCGCCGGCGCAGCTCCCCACCGAGGAGGAGGAGGCACAGCGGCAGCTGCAGCCCCCCAGCTGCTCAGTGAAGGCGCTCTCCCGCACTGGGGGCCAGCAGGCAAGCTCGTGCAGAGTCCCGACCCAGCCAGGCCAACGTAGACCGCAGCGCGGACCGGAGGGTGCCCGGGGGTTCAGGGTCTGGGGCCCAGGGATCCGGGCTCCTAGACAACGGGCTGCCCAACCTACCTGGCCACTGCGCCCCTCCGCCCGCTTCTGCCCACAACCGGAAGAGCGCCGGATCGACAGACAACGGGCGAGATGGTCAGGCTAGTCGGCTACGTCGGGTGCAACTACGGGCCCTACATTAACTTGCACTGGATCGCTGTCTCCTCCAGATGCCTACCCAGGAGCGCAAGCAACGCGGCGCTCGCTGCAGCTGAGAGGGACCACCTCTGCCACTTCCCACAAACCCTGTGGGAGAATGGGCGTGCTCGCTCGGCCAGGAACCTGGACCGCGACGCGTGGACATGGGAGGAGACGTGCTTGCAGTTCCGGTACGCGCACTTGGTGGAGTGGGCCATCAACCAGAACGAGAGGAACCAAACCAGCCGGGAGAATTTCAACCCCGTCCTTCCCAATGGGGTCTCCAAGGTCCCCTCCTGGATGGACGAGGGCATGCTGCTCTGCCTTCCTGGTGGCCCTGGGGCCAGGAGCGCTGCGATGGTGCCCCCTCCCACAGCCAAGGGCCACCCGGTCGGCGCACGGGCCGGCGGACATCCGGCACGAGGCACGCGCCCCGCTGCCAGTGATGCCCGACGACTCCGCAGCAGTGCTGGCCGACCTGGACCCACTTCCGCCCCCAGCCTGCCCTGGCCTGGCATGCAGGAGAGTTGCTGCATTGGAGGCCGCGGACTTGATCCGCGCCTGGGCGCGCCGAGGCAGGTTTGGTCAGGACATCGCGCACATCATGGTCGACCACGCCCGCAAGCTCCACTGCGACATCGACGGAGCGTGCCGTGAGTTCGTTGATGGGCGGCGTGCCAAGGACCCCAGGAGGTATGGAGAGTGGACAGAGGACGCCAGGTGTTGGGCGCGTGAAGAATGCTTGGCTTTCCTGACTTTCGTCTACGACGATGATATACAGCCAAGGCGGGACGGGGAGGTGCGCTGCCCTGGCAGACATCGTCGCGTGGGGGGTGGCAGGCAAAGGGAAGGTAAATGGGGGCCGCTCACCATTTCAAGCAGGCTTGGCGGAGCTTCCTGGGGACCAGAAACACGAACAGGGGTACCAACCCCCTCCGCCACGACGCCAACGCACCAGCAGCCTTCCTGGACAGTCAGGGCATACGGTGGACAAGTGCAGCTCAGCTTGACGGCTACCGCAGAACCGCCGAACCTGGACCCGGGACGCGCGGCCCATTTGCGCCACATCGCGCGGAGGGCACGGAGCGCGGGAAACTAACTCCGCGCGCCGACCAGGAACCTGGCAGGCACGCAGCCGATGTCTCTCCTCGCCCCAGCCACCACGAGGCGCCGCGCACTGAAACACCGAGCGAGCCGCGCGATGTTCCAGCCGGGAACGCCGTGGACCAAGCCACTTCTCGTAACATCCGCGAGGTGCAGCTGGTTGGCTCCAGCGCGGACCTGGACGACGGCAAGACCAGGGATGCCAGCCCCAGCAGGAGCCTTCCCCCGGACTGGGACCCCAGCCCCAGCGGGAACCGCAGCGCAGGTGCCCCACGTGCCTCCCAGCCACCGAACCAGAGCGCGGGGCGAGCGCGTGGGCTGGGTTGAGAGGAGGGTTCTGCCCCACGGTCAGACCGGTAGTCTCGGGAATGCACGATGGACCCGCACCTTTCGTCAGCGTCGGAGACTACGTGTACAACAGGGGCGATGCAGGTGAATGCAGAGCGGCCTGCTGGTGCACGCTACCCGACGAGCATGGGGGGCACCTCCTCCCGGATGCGCCCGAGGAAGGATCCTAGGGCCAGTTGAAGCCAGGGCGACATCTGTGCGTACGCGTAGGCGAGTTAAGGCTCGCGGTAGGGGAGGGGCCCAGCCAGGCACACCTGGCTTGGAAATCCCAACTGGGCAAGCCCTACGGGGACACCCGAGGAGAGCCCGGTGGGGGAAACCCAGGCGCCTCGCGGGTCGCCTCCAGCATGGCCCAGCCCCCACTCACAGACGCGCCTTACGACGCCCATGAAACCTGGAGACCACCCTCGGAGGTCGGGACGAGACCAGATGGACAAGCAATTGGTATAATTGGACCTGGGACCGTGACAGGCAGTGGGATTGCGATACTGGACGATATAGAACCTCAGGTACGAGTACCCGCAGCTGGAGGGATTGGGGGAGCGACAGGACCGGCTGTGCCGAACCCCCAGGTCCGGCATCCAGTGGCCACCGCGGTGGTCTCGCTCAGAGAATAGGACTGAGACCTGGGCCCAGGTGGTCAACCGCCTTAGAGGCGTGCGGCGTACTTTTTGTGGAAGGATTACACAGGGCCTGCGACAAGTGGGACAATAGGGGCCATGACAAGCGTGTCTACAACCCCAGAGGCCATGAGGAGTTCTGAAATGCCTTCGTGGCGGAGTTGGCAACCGTCAACTACGACATGCGCCGCCTCTGCAACGACAGGTGGCTGGGCGTTGACTGAGACGCGATCTGGCGGCACAAGCAGAGCTGCCAGGGGCAAACTGCTGGGGCAGGGCAGGGGGGCAAGCGGCACAGCGAGGCCACCGCGCCTGCACCAGACCAATCCCGCCCGCGAGGGCTCTGAAGTGCCAGGTGCCATGTGGCCACCGGGGCGGCCCTGGGGGCGCAGCCAGCTCCCCGGCCTCACAGCAGCTGGCGGCCGCGCAGCCCGGGCGACCCACGCGCATGACCCGCCAGTCCTTGCGCCAGCTAGATGGTTCCGACTACTTGGCTACTCTGACGATTGCGGTGGGCTTTCCAACACAGAACGTTTCCGCTGGGACGGCATGTGGTCGCCAACCCTGGCGCCGCGCGTGGCTTCTCCACCGGGCCGCGCGCCAGTTAGGTGCGCTTCTACCTGGCTTCACGGATGATCGCGGTGGGCCTTCCAACCGCCGCTTTCTCCACGGTTTGCGCTGCCTGGCTCCGCTGTCGATGTCGGCGCCCTTCCGCCCCGGGAGACCGCCGCCCGATCCTTTCCCGCCAGTCAACGCACCAGTTAGATGGATTTCTGCCGCGCCTCCGCCGCGCGCCCGCCGCTCAGGGCTCCGGCGCGCTGTCCGGCTCAGATAGTGCGTGGCGGTGCCCGGGCGCCCCCCCCTCCCGCCTCGCCGCCCTCCCGTCGCTTGGCCCCTTCGGCCTCTCCCCCGCCTGGCGGGTCGCTCGCTTGGTCTTCTCGCCGGGGGTGCTGTTTGCATTCCCCGCGCCTTACAGGGGCCCCTTCCTTGTCGGCAGTGCGTGCTGCCACAGTTGGGGGTCCCCGCTGCTGCGGCTTGCCTTCCGCTTCGCCTCCTCCTCCCTGGTGGCTGCCGGTCTGGCGCCCGCCCCTTCCTGTCGGCCCCGCGCAGCGGCCCGATTCCCCTCTGCCGGATCCCTGGCCGTGATGCCGTGCACCAGCCCTGGGTCTGCGCCCCCCCCCCGGCGCAGCGCTCTCGCATAGAGAGCACCGCGCCATGCCAGTTTGTGCTGGCGCCGCCTTGCAGCCCTTGCGGTCGCAGGGGGTCTTGCCCCTGTCCGCAGTCTCGCTGCCCTACTTGGGGGCCGCCGCCGTTGCGGCTCGCCGCCAATTTTGCCGTGCGGCTCCCACGTGGCGGCCTGCCGGGCCTGCGCGGCTCCCACGTGCGGCTCCCATTGGGCGACGCCAAACTCCTTGCCGTGAGCCTTGCAGCGGCTACGGAGTGGCGCTGTCTTCTCTTGCGACCCGCCTTCGTCCCCGTGCCCCGCGACGGGTCGTCCCGGCAGGCTGCCCCTGCAGCCTGTCTCGCCACCGCCGCCCTGGGCTCCCTGCGGCCGCTGCAGCGCCGGCGCCCCTCCCCCTGCCGCCGGCTCCCGCGCCGCTGCCCCGCGCTTCCTCTGGCGCCCTGCTTCTCCGGTTGCTGGTTGCTCCCGCTCTTCCACTTGCTGGGCCCTGCCCGCACTGGGGCTGCTGGACCCCCCCCCCTGGGTGTACAGCGACGCCGACTCGCAGCCGATGCCAGGGGCTAATTACCCGTCAGCCCGGCCGCGCCCGTGCACCTGCCGCAGCTTCGTTGCGTGAGTGTGCCCCCGCGCTCCGTCCTCTTCTCTGCGGCCGCCTCCTTCCTCCCCTTCCTTGTGCATGCGGGCTAATTCGCGATGCCGTATCCCGACTTCGGCCCGACGCGCGTGCGGATCGTCTCTGCCGCGCTGCGACGTTGAAAGATGGTTCTGGTCGGCTAGGTCGTCGCGTTGGGTCTTGGGACGGAGGGAGGACGGGGAGGAAGAGGAGGAGGACGAGGACGAGGAGGAGGAGGGGAGGAGGAGAAGGAGGAACTAAACTGAGCTGGGCTGAACTGAGCTGAACTGAACTAAGCCGCGCTCGTCGCCAGATGCGCTACACACTCATCTCCGCATAGCGTGCTGGCATTGCGGTCTCGCCCTGGGCCTATCGGGGGTCTCACAATCCAGTCATTCAAGGCGCCAGCCGCAGAGAGCACACCGAGTCTCGAGCCGCCTGGGCTCCTGCCGGCCGCTCTCTTCTCCCCCTTATCTGCGGGTCTCCGCCCCTCCCCCTGCCGCTCGCCCCTCCCTCCGCTTGCACTCTGGGCGCAGCCAACTCCGGCGCGGAGCGCCAGGTGCTCACCGCGCGGGTGCTCCGCCTTGGATTTCGCAGCGCGGCGCGGTCATCGAGTGAACAAGCGAGAGCGGGGGCAGTGGAGATGCTCAGGCTTCGGTGTGTGCGCAGGCAGCCCCCCAGGTAGTCCTGGCTGGCATCAATAGGCCCCCCGAGTAGCCCCCTCAACACCCTGGCGCCGCCTCTGGCGGCGCCCTTGGGGCGCTCCGCGCCCTGGGGATGGGGTGTCGAGACCGCCCCAGACCATTCGGGGGGTTTGTTGAGGCTGGTCAAGACTGGCTGGGGGGTATGTCAGCGCGTAAACCGAAGCCTTCCCAAGTGGAGATCTCCGTGGTTGGATCCTGGCTCCATCTCTGCCCCGAGCGTCGGCATCCCCAACCATGCTTGTATGGTTTGCGCGTCGACCGACCCCCCAACGGGGGGATCTGTGCGTTCAGAAATCTTCTAGCGCATGCTCGGTGGCGGGCGCCTTCGGGCCACACCGCCTAGTTCGTGATCTACTATAAGGCGTTTGTGCTCCATGTTCGGTTCGGACGTGCGGAGGAGGAGGAGGTGGAGGAGGAGGAGGAGGCGGAGGAGGAGGAGGAGGAGGAGGAGGAGGAGGAGGAGGAGGAGGAAGAGGAGTAGGATGAGGAGGAGGAAGAGGAGGAGGAGGGGCGCCAGACCCGATGCAGGCCTGGGCAGTTTGCGCGTTTTCAATCGGCATCTTTCTGTGGAGGCCGAACGAAACCGAAAACGGATCAGAAAACAAAAAACTCAAACACCAAAAAACCCAAAACCAACAACTCTGAACTTTCGAGTAGAATCTGGCGGTCCACCACGGAATTCTATATGTCAGTTTTTTATGATTTTTTGGAAAGCCTCACAATCGGAATCCTTTGGAAAGCGCCACAAAGTGATTCTATTGGAAAGCCACACCGCAGGAATCCGGTGGAAAGCACAACGAGGGGATTGTATTGGAAAACCTCACAACAGGAATCCTTTGGAAAGCGCAACAAAGGGATTCTATTGGAAAGCCTCACAGCAGGAACCCTTTGGAAAGCGCCACAAAGGGATTCTATTGGAAAGCCTCACAACAGGCATCCTTTGGAAAGCGACACACAGGGATTCTATTGGAAAGCCTCACAATCGGAATCCTTTGGAAAGCGCCAGAAAGGGATTCCACAGGAAAGCATTACAATCGGAATCCTCTGGAAAGCGCCACAAGGGATTCTATTGGAATTCCTCACAATCGGAATCCTTGAGAAAAGCCACGAAGCCACCATTGAGTGCTTGTTAAAAATGGCCAAACCGCCCAGGCGTGCATTGGGTCTGCTTCGGGAGGAGGAGGAGGAGGAGGAGGAGGAGGAGGAGGAGGAGGAGGAGGAGGAGGAGGAGGAGGAGGAGGAGGAGGAGGAGGAGGAGGAGGTGGAGGATGAGGAAGAGAAGGGACTTTTTGGAAAGCGTGGCGCTCTGCCGGTTCTGGCCCACCACGCCCGGGCGCGACACGGTATCCAGATTTTCGGCCACCCAGCGTCAACGTCCCGAGTTTTTCCGCGCTTCCCGCCCCGCGGAGCGGAGCGACACGCCATCCGCTCGCAAGGCATAGCGTGTCGCCGGGGCCGCCGCGGCGACACGCTAGGCAAACATTCCCGACCATGGTATGTCCTTCGGTGGCCCCTCTTTGGAGGCCCGGGTCATCCCGACGAGCACTGGGCCCTGCGTCTGGTGGGCCCGCAACGACCTGCGGGTGCAGGACAACCCAGTGCTGCGGGCGGTGGTAGGTGCGGCCCTGGCCGACAGGCGGCCGTTCACGGCCGTGTTCTGCTTCGACCCGCGCTTCCTGGACAGGTCGCCCTACGGCCGCGTGACCGATCCAGAGTTCAAGAGGTCGGCCGCCTTCAAAGGTCGAGGTTTTCGGGGTGCTTTCGTCGGTTCCTGGCGGTCTCCCAGCCTCAGGATGCTCTCCAGCAGCTGCGCCTCTCCGAAAGGCGTCTGGGGTGCCCGGATCGTCCCAAACGGCCGCCGGAGACCCGAGCCATGGCCCGAAAATTGGATTTCCTTCGGCGTCACACCAACATACTCATACTACATGTTCGTCGCCCGCCCAGAGGCGACGCGCGCACCGAGAAATCTTATAGTATATGCGTCGCGGTGGGCGCTTTCTGGCCACACCGCTCGGGAAACGATATACTACAAGATGGGTCTACTATATGTTCGGGCCAGACGCGCCCCTCCAAGGAGGACTTACAGTATTAGTATGTCTCTGTGCGTCCCACTCCCTCGCCTCGCCTCGCCTCGCCTCGCCTCTCCTCTCCTCTCCCCTCCTCTCCCCTCCTCGCCAAGGAGGACTTACAGTATTAGTATGTCTCATCGCCTCGCCTCGCATCTCCTCTCCCCTCCTCTCCCCTCCCCTCCCCTCCCCTCCCCTCCCCTCCCCTCTCCTCTCTCCTCCTCTGCCAGAAGCTGGCGGCCGCGCTCGGAGAGAGTGCGCCCTGGGGCCCTCTTGGGGTGCATCGGGCTGGCCCGGGCGCGGCGCAGCCGGCGCGAGAGCCCAGCGGGTGCGCCGCGCCTGGTACCCCGCGCACGGCGTGCTCGTCCCCCTGCTCCTCCTTCTCCTCCTCCTTCTTCTTCTCCTCCTCCTCCTCCTCCTCCTCCTCATCCTCCTCCTTCCTCCTCCTCCTCCTCCCTCCTCCGGTCGGCTCGCCTCTGCCCGGACCCAGGCGTGGCCCACGGTAGGTTCGCGTGTTGTCGACCGGCGGCGACCCCGCCAGCGGCGTTTAATGTTGAACGCCACGGGCGACCCAGAATCGCTCGATGTGGAACGACTTGGACGTTTCGGAAACGGCCGATCGTTCAAGGTTGAACGATCCCCGCGGTGTCAGAAACCAACGCCGAAGTCGGCACGACACGAACCTGCCGTAGGCCCCCAGAGCAGGCTCTCTGGCGTACTGCCGCCAGACCCGGGGCTCCGACGTTGCACAACTCAAGACTGCATCGTCGCAAAAAAACACGACTCGGGTCCGGGGCCCCATCCTTCTGCGCCATTTGTCGGCCCGGATCGATCGGTGAGGGTCCCGGGGCCCGAAATTGGGCGAAATCGCGAGTTGCGAAACGATTGCAGCGCCAAGATCTGAGGGGTTCCCGGCCTGCCAGAGGTCCATCCCCACCCGCAAGCCGATTACCTTCTCGGCGCGGAAGACCTGCGCGCTGCGCGCGCGCTTCTGGCTCCAGTGCGTCGTCCGCCTGGGTGAGGAGTCGGCGTCGCGCAAGCATACTAAGACTATGTGTGCGTGGCCCCCCCCCCCCCCCACAGGGGCGATGCGCGCGCTCAGCTACCTTCTCGTATGCGCTTCGTGGCGGGCGCTATCTGGCCGTGCCGCTCGGGATCCGATCAGATGGCTGTGCTGCATGTGCTCGGGTCGCGCGCAAGCCTCCAGGGAGGACACACGGCACACGTGTGTCTGTGTGCGTTCCCAGGAGCTGGAGCGGCGCGGGTCTCGGCTGCTGGTGTGCCACGGCCGGCCGGAGGACGTGCTGGGCGCGCTGCCCGAGGGCTCCGAGGCTGGACCGGGGGACGGAAAGCAGCTGCCCCGTGGGCACTCTGCACGCGGGCACGTGCGGGTTAACGGCCGCCTTTCGCTGCTCCGTTTCACGCTGTTGCGCAGCCTCGCGGTGTTGCGTTGGGGAGAGAAACAAAAAGAAAGCAGCTGCCCAGGCACTTGGGGCGGACGAGGGCCTGGGCCAGCAAAAGAACAAGCGGCATAAGCACAAACTTCTGCAGCTTCGGGCGGGTTCTTGCATCGGCGCGGGGACCCTGGCGGCGACTCCGGCGCTGCCCCCCGGCACGCTCCGCACGCCAGGGAGGGGGGTCCAGCGCAGATCCAAGACATCCGCGCGGAACTCCGAAAGTTTCTGTTTATGCAGTTGTTTTCCGTCTTCAGCCCAGGAGCTTTGTGCGGACGAGGGCCTCGGGAGACCCGGGAAGAGGGCTGGCTTGCCAGGCCCGTCGCACTGTCAGCGTCCCGGCAGGGTCCCTCGGGGGGGCCGCACCAGCTTCGGGGTAAAATCGCTGAATCATGCTGCCGTTTGAGGGCAGAACCTCTGGACTCTTTTTAGAAGGCTTGGGGTGGGGTGCAGCCTTTCGAAAGGTCACTTCGGGATTCGGACTCCCCTCGGATGCCGCATGCGTGCTAGTACACTCGGGATTCGGGCGTGAGAACCCGCAGATTCAAGTTGGGACGGCGCTGTATCTTGCCACTCGGGAGGTTCGTGCTCAGAGTCAAAACCGCGACTTCGGGGCCTCGGCCAGCAGGCGTCAAGACGTCAGCCAGGAGGCATGTCCGTGAGCCGAGCAGAGCCTGCAGCCACGCCGCGCCGATGCCTCTCCTGCTGCTCCTCTCGCTCTGACTTCTTTCCCACCGCGTGGACTTCGGGCACGACCCTGCTCAGCTGAACTCAGGTTCCCTCAGCTCGGCTCAGCCTCGCTGAACCTGACTCATCGAACTTCGCTCAGCTCAGGCTTGGCTCCTCTGCGCAGAGCCTATCTGGCTGCGCTTCCGCGCACGTCGATGACCGCGCTGGGGCAGCCAGGGGTGTGCGATGGGGCCATGGAGCAGGCGTGGGGGCGGGGGGCTCAAGGGGTGAAGGTCTCCGGAACCGTGTATCACAGGCTTCGTGTTGGGTCTCAATTTCCCCCGTCTGAAGGCAGACCAAGTCCTTCAGGACTTGTGGCGACAAGTGGAAGCACGCTGTGTTGGATGCGGAAAGGGGCCCTTAAATCTTTGGCGTCGCAAGAGCACGCCAGCCGCAGAACAGCGCGATCGCGGACCTTCAGCCCATCCAAGCAAGCGAGCAGAACAGTCCAGGTGATCTTGGGACTGCTGAGCTCTGCCCCGCCCAGCTTCCGTTCGCGCTCTGGCTCAGCTTTAGCTTCGGCGCTGGCTTCGCCTTCGCTTCGGCCTGTCCTTGGCTTTCTGTATTACGCAGCCACTTTGCCGTTGCACTGCTTCGCTCGTGCCGACATGATCCATTTCGTTCAGCTTAGCTTTAACATCCGTTGGGTATTTTCACGGGGCTGCCACGTGTACATCTTTGTACACGCGTATAGACATATCTAGATTTGTGCATCCATAGATTTTGAAAGGCAAGGATTCGCGTTCGCATTCGTTTCACTTTGGCTTCAAAACTGAGGCGCCAGTCGTGCACCCAGCTTGTTTTGTGTATTCGCGTCGCTCATTCCTCTGGCCCGTGTTGTATCGCTGTTCCCCTTTGGGTATGTTGGGAAGTGTCCTGAGTGAGGGGGTGAGGCCACGGGAGGTCATGCGCATGCTCGCGGAACGGAGCGTCCATTTATTTCTATGAAGGCACGGGGTGCATGTGTAGGGGAAGAGGAGCAGAGGAGCTCCCGTGGGATTGATGGAAGCCTCTGGGATGGATCCGGGAGCTCATCGCGCCTGTATCAGGAGCTTGCCTTTTAGGTTTTGTAGTGGCCCACTTTGGACAAGTTTTAGTGTTTTTTGTTCTGTAGGCGGCCACCTTGGGTTGTGATAAACAATGCTCTTTGCTTTTTGGCGTGCCTGTGTCTTGCTTGGCGCGCTGTCGGACCTCTGTTGGAGCTCTCTCTTTCAGTTCTTTTGGGCTTTGCTTGGAGCTATCGTGCGCAAAGCCGGAGCTATCTCGATGCTTCAGAATTCCACAGGAAACAAGACAGGGAGGCATCCCACGTCACTGGAAAACCGGAGTCGTTTGCGGAATTTGATCCTGGAGCCCTCTCGACGGCTGTCTGAGACCATCCTGAGCGGGTTATCTTGGGGCCTCTTGGGGGCTGTCTTGGGTGCACCTCCTCCTCCTCCTCCTCCTCCTCCTCCTACTGCTCTTCCTCGTCCTCCTCCTCCTCCTCCTCCTCCTCCTCCTCCTCCTCGTCCTCCTATGGATCCCGGTCTTCGACGTTCGAGAGCGCTGGCGAAGCTCTTTGGGGCCTCTCCCGGGGCCTCTCCCGGGCCTCTCCCAGGGGCGCTCCCCGTGAGTCGTTGGGGCTCTCTTGGAGCCTCCAGCTTGGGTCCGTCTTGGGCGACGTTGAAGACATCTTGAGGCCGGAGAAGCCCACAGGAAGCAGCAGTGCGTGAAAGCTGAAGTCGCGGAAAAAACCCCAGGCTTCTGAAGGAGCTGGGCCTGCTGGGGGCCTCTCGGGGGCTGTCTTGGGCTTCCTCGGGGTTCTCTTGAGGCCTCTTGGGTTTACCTTTGGGCCATCTTGGTGCCAGCCACCCTGGGCTGCTGTCGGGCTCTCTCGGAGCTGTTTTGGGTCTCTCCTGGGGCGCTGTTGTGAGTCTTCTGAGCTCTCTTGGAGCCCTGCCAGCTCCCACTAGGAGCCATCGTGGGCGATGTTGGGGCTATCTTGAGGTCGGAGAATCCCACGGGAAACGACAATGCGAGAAAGCAGAAATCATGTAAGGAAGCACTTGTCTTGTGGCCACCTCGGGGCCTCACGGGGCCAATCTTGGATCATCCATGGCTCCCTCGGGATTGGCTTGGGGCCACTTGGGGCTGTCTTCGGGCCTAATTGGAGATTGTCACCCATGGATCCCCGCTCCTGGGCCTCTGTTTGGGCTCTCCCGGAGCTCTTTTTGGGTCTCCCCTGGGGTGGTTTTGGAAGTCTTTGAAGCGCTCTGGGGGCTTGTCTGGGCCCCACCTGTGGTCACAGGAAGCAAAAAGGCGAGAAGGCCAAAACCGTTGAGCAACCATTGGTTTTTGAATGATTTTGGTATCCCAAGGGCCTCTGGGAGGCTGTCTGGGACCATCTTGAGCCACCAGGGGCCATCTTGGGGCCCGCCTCGCATTGATGTCGCCGTTCCTGGGCCGCTCTGAGGCTCGTGGGCCGATCCCGGGTCTCGGAAGTCCTGAGGGCCGCGCCCAGAAGCAAACTCCTGCGTTGGGGGCGTTCACTGAGGAATGCGCCCAGAAGGCCTCAGACCCTGGAGGCTTCCTGATCTGATGAGGGGGGCGGTGGTACGAGTTTCCTGGGACCTTGCCTGGGCTTTGCCAGGGTATTTTTTTCCAGGGGCTCCCAGGAGCTGTCCCGCGCGCGGGAGGCAGTAACAAACAACAGAAGCCCTTGTGTGCACGCTGGGAGGATGTCAGGGGGGAGGTTGCGCACCAGCCCGCCCCCGACTTCAAAGATCAGGGGAGAGTGTGGGGGGGCTCTCGCCAGGGAAGCGGGGGGTGGGGGGTTTGTTCTGGAGAGGGGGATTTCAAGAGAGGGGGAGATTTTCGAGGGGAGGGAGCCTGGTTCCAAAGAGGGGGAGGTTGGACTTTTTCATTAGTGAAGCGTGCACAGAAGACTCTCTCTCTCTCTCTCTTTTTTGATCTCTCTCTCTCTCTCTCTTTCGCCTCCTCTTTCTTTTTCGTCTACGTGTGTGTGTGTGTGTGTGTGTGTGTGTGTGTGTGTGTATATGCTTATATAAGCACTCCGAACCTTCCCCCAGAGATCTGAACATAATTCGGGTTTGTTGGGGCGCCGATTCTAGCCTTAGCGTGGGCATTTGAATTACTGAATGTATTTAACTCTCGCTTCTAATGTTGGCTCAGTCTTCGTTGGTGTAGCTTGGCAGAGTTCAGTTTGGAGTGGCGTTGTGTGGCTCGTCTTGCCTTGGTTTAGCTCTGCGAGCCTCAGCGCCGCGCAGCTTCGTGTGGCTTTGTTAAGCTTTGCTTATCCTCGCTCGGCTTTGCATGGCTGGCTTGGTGGGGTGTGGGATAGCTCAACGTGGCGTTGCTGAGCATTGTTCGACTTGATTTAGCTTCGCTCAGCGTCAGAGCTTAAACTAGCGTCTCTTAGCTAAACGTACAGTTTAATCTTCAGCTCAGGTTGGGTGTGGCCAGCCTGCCTCAGCCTGTCTGCCCCAGTGCGGCTCAGCGTAAGTGGCTTCAGCTTGTCTCCTTTTTTGGCGTTCCTTGCTGTCTTGCTTCCCCATTTCAGTAACTCCTACTTGCAGTCGGCGCTGTGGGTGCAACACCCCAACATACTTATACTATATGTGCGTCGCCCCCCCAGGGGCGACGCGCGCACCGAGAAATCTTATAGTATATGCGTCGTGGCGGGCGCTTTCTGGCCACACCGCTCGGGAAACGATATACTACAAGATGGGTATACTATATGTTGGGGTCGGACGCGCGCCTCCAAGGAGGACATATAGTATTAGTATGTCCATGTGCGTCCCACTGTGGGTGCAACCTGGTCGATCAGCACAAGACGTGCAATTTACCACCCGGCGCAGTATTCCTTGAGCAGCTCGTGGAAGGCTTGCCCGGCTCATTCGCTCGTGCTGGCGTGTCTAGCTATCACAGGCTTATCGGTTAACCCAACCCCAACCCCATGAAGCCTCCCACCAGCCCACCCCCTCCCGCCGCCCCCGACTTGGGGATATACCCTCCAAAACCCGAGGGAGACGGCCTATATCCCCATCTCGGGGGGTAAATCCCCAAGTGGAGAAAAGGCCACCTAGATGGGGATAGGGTTCGGATAAACGATGCCCAGCGGCTCGTTTCCTGAAAAGGTGTCCAGCACTCGACCCGGGCGTCTTGTCGTTGTCATATCTCAACTGAGAGTCCCGCTGTGATGTGAATCACAACGCAATCTCTGCAAGGTGAAGTGCCTCCCTGAGCCAGTTTCCATCGAGCAGACTGACGTGGAAGAGTTCGTAAGAGCAAGGCTGGTTGCTGGCGGCAGCAAGCTTCGCACCGATCCAGGTGCGATGAGCTTGTATCATCCTGATGATCTGCCCTTTCATCCTAGAGATCGGCCCGATTGCTACAGCGGCCTCCAGGGATAGCGAAAACTTTACGGTGAAGCCGACGCAGATGGCTGTCGTTGCTTCTCGTCCTTGTCATCGCCCTCGTCTTCCTGCTTGTTTGAGTTTCTCCAGCCCTGGTCACGTTCCAGCTCCATTTTTCGAATGGCGACCGACATATGTCAGTCAGGTCGTAAGGCCAGTTTTCCAAGTACTCGCCGCTTCCACCTGCATAGACCTCGGATTCAGTGTTTGCCGGGGCTCGGTTGCAGACGTAGTGCAGCCAGGGCGTCGAAGCAGGGGGGGCAGTCTAGCTGGGAACGGACTCGGTGTTGATCGGCCTGTCTTGTCGGGCCCCCGGAAGAAAATCAACTTACCCCTGGGATATTCTTCATGACAAGTTTTGCAGTACCAGCTCCCCTTCCTTCCTCCCTTCCAGTTTGCCCTCGGATTCCATTTCGGAAAAAGGGCCAGACCCTGCACAGGTCCGGCTCCACTCCTCTCGTCCTGCTTGTTTTTTTCCTACCCTGCTCCATTCCTATCGGTATTCTGCGTGAGCATACATCCACTCTCCACCTAGTCAGCCGATAGCCGTTCACTCTTCACCTAGTCAGCCGATCCGACCCACCAAACGCAAAGACTTTTTTCATTTCAGAGGTCTCCTGGGGTCTCCTCCTGGCAACTCTTCGGGGCCTCCTGGGGTGCCTTGGGGGCCTCTTGGAGGCCTCTTGTGACGTTTTGCTTGCGGACCTCTTGGGGCCGCTTGGGGGCCGCTTGGAGGCCTCCTGTAGGCCTCTCGGAGGCCTCTTGGGGCCTCTTGAGCGCTTCTTCGGGCACTCTAAGGGCTCTCCCGTCTTGGGGCCATCTTGGAGGCGATCGGTGAACAAGGAGTGGGGGGGGCTGAATTGGCACTGCCACACCAGGAGGCCAACATGGGTCCCGAACCTACGAAAATCACTCTGATTTGTGCCTTCTCGCCAGTGCCTTTTTGGACGCTCTGTCCGCTCGGCGCCCCCCCCCCCATCCAGACGAAGTGGGAGGGGGTAGGGGGAAAAGGGTCAAGCTACACTCCTCCTCCTCCTCCTCCTCCTCCTCGTCCTCCTCCTCGTCCTCCTCCTCCTCCTCCTCCTCCTCCTCCTCCTCGAGGGTCCGCCCTCCGCGCGAAAACGATTCGCGCGAAAACTGCTGCCGTTCGAAAGGGTCAAGCCGCAAGCCATGTCGCTCACTCCCGTACGCCATCCCCCTTTGCAAGCAGCAGCGGAGTCTCAGCACAGGCAGGGGGCGCCATCGACAGTCCTCGGGAGCCAGTGCAGACGCCGGCCAGGTGCGCGATGGCCGCGAGGTGCGCCGCACGTGCCAGCTGCGCCACGCGCACCGGGTGCGCCACATTGGGCAACAGGTCGACCGCTCCACCATCCCTGTCAAAGACCAGTGCACAATGACGGCGGGTGTGGGAGCATAGTGTACTGCGTGTGACTGTGCACCCGCAAACACTTTGCAGTTTTTTCTGACAAGGGAAGTGGACCTGCGCACAGCAGGCAGCAGACCGCCCACCCCCCACAGTCCCTGGCAACGTGAATTTTGCATCGTTCGTTGGAACGGATGGTGGGCCTGCACGCAGCAGACAATATGCCAGCCCACAGCCGTCCCTGTCAAAAGCCAGTGCATAGTGATCGTCGGGCGCCCACGCATGATCCAGACTGCAAAGTGCGCTTTGGGTGTGTGTTTTTTGCCAGGGATGGCTGGCGTGTCTTGGCGTTGTGCAGAGCAGGCAGTATGCCGGCCCTCCCATTGTGCCCGCCAGAAACCAGTGCAGAGTGATCGTGGGGCGTCCGCGCATGATCTAGGCTTTGGTGCAAAGTTAACTAACTTTGTCGTTTTTTGTTGCAGGGGGTGGTGGGGGTGCATCGGCCGTGCACGCAGCAGGCAGGATGCTGGCCCCTCCGCCGTTCCAGTCAAAGACCAGTGCAAAGGGATCGCGCGGCGTCCGCGCATGATCCAGATTCTCGTGCAAAGTGCACTTCGCATTGTTTTTTGACAGCGGTGTCGGGGGTTGTCGGCATGGTCCTGGGTTTGTCGCCTGTCGGGTGGGGGAGGGGGTGCGTAGTAATAAGGAACATTGATCAAGACGCATCTCCCAGACGCAAGCAGTTTGGCTCACGCCCACCCGCCCTCCCAACACATAAGTAGTACCCGAGTCTCAGCATATTTAGGGGTCGTCTTTGGATGGCCAGCTACCGGGAGCCAATACGTGCGCGACGCTGGGGTGAGGTGCGCCACGCGTGACAGGCGCACCACGCGCACTACACCCATCAGAGATCTTAAGGAAAAGCAGTGGCTTCTATGTGCTCCAGGTTTCATATAAGAACGCCAAGGCTTTGGACTGGATCCTGGGCGTTTTCTCGGAGCGTCTTTGTTCGCATAACTTTTCTAGATCTGGACCTGGACTGCTGTTCAAGAGCACGTTTCGAGTGAAGCCCATCTTCTTAGCGTAGAATCTGCTTAACTCTAAGCAGGGGTGTAGACGCGCCAGGCGCCCCTGGGGCCCAAGCGTGCCAGGTGCGCCACGTGCTCCACGCCTGCCGCGCCAGATTGCGCAACGTGCTCCACGCGCGCCAAGTGTGCCACATGCTCCAGCCGCGCCAGGTGCGTCACGTTGGGGCACGCGCAGAGTGGGCCAGGTGCGCCCGCGCCCGCGCACATCGTGAAGCATGTCGGCCCCCATCATCCTTCTCGAAAACCAAGGCACAATCGCGGCGGAGTGCCATCATTATGTCTGGTGGGCCTGCACATGGCAGACAATATGCCAGCGCCCCCGCCGCCCCCGTCCCAAACCAACGCCAAATTATCGCCGAGTGCCCTCGCATGATCCAGATTCAGTTTCGAACTGCAGTTTGCATTTTTTGGACAGTGATAGTGGCCCTGCGCACAGAAGGCCATTAGCTGGCCCCCCCACCGCCCCTGTCAAAAAGAATGCAAAGAGCTCGCTGCCCCCCCGGACATGACCCAAGATCTTTCGCAAAGTGTACTTTGCATTCTTTCTGACTGGGGTGGCAGGGGGGCGGGCCATTGTCCTGTGTCTGTCGCTGGTCGGGCGGGGGAGGGGGTGTATATCAAAAGGGACGAGTGATCAAATCACCCTCCCGAAGGATTGCCGTCTCGATCACTCTCACCCGCCCTCCAGCACAGAAGTAGCACCCGAGTCCCAGCATGGGCTGGGACCGCCATCGGCAATCATCCGGAACCAATGCAGGCGCCAGCCATGTGCGCGACGCCCACGAGGTGCGCCGCGCGTGCCAGGGCACGCCCCCATCACCCTGTCAAATAACAGTGCAATTTGATCGCGGGCTGCCCGCGTATGACCACGATTCTGCCGCACAAGCGTATTTCGTATTGTTTCTGGCAAGGGCAATGGGCCTGCGCGCAGCAGGCAGTATGCTGGCCCCACCCCCCGTCGTCCCTGTCAAAGGACTATGCGAGATGATCGCGTCGTACCTGCGCGTGATCCAGATCTTAGCGCCGACATCTTTCCATGTTGTTTTCGGCAGGGATGATGGGAGGGGGGTTGTCATGCCTCTGGGTTCGCCCCTGGTCAGGTGGGGGAAGGTGGTGTACATAATACGGAATCTTGATCAACCTCTCGCCGAGGAGGAAGAAGGGGAAGAGGACACGGACTGAACCACCGACGCCTTAAAGGGCTAGTGGGATTTCTTGTTATCCCCTGCTTTCATGACCTTCCCTGTCTTTGCCGTCGTCGCCGATCAGTCTTTTCCAGGCACCTTCCTATCTTTCGCTGATGCTTCATATTTGTCCCATTGGGCCTGCAACGCGTAGGCAACCCTTTTGCGGCTTTGACAAGACATCGTGCGCCCTGTCATGCCATCATTCGTTCAAGACAGGCCCGTTGATACCGCCACTTGTTGCAAATGGGTTCGTTACGTCATTGGGTAAATTCAAACGAAACGAGCCCGCCGTCGTCGCAGCGCTTGTAGGTCGCGGGTGGGTCGTGTGTGAGTCGCGAGCTAGTCGCGGGCGAGTCACAGGTGGGTCGCGGTCGGGTGGCGGGGCGAGACGACGACAACACGACGCAACAGCAAGAATCCGCACGACGGAGCCCGCTTCGGCCACGCACCCCAAGACGGTGGAAGGCCGCTCGCCATCCTAGCGCGGGTCTCTTAGGAAGCAATCCAGGGCGCCCTGAGATGCACGAGGCCCCAGCGCGGGCCTCTTACCAGTCCGGAGCGCCCTAGACTGCGTTGAAAGACAGCCCAGCGCGGGCTCCATGCAAAACAGAGTGGAGCGCCCTGGACTCTGAGAAGCGGGCCTTTACCACAGCCCGGAGCGCCCAGAATTGCTGCATGATTCCCTAGAAAGTGATAGCCTTTTGTCCATTGTTTGGCCGATCGGCGCGGGCCCTCGCCCCCCTCCCCCCGGGAGTAGATCTTGGCTGTTTTGGGCGCCTGTTTCAAACAGGTGGAGTCTCCCCCATAGGACGCACTATCGCAAACAGTCGCATTGAGCAGAGGTCTGGAGCCAGATCCCCCCCCCCCTTCCGCGAAAATGTCGAAACGCCGAATTAGAAAACGTTCACAAAGGGCTTTGTACAACAGTCTGGGGCACTGCTCTGAAACAGCCCCAGTCTGATTACGGGGGAAGATGGGCGCGGGCAGGGGCCGTAATCGTTCCAGCTGGCTAGCTTGACTCCCATTCTCGTTCGTTGCTATTATTTGCTCCCAATCGGCCGTCTAATTTGCCCATGGTGAATGATGATTTCAAACGGGCGGTTCCGCATCTAGTAATTCACCACAATGCAATGCCGACGTTGTTCCTTTCGTCATGGGCATTTTGCCGTCGACGTTGCGCAATACGATAGTGATCCTTGAGGACCCAGCCGCGACCGCGCGCTTAGTACTGCTACTTACTCCGCCTCGTCGCCGTGCGCGCGGCCGCTACCGCCAAGCAGAGTGTGTGTGTGTGTGTGTGCGTGTGGGTGTGCGAGTGCGTGTGCGTGTGCGCGTGTGTGTGTGTGTGTGTGTGTGTGTGTGTGTGTGTGTGTGTGTTTGTGTGTGTGTGTGTGTGTGTGTGTGTTTGAATTTCCGATCGCCGGAGCAGTAACCTCTGCCCAGCTGCCGACGCAAACAAGTGTGTGTGTGTGCGCGCGACAGGAATGGGACGCAGCGCACATCGCACTCGAAATATCGGAATGTCTCCCTTCTTGGAGATCCGCGCGTATTTTGTTTGAAAAGTTGCGCTCTCGCTTGGGCGCGGCGCACGTCTCGGGCTCGCCACTTGTTGGACGCGGGGCCGCGCGAGACCTGGCGAAACGCAGCTCCTGTCCGAGCGCGCCGCACATTTCCCTCGAAAATGGCCTTCCCGCCTGGGCGCGGCGCATATTTTCGCTTGCCCAGTCGTTGGAAGCGGGGCCGCGCGCGAGTGGGCAAAATGTATCGTCCAAGCGCCGTGCAGATTCTGCCAAAAAAGTGGTGTTCCAGCGTGGGCGCGGCGCACATGCTTCGTTCGCCCAGTCGTCGGCAGCGGAAGGGGGGCCGCGCGCGAGCGAGCGCAATGTTGCTCTCGCCCGGGCAGCGCGAGAGGAAGTCGAATGGTGCTCTCGCCGAAGGCGCCGCGTAGAGATTTTCTCTCCTCTCGCCACGTCGTCGGAAGTGGGGCCACACGCGAGCGCCTTTCCTTTGCTAGGTGGGAGTGGGGTGAGTGCCAGTGCTCGTGTCCAGTTGTGCCAGCATTGGTCCGCCTGTCATGGGAGGGAAGGCGGGAGAGTGGGCGGGGTCCGCTGCCTCGTCCGAGCTGGTCGGCCTGACTCCTGCGTCCTCCCCCGCTCCCTCTTCGTTGCTCTCCCTACCTGCTTCTGCCTCTGGTTGTGCTCTCCTCTCCGGCACGGAAAAGGGCTTACCCTGGTCTTCAGAGGCTTCCAGGGGCCCAGCAAGGACCGAAGACTGCCCAAAGCCCTGATCCTTGGCCCCCCTGTCCTCGATTCGTCGACCCTCGAACGTCGCGTCCTCCAGGCCTGGGCTTCGCCCTGGGCTGGAAGGACATCTGGACGTCCGCCGAGAGGGAGGACTGGGCGGCCCAGATCCGCGGTCCCGTGCCCGCTCCGCAGGAGCCAGGGGTTCCTGGAAGCCCGACTTTGTCGTCGTCGTCGTCGTCGTCGTCGTTGTCGTCGTCGTCGTCGTCGTCGTCGTCGTCGCCGACGGACGTCGAGGTCGTCGCTGGACGTCGAGGTCGAGGTTCGAGGACTGAGGACTGAGGACTGCAGGTGTAGGACGATTCTGGCCCTTGTTGGCCTGCTGAGGCCTTATGGCCAGGCAAACCCTGGCGCAGGATCGGTGCAAATGCCTTCCTGTCCAAGCCAGCAGGGCGGATAACGACACCGAGCCTGGGTCGCCATCGTCGTCTCCCTTCGTCGTCCGCGCCGTTGTCGTCGCCATGTGTCGTCAAAGTCGACCCCTGGATTTGGTCCCTGGGCAGGATTTCGAGGTGGACCCAGCCGCGGCGAGGAGCAGCCCCCCAGAGTCTCAGGAAGACGAGACCGGCAAGACTCATCACCGTCTTCGCCTCCTCCTCCTCCTCCTCCTCCTCCCAGCGGGTCTGGGGCCGACCTTTCGACGTCGTCGTCGTCGTCGGTCACGGGCCCCGCGGCAGCTTCTGCTCCTGCCACGCCGCAGCTTCTGCGCAGCATTCGTGCGGTCCTGTTTGCTGTTCTCATCTGTTGTCCCACACCAGCCTTGCAACCAGCCCACGGAGATACTGTCCCGGGCCGATTGCCTGTGGAGCACGATTGGTATTTTGAGCGCAGCCCGTTTTTTTGTTGGCTTGCGAGGTGAGCTGACTACTGCCTGGACTGGACTGGACTGGGTGCGCAACCTGTGGCGCAACCACTAGCAGGCCGTTTTCTTATCGGCCGCGGAGTGCGTAACCTGTGGCACAACGAAGATCAAGCCGTTTTCTCACTGGCGCCGCCGATCGCGCAACCCATGGCGCCGCCAACGGTAGGCCGTTCTATCCAAGAGGCTTGCGCCGTTCCGCCGACCCTCAGAAGATGATCTGTGCGGCTTCCGATTTCGTATGTGTTGTCTGCCGTTTCCCGTCTTGCTGCCCGCGTGCAGTTGTGTCTGATTCGTCTTCCTCTTCCTCCATGTCTGCTGCGGGGCCTCTTTTGTGCGCCCCTTGGAGGCCCTGGGGGCGGCCGTGTGGGGGCTCCTGGGAGCTTTTTGCTGCCCTCGGGGGGCTTCTTGGGGCCTCTTGGCGGCCTCTTTGGGGCACGTTCGGGGTCTTGGGGCCATTCTGCTGGCGAGGGCCCCCACGGCCCCTGTGAGGTTCCCCCTTTTGGGCCCCTCTTGGGGCCCTCTTGGGGCCCTCTTGAGGGCCTTTTCAGTTGGCAGTCTTGCGGGCCTCTGTGCTGTCTTGGTTCCCTCTTGGGCAGTCTCTGGGCCATCCTGAGGCCCTCTTGGGCCGTGACGGGCCAGTCTGGGAGGGTATCGTGGACCGCCTAAGACTTGCAGACGATCAGGAAGGGGGAGAACGCGAACATATACATCAGCCTGGCGGTGATCCCGATTCTACGCAGCTGCGAGTAACGCTGGGTATGGCCCGCTACTCATAGGTAGTGCGCAGCGAGAGGGATCCACCCTGGGGCCGTGCGGATGGGGGCCACGAATCGTGTGAGGGGTGCCGAAATTGGGCGGTGGGCCCACGCGGACCCTGACACTGGGCCTTGGGTGGGGCTCCCTATGTCACGAAGCGTGTGGAGGGTGTGCCGAAATGCGGCGGTGCCGCCTCGCGGATCCTGCCAGTGGGGTCTTTGCTTGAGCTCCCTGTGATGCCACGAAGTGTGTGATGGGTGTGCCTTACTGATGCGGTGGCGCCATGCGGACTTTGCTTTCGGGCCCTTAAGTGGACCTCCGTAAGGGGCACGAGATGTGTGAAAGGTGTGTCAATAAGGAAGAGGCTCCGCCATATGGTCCCGCTCACTGGGCCATTCGGTGGGGCACCTTACGGGTCAAGAATCGTGTGAGGGGTGTGCGGACATGGGGGCGGCGCCGTTGTGCGGTCGTGCCAATTCAATCTTAGGTGGGGCTCCCTGGGAGCCACGGAACTTGTGAGGGAGCGCCGATATGGGGGCGGCGCTGCCACGCTGTCGCGCCCACTAAAACCGCAGTCTGGAACTGTCTGAAGGGCGCGAAGCGTGTGAGAGGTGTGCCGCGATGGGTGCGGCGCCGCCATGCGGTCGGGCCCACTGGGCCGTTAGGTGCACCTCACGGGCCACGAAACGTGTAAGGGGTGTTGAAATGGGGGCGGCGCCGCCGTTCGGTTGCGACCACTGAGACCGTAGTTGGAGCTCCCTATGGGGCCACGAATCGTGTGAGGGTTGTGCCGAAGTGGGGGCGTGTACGCCATGCGGCCGCGTTCACTAACACCCTAGGTGGAGGGGCCACGAAACATGTGAGGGGTGTGCCGTATTGGGGGCGGGTGCGCAAAGCGATCGCGCCCGCTTGGAGGTGCGCGGGTGAGTCCTGAGACCTCCTCTTTGATTAGATTTTGGACCCCAGCGAAAGGTGGCCAGCTATGTAGCTGTCTCACACGCCTTGCCACCCCCGGCACGCTGGGGGGCCCTCTACGGTCATCTTCGGGCTGTCTTGGGTTTCCTTTTCTGGCCATCTGAGCCCCCCCCGGGAGCCTCATAGGGGCTCCCTTCGGCCACCCTGGGGCTTTCTCGGGCCCTCTTTGGGGTGCTCTCGGGTCGTTCGGCGCCTTCGGAGATCGCCCTGGGGGACTCTCTGGACAGTCTTGGGGACCTCTTGGGGCTCCTGGGGGCAGTCTTGGGACTCTCTTGGGCCGTCCTGGGACTCTCTTGGTGTTGTCTTGGGGCCATCTTGAGGCCATTTTGGGCCGTCTTGTGGTCCACGTGTGGGCCGCCTGGGCCGTCTTGGGGCGATCTTGGCGGCCTCTTGGGCCTGTCTTGGGTTTTCGGGAGCCCGAGAAGAGGAGAACGCAAACTCAATCGAAACATAGGGGGCGTCCTGAGAAAGTCTTGGCATCGTGTTGAGCCTTCTTGGGGTCATCTTGGCAGTATTGGGGGCGTTTGGGGGCCGTCTTGGAACCATCTTCGCAGTCTTGGAGACTTTTTTGGAGCCATCTTGGACGAAACAGCCCGCGGGGTACCTCTTGTGGTCCTTTCTCGGTGGCCGGCCGGCGGGTCGGGCCAAAGCCCATTGGGAATTGTTTGTGAGGGCTAAGCATGTACTAACGCGGCGGCGAGCCCAGGGGGAAGTGAGAAGGGGCGGGCCTTCCCAGAAGGCTCGGAAGTCCCCTGGCCTTCTGAGAAGTGTTTCGAGCCCTCTCCGAAGACACAGAAAACTTCTCACAAGGCGCGAGAACTTCTGAGAAGTCCCGCCGCCTTCTGAGAAGGCCTTCTCCTTCTCACTTCCCCCCCTCGCTCGCCGCCGATTTGCGAGGGCTAAACATGTAACAACGTCTTGCACGCCGAGCGCCCTCTTCGGCAGGCTGCAGGGTCGGCGGGTCGAAAAACGCCTGCAGCGAACCATCGCCCTCCCCAGCCTTGTGGAAACGCCCATGTGACCAAACGCTGGGCCAACGTCGGATTAGGTGTTCTCCAAGCCCGTGTGGAAGAAAACGTAAGAACATGTGGGGGAGGACGAGAGAGAGGAGGAGGAGGCGAGGGAGAATCATGGGGACGAGGAGAGGGCAGGAGGAGACCTCCTTGGGGTTCTTGGGGCCCTCTTGTGAACTCCTGGGGCTTACCGGGGGGTCTCTTGAGGGCCTCTGAGAGGCCTTTTTGGGGCCTCCTGGGGCCTCTTCGGAGCCTCTTAGGGCCGTCTTGGGCTCTCTTGGTCCGTATGACGCCTTCGGAAGCCGTCTTGGCGGCCTCTCTGGGCTCGGGCGCTTCAAGTCCGTCTTGGAAGTCTCCTTGGTTGTTTTGGGGCATTTTTGAGGTTGACTTGAGGGTCTTTTGGGCCGGCCCGGGGCCTTCTTGGACCGCCTTGGGGCCCTCTTGGGCGCCGCTTGGGCTCTCTTGGGGCTATCTGCTATCTTGGAGGCCTCTAAGGCCGGCATGGGCTGCTGGAAGCCTGGTAAGGTTCGATTATCCCCTTCGACGGAGTGACCTTTGGTGCGGGCTCATCGGGGCCCCCCGATCGCTGATCGCGATGCGATAGCGGCTGCTTGCGCGCTTGGATTTGGCCACCTTGCGCTCCCCCAAAGCCGCGCACCAAAGGTCACTCTTACCCAGGGTCACTCTTGCGTGTAGCCGATAAGGTGAGAAAGCGTAAAGCCTTCCAACACCTCAGGACAAGCCCGAGGAGGACACAGGCAAGTGATTGCTCGCGAATGCTCAGACCAGCCGTGGCATAGCCTAGGGTACTCGCACAAATGCCCCGTAGAAGCGGACGAGGAGGAGGAGGAGGAGGAGGAGGAGGAGGAGGAGGAGGAGGAGGAGGAGGAGGGGGAGGAGGAGGAGGAGGAGGAGGAGGAGGAGGAGGAGGAGGGGGAGGAGGAGGAGGAGGAGGAGGAGGAGGAGGAGGAGGAGAGGGGGAGAGAGGACGAGAAATGACAGTGGGCCGGCAATGCTGTACCGTGGTTCGCCACGCAGCGGCCCATCCTCGATGTGGGTCCCGGTCTAGTTCGCTTCTCGCCTTCTTCTTCTTCTGTTCCTTCTTCTGTTTCTTCTTCTTCTTCTTCTGCTTCTTCTTCTTCTTATTTCTCCTCCTCCGCTGCTCCTCCTCCTCCTCCTCTTCCTCCTCCTCCGTCGCGGCATTGCTTTTAATGTGTGCCAGTGTCAGTGTCAGTGCTCTCCGCTGCTCTCCTCCTCCTCCTCCGTGTCCGTGCGAATGGTGTCACGGCGCCAGCTGCCGCTTAACTGGGTGGTCATGGTAAACTTCTTCCTTTGGAAGAAACACTTTAGGACAAACACTCTTCGGGTCCTCCTGGAGTCCTTCTTGGAGGCCTCCTGGGCCGTTTAAGGGACAGCTTGAACAATCTTGGGGCCATGTCGGGTCGTCTTGGGGGCATCTGGAGGTCATTTTGGCCAGGACCCTTTTGGGGCCATCTTGGCCGTGTTGGATCCATCTTGGGAATCTTGGAGGCCATCTGGGCCCACTTTGCCTACGGGATGTTGCTTTTGAGGGTTTGCGATGGAGTCCATGTGGCCGGTGGCATTGGCCGAGACCCCGCTGGGAACCTGTTGGAAGGGCCAACACCACTCAGCCTCGACGCGCCAAGGATCCTACGCAAGCGCCAGGGATCGGTGGAGCTAGTGAGTGGCCTTCGGCCTCAACCGCCGCCGTTTTTGGGTGTTGGCCATCGGCCTTTTACAAGTCTCTTCGGTTCTCTTGGGACGTCTCTTGAAGGCCTCTTGGAGGTTTCCTGGAGGGCTCTTGTCGGTCTCTTGGGGGCCTCTTGGAGGCTTCTTGGGGCCTCTGGGGGCCTCGGAGGCCATCTTGGGGTGGGACACTTGAAATGTCTGTTGGAGTTCCCCTTCTTGGGGCTTTTTTGGGGCCGTCTTGGAGGCCTGTTGGGCCCTCTCGGGGCTCTCTTGGGGCAGCCTTGGGGAGTTCTAGGGGGCCTCTTTGGGCCGCCTTTGGTGCTCTTAAGGCCAGAAAGCCGAGCATGCCAATATTGCACAACAACGTCTGAGGACACTCCACTGAGGCGACCTTCCTGTTTCCGAGAGGCGACCTTCCTGTTCCTGCGAGGCGACCTTCCTCTTCCTGAGCGGCCACGGCCGGTCAGTTCAGTTGTTCTGATGATAAGGGAAAGGCCACCTGATACAGCGACACTTCACTGAGTGCCTAGCGGCACGGTGGCGCATTCTTGGCGCCCAAGTGCGCCACCTGTGGCGCAACCAATCGCGGGCAGTTCTGTGCTCGGCCGCCGCATGCGGGCCGGTGTTGTTCTCGGCCGCCGAGTGCTGCGCAACCTGTGGCGAAACCAACAGCAGGCCATGCTACAAGAGGCGTTCCAGAAAGGGCCTTTCCTTCGAGGCCCGAAGGAGTTGACATCTCTTTCTCTGCGGAAGGCGGCGGAAGTAAAGCGAGGGCGACTCCGCGGGTGGAAGCCAGTGGAAGTAAAAGATGCGCCCCCAAGAGATGGCAGTTTCTCGGGTTCAGGATTTCCAGCACCCGCCATATACTGGAGGACGAAAGGTTTTCCTTTTGAAATCGAAGAGGACCACCCCTGTCCCCCGTTGAATCTTAACTCGGGGGGGCCTGCGGTCGACGGGTCCCATTCTTGTCCTGTCCAGGAGCGAATTTAATATCATAAATTCAAAACGGGGTAGAAATTTGTTCCGCCGTAAAAAAACATTGGCCGACGCGGATCCCGAAAATCAGAAATGGGATCCGCGCGCATGGAAATGGGATCCGCCGCGATTACACGATTACGGCAAGGTTGGAAATCGGATCCGCGCGACCCTCATTGGGCTCGCCGCTATGATTTCCCAGAGGGCCCGTGCACCGCGTGGGACCGTCAGGTTCAGCGCCAAGAGGAAAAAACTTTCGGCCTGGGGATGGGCGTTTTTGGCATCCGACCTGTCCTTTGCCGCATGCGGCACGTCTCTTTTCTGCGGCTTCCGTTCGAGACTTCCTCGCATGCTCTTGAGGACTGCCGTTCGAGACTTCCTCGCATGCGCTCGGCGCTTCCGAAGTTGCATCAGCCTTGGGTCACGCAGCATCCAGGCGGCCAGGATACACCCGTCCTCGTCACACGTTTCTTTCCGGGGGTTTTCACCGTCACAGGCCATCCTCATCCTCCCCCGCGGGGGCTGGAGGATGACGAAATCGACGAGGGGCGAAAGGGGCGCCTCTCGAGAGGCACCTTTGCATGGCACGTTTGTCGACGCAGGCCAGAAGAGACGGAGGGGGGACCGTTTTGAAAATATGACGCCCTCCATCCGCGCTCGGCCAAACGCGGCGCAGAACGCCGCGCGGCGTGCCACCGCGCGGTGGGAATTTCAGGGGGCCCGTTGGGTTGGGAGACGCAGGGCGCCGGCGCACTTACGCAGGACGAAAGGTTTTCCTCTTGAGATCGAAGAGGACCACCCCCGTCCCCCGTTGAATCTTAACACGGTGGGTGCCTGCGGTCGACGGATCCCGTTCTTGACGGCCGCCGGAACGAATTTTATATTATTACCCCAGTGCGACCCTACCTAGGAGTTGGGGCCCCTAGGAAAGCAGCATTAGTAGTAACGGTAAACGCCGTCCTCCTCCTTCTCTTCATCGTCGTAGTTGCCTTTGCTTTTGCTTGTTTTTGCTTTTGCTTGGTTTTGCTTTTGCTTTGCCTTCGCACACACACACACGCATGTTTTTGCATTCGCTCACCGGGTGGGCTCTCTGATCGTACTGTTGCACATTGCTTTTGCTTTGCCTTTCCTTTGCTTTGCTTTGCTTTGCGTTGCTTGTGCTTTGCTTTGCTGTTGCTGCTGTTGCTTTGCCTTTGCTTTGCTGCTATGCTATGCTATGCTATGCTATGCTGCACTATGCTATGCTATGCTCTGCTATGCTATGCTATGCTACGCTATGCTATGCTACGCTATGCTGCGCTATGTTATGCTAGGCTATGGTATGATATGCTATGCTGCGCTATGCTATGCTATGCTGGGCTATGCTATGAGATGCTAAGCTAAGCTAACTTAAACTAAGCTACAGCTAAGCGAAGGTAAGATGAAGCTAAGCTAAGCTAAGCTAAGCTAAGCTAAGATGAGATACGCAAAGCTAAGGTAAGGGGGCGCAACTGGGGGAGCCGCGGGGGGGGGACCGGGGGAACCGCCCGGGGCGAGGAACACTGCCCGGCCCCTTTAAGCTAATAGAGTAAGAACCCTCTAGGCAGAGGGAATAAATTCAAAACGGGGTAGATATTAGATCTGCCGTAAGAAAGAAAGTGCGACACTGATCCCGAAAATCAGACATTGGATCCGCGCGCACGGAAATGGGATCCGCCGCGATTTTACGATTACGGTAAGGTTGGAAATCGGATCTGCGCGACCCTCATTGGGCTCGCCGCTATGTTTTCCCAGAGGGCCCGTGCACCGCGTGGGACCGTCAGGTTCAGCGCCAAGAGGAAAACACTTTCGGCCTGGGGATGTATACACATTGCGCAACCCACGGGGGCAACCAGTGTCCTACGCGCCGGTTTACAGTAGGTTGCCATGACAGCTAAGGCAGAGAAATGGAGTGCGGCTCCCCCCCCTGGAGAGTGAAACACGTGATGACGGTCTTGACATGCCCGCCTAGCTTGGCATCAGCGTGCACGCGCTCCTGAGAGCGATCCGTATCGCTCTGGAGCTGCTCGTCTTTGTTTTTGGCCCTTGCTTGATCTGTCTATCCCCTAGGTTTAGACTTGCTCGTCGGTCAGTTGTGTATGCCGTCGCTGCACGACACATGCGAATTACTCGACCTGCAATAATAGCAGGAGGGGTCGGAGGTGGAGAAGGGGGAGGTGGAGGGGCGAGGTCGAGGAGTGGGTGCTCCGACCCACTGCGCCCCTGTTTCCCGCCCTGGTGCTTCCCAGAGGAGTTCCCCCCGCCGCCCGCGGACCTGAAGCTGCCTGGCCAGATCCCCGCCGGGGTCCTTGCGGATGAGCGGGAGACGCTCCTCCACCTGGGCTACACCGAGGAGGAGATCCAGGAGGTCGGTACCCCCCCACCTTGTCCTCGCGCCTGCCATTCCGTTGCTTCGTGTCTTGGAGGGCCCCTCTCGGAGCCACCTGGATACGGCTCGGATCGTCTTGTCAGCCAGGCTGGCGTGCGAGATCGGCCAGTGGATCGATTCGACGGGAAATGCCCGTGCACAAACGGAAGTTCGGGAAGGCAGTAGCTCCACGACATCTGCGCCTACACACTTCTGGGCTCGTTTGTTTTTTTGATGCACAACAGAGACAGAGAGGTATACATAGAAAGAGAGAGAGGGAGAGAGTGAGAAGGAGAGAGAGAGAGAGAGAGGGAGACACATATAGAGAGAGAGAGAGAGAGAGAGAGACAGAGGCAGAGACAGAGAGTGAGAAAGAGAGAGGGAGAGCGAACAACGATACATACATACATTCACTCATTCATTCATACATACATGCGTTTATACACATAGACATGCACACACACATATATATGTATGTATGTATGTATGTATGTATGTATGTATGTATGTATGTATGTATGTATGTATGTATGTATGTATGTATGTATGTATGTATATATGTATGGATGGATGGATGGATGGATGGATGGATGGATGGATGGATGGATGTATGTATGCATGTATGTATGTATGTATATATATATATATATATAGATATTTATATATATTGTATAGATGTACATAGGTAGAGACAGAGAGAGAGAGAGAGCGAGAGAAAGAGAGACAATGAGAGAGAGAGAGAGAGAGAGAGAGCGAGAGAAAGAGAGAGAGAGAGAGAGAGAAATGCAATCGGCTCCAGCATGCGACAGTATGGTGGGAGGGGTTAAACTTGCCAAGTCGGACGGGTCAGCGGAACCTCACTCCCATAACATAAGAGTCAATTGTGGCACCACTTGAGATTGCGACTGGAACGCGTTCCCACCTAGCGAACGAAAGGCGCTCGCTCGCGGTCCTGCTTCCGACAACTTGGCGAGGGGGGAAATGTGGGCTGCGCACTGGCGGGAGTGGAGCTTCAGAAAATCTTTGCGCGGCGCTGCGGCGAAATCACCATCTGGCCTTCTCCTGGGCGGCAGAATTTCCGACGAGCGTGGCGATGACGAACAAGGCGCCGCACCGGAGCAGCACTGCCATTCTGAGGCACACGCTGCGCGACGGTGTGGCGAGGACGTGCTTCCGCCTGCTCTTCGCACGGCCCCGCTGCCGTTGCCGCTCTCCTGCGATTCGGGGAGGCGCCGCCCCCGCCCGGGACGCCGCTTCCAGGCGAGAGATCTCTCCACGGAGGCTGCGCAAAGGGCGACAGGTCGCCCGCTCGTGCGCGGCCCCGCTCCCAACGACGTGGCGAGGGACAGATCTGCGCCGCGCCGACGCGAGATCGACCTCTTCGTCCGCTCTCGCGTCGACGAGCCAGCGGCCAGCACGTGTGCGCCGCGCCCGTGTGGGAACTCGGCCCTCAGGAGAGACGAGCGCGGCGCCGAGGCGAGGCGAGGGCGCCCTTTCGCCCTTTCGCGCGGGATGTGTGCCCCGCCCCGTGCGGGGGGCCCGAGCGGTCTTCCACCATCACTGGGAGCGTGCCTGAAGTGGGCTTCCTCGGTGAGCATTCTTGTTGAATTTTTCATTTCTCAAGAACAATTATTGTTGATCACCTCTCTGGTGCACCTCGTGTTTTTCCCGGGACTCGCACCCTTGCTTTTTACAAGGGGACGTCTTGGGCCTGGGTACCCGCCCTCTTCGTCTTCGATCGTACCCCCCTGGGGGTATATCTTCGCTACCTCCCCGGCACCGGTTTTTCATCTTGAGCCGACTCTTGACGATCCCGGGGCCCGGCGAGGGCTCCCAGAGTCCCAACATGGAGAACCCCCCTTGTCGTGATCTTTTCAAGACTCGAGGGGCTCTGGGACCGTAGCGTCGTGGAGGACGATCAATGGCGAGGAAGCATGTTGTCAAACATTTGGCAGATGTCGAAAACATGTTTAAAAGCATGTGGTAAGCATGCTTGAAACAGGTTTAGAACATTTTTCTGACACGTTAAACACATTTTAGATTTGAATTCGATGATCGGACTGTCAGGGTGTCCATGGTCGTGGCATCCGCAACCGCAGCTGCGCATGCGCCTGCAACCGGACCAGGCGCTGGTGGGCCGCCGCCCGCCGCGCCCCCGCCCCCGAAGCGGCGCGCCTCGGCAGGCGGAGGGCCAGAGCATCCCCGAGGGCGGCGAGCCGGCGGCGCGCCTGTGGCTGGAGCGGTGGGTGGCCGAGGCCCAGCGGGCGAAGGCGCAGGATCTCGGGGCTCGAGGGGCGGGGTCCGAGGCAGGAGTTTCTACAGGACCACCGCCCGGAGGATCCACTTTCGGGGACCTCGGCAGGCGGTGGATATGGATATTTTCTGGCCCCCGGGGGCCAGCATATGTCCAGATCCACCGCCCGCTGGGGCACCAGGACGTCGGTTCCCAGGCGGTGGATATGGATAAATTCCCGCCTCGCACCGGGTCCATTCCAGTTTCCGCTCTCAGTTCGCGCGCCGTTTGACGGCCCCATGGGTCTAAAGTTCCTCATGTGTGGGGCGGGGGGCGCTTTTCACGTGTTCATGGGGTCGGAGCAGGTGGGGTCGGAGGATCGCGCCGCACCGCCGACGCATCGGCGATGCGTCTCGATGCGGAACTGTAATGCAGATGGATCGGCGATGCATCGGCGATGCATCGGCGATGCGGCGCGATCCCCCGACCCCATCTACTCCGACCACATCTAGGAGGCTTCTATTAATGCAAAAGGGGATCAGCCAGAGCGCAGGATCTTGCAGGATCCTGCAGGGCCGGGGATGCACTGGCCCGGGCTTGCGAGCAGGATCCTGCAGGCACCTGCAGGATCTTGCAGGATCCTGCAGGGCCCGACTGACCCAGGCTTGCACTGACCCGTGCCGGTGGACGCCCGAAGGATCCCGAGGCCGGGCAGGGGATCGAGCGCCCCTCGGGTGATGAACAAATCATGGCGGGAGGTTTTGTTGGCTGTTTTCGGCCTCTGGGGCCCTTGCAGTCGAGTCTGTTTGGCAGCTCGACCCTGCCAGAGCAAGGGTACCCTTGCGTCCTGTGTTTCGTGGCCCATGCCTTCTACATTCCGATGGCAGCGTGGCCCTCGGACGGTCTTGTGTCCTCTCCCGTGTCCTCCCTAATCCAACTCGACTGCACCGGGCCTCGGGACCGTCGCAAAACAACGCGGGATGAAACACCGGCCCCAGGGAAGGGGTCGAGACCCGTCGGGGTCGACGTGATCCAAAAATCATGACGTCGGGGGTCTGGAGAGAGCTCAGGGGCGGGGGAAGGGTCGGCCCCTCGCGGCCGAGCCTCCCTCGGCCTGCGAGGGCGAGCCCGCTTCTTTGGGCGGGTGCTTCTATGGGCCTCATCGGGTCCCCCGAGGGCCATCGTTTCGCGGAGGCATGCGGGCGGGGGAAGGGGGAGGGGGAGGGCTCAGGGAGGGGGGGAGGGAAAAGGAGGGGGAGGCAGGCAGGGCAACCAAGAGTGCGTCCGAGGGCCGAACCCACCCCAGTAGAGCATGGAGTGGAGCCCGCGGAAGGCGAGCTCCACGTGCGGCGGGCGGCGGGGGAGGGCGGCCCTTCAATCTAGGCGGTGCGGCGGTGAGGCCCCCCTGCCCTCCCCGCTGCTGACGGGCCGGGCCCGCGGCCTGGCTCCCGGGGTCACCGCGGCCTGGGCCCCCCGGGCGCACTCCAGCTCCGGGGCCGCCGCGTCGGAGGTGGGGGCGCCCCCCCCCCCCCCCGCCCAGTCGGCTCCAGGAGGTCCTCCCGGACCCTCCTGGGGCCGGGCGGCGGGGTCGTCCGTGCCGAGGCGGGCGGGCACGATGCCCTCCCCGACCGCGGCGACGTGCGCCTCCGCGAGCCAGGGCAGAGCCGCGGCCCGCCACCAGCCCGTCCGCCCACCTCGCCGTCCAGCTCATCCTTCAGCACGGCCAGCCCTGCCGCGGGCGCGGCAGCGATCTCCAGGAGGCGCAGGCCCGCAGGGGCAGGCAGCGGGCGGGCCTGCCGCCGCGGCCTGCGGCCACCCCCCGCGGCGCCGTCCATCTCGGCGCCCCCGCGCGTCCCGCCGCCGTGGGCACGAGCAGCGTCGGCCGCGGCCAAGCCGCAGCTCGCGGCGCCGCCGCCAAGAACCACCACGTCCACGTCCACGTCGCCGTCGCCGTCGCCGCCTCCCAGGGGCAGCAGCAGCAGCAGCAGCAGCAGCGCCAGGAGCGGGCGGCTGCGCGGCGGGAGGCCGAAAGCTCGCCGCCGCCGCGCGCCGCAGGCCCTCGGCGGCCCCAGCAGCATGCGCACCCCCGCCTGGGAGCGGCCCGCCGCGAGGCCCGTCGCGGCGTGCGCTGCCCCGCGGGCTGCTTCCTCGGCGCCGTGCTGTTGCGAGATCGCACATGGCAGTCAGTGCTCCGCAGCGAGCGCTGCGCGGCGCGGCTGGGGCCCAGAGATGCAGAGGTGAGCCCAAATGGGCACTGGGAAAAGGAGGGGGAGGGGGGGAGGGATTGGGGGGGAGGGGCCAGGGAGGGAGGCTCCTCCTCCTCCTCCTCCTCCTCCTCCTCCTCCTCCTCCTCCTCCTCCTCGTCCTCCTCCTCCTCCTCCTCCTCCTCCTCCTCCTCCTCCTCCTCCTCCTCCTGGAGCAGGGTGTCGCGAGAGTGACGCTTAGACGTTTAGGGTAACGGCGCTTGCGAATCGCTCTGGCTTCAAGAGCGGGCTGGACTGGACTGGACTGGACTGCCTCTCGTCCCTTCCCTATCCAGTTCGGCTCGAGTCATTCCGGCGGGAGCCGTTCCAGCTCACGCCAGCCAGTGCCTGGGTCGCAGGGCGCGGGCGGCGCTGGCCCTCCCTGCCGCTGCGGTGAGCAGAGCCAGGCTGCGGTCATCAAGGCAGCGGCTGAGGGCGCCGAGCAGACGAAGATACAGCTAAGACGCTGAGGTACAGTCGGACCGAGGTAAAAGATCGAGGTCGGTTCGGGGAGGGTGCCCTCGTGTTCTTCGCCTTTGTTGGATGTTCTTGTGCATTCTGGGTAGGGTACCCTTGGATGTTCTGTTTGTTTTGGCCAGCGGATAGTCTCATGTTCTTGAAGGGATGTTTTTTTCTGGCCTAGGTCCGACTGTAAGGACCACTTCCTGTTCAGGAGGGGCTCTTGTTTTCGGGCTGTTTCTTAGATCTAGGTCGTGGAGCGTATGCGCCGCCACGGCTCGTTGTGGCCAGACAAGCCCCTCGATTCTTTATTTAGTGTTCCTTATGGCAGCACGGTGACGGCATCATTCTGATTGCCGGTGCCGCTCATCGTCGAATACTTCGGGGATGCGGATGGCAATTTCGCACGTGGGCTGGCCGCTGCAGGTGAGCTCCATGACCTGGAGTCCTTCGTTCTGCCCGATGGCCCAGCGCATCAGTCTTGCGACTGGGGCGAGGCTTGCGCGCATCCGAGGGCTAAGGGCGGAGTACTTGGACATCCTCGGAGGACGGTCAAGAACGCTTGCTTAGCCTGTCGTGCCGCCAGTTCTGGCCCACCACGCCTCGGCACGACACGCTAAGCGCGTCCCTGTCCCCAGGCATTAATCAGAGCGTGAATTACCTACCCCGCTTTCGCTTCCAGGCAAAGCCAAGCCATACCACGCGCCTCCTCGTTAAGCGGCCTAACCAGTACAGGCTGCAATCTGGCATCGTTTGGTATCTCTTGGAAGCGAGGGTGGTCAAAAGCGAGGCAGGTTTGTTTTCCCCCTAATTAACGTTTCGAGCTTTTCCAATGCTGCCGTCCCACGAAGCAGAGCGACACGCTATCCGCTTGCAGGGCGTAGTGTGCCGCAGGGGGGGCTGCCGCTCCGACGCGCTGAGCAACAGGTCCGCAGCGTATACGACTCCAGCTTGGAGCTGAACGCGCAGCCGGCCCTTGCCCGCTGCGGGTGGAGGTGCAGAAGCACCAGCAGGACACCACGGAGCTTGAGAGTGCCTATGCGGCCGAGCAGCTCGACGACGCGTCGGCACGGCCGCCAAGCTTCCGCAGCACGAGCAGAGGTGCCTCCAGGCCAGCTCTGGGACCGACGCAGAGCTCCAGCAGCAGCTCGGTTGGCTCCGACAGCAGTTCATTGAGAAGTGCCTATGGTACTGCGCGCAGGCCAGAGGACTGCAGGCCGAGGCGGAGCAACAGATCAAGCGGATGGCAGGGAATATCTCCACGAGCGACGCTTCGGAGTGGGCCGACTTGGTGTGCCAGAGGAACTCTCTGCCGTCCCTGCACCATCGCTGTGTATGCCAAGTGCGACGACGCGAGCCCCGTAGCGGCCAAGAAGATCGTCCAGCTAAAACAGGCACTCCAAGCTCCACCCCGAGCATTTCGAGCAGCTCGAGGCGGAGCAAAAGTTCCTGACCGTAGTTGCGTCCCTTCGTGGCCCTGGGTGTCCCCCGCGGCGGGCTCGCTCCTCGGACGAAGGGCCTCGGTGGGCTGCGGCTGGCGGGCCCTGGTGCGCGCCTCCAGAGGCCCGTGCGACATGAGACAAGCAGAGACGTCCAACATCTCGGGAGGCGTCGGGGGAGGAAGGGGAGGACAAAGGCCTTCCTGGCCCCGGGCCCCCGCGGTGCGCGCGGTCCCACGGGGGGGGGGGGGGGGGGGCTGGCCTCAACTCGCCGCCGCCACGGTGGCTGCGCGCGCACCCCGTGAACAAGGCCCAGACTTACAGGTTGAACCTCAGGGTCCACAGGCTGAGCCTCAAGATCTTTAGGCTGAACCTCGAGGTCTACAGGCCGAGCTTCGCGAACCGTTGAGACCTACCAGCAGACGCCATGCCGAGACTGGGAGCAGCGGCAGCTTCTAAGCAGATGGGGTGGGTACTGTGGAAGACACGGGCTCCAAACAAACCCCCAAGACATCATGCTCGTCACCACGGCCGCCTACAACAACAAGTGCGACACCAAGTGCGCCAGCAATCCTACGACAGCGGAGTGCACTGATGTGAAGCCCTACGCACAGGCACCCAGTGACAGAAGACAGGGGGCCCCGACTGCAGCTTCAAAGCCTCCTGCGCCAGACGTGAAGTACATGGTCATAGATCTACCCGCCCGAGACCTCGTGTGGCGCTGGCAACAACCGCGGCCACGACCAATACGGCCAGGGCGGCCAGGAATGCTGCCACATCAGGGGCGCATGCTACTACGCGGTTGGTTCGCCCTTACGGAAGCCAACATGCTCCGAAGGCCACCTGTGAGCTACGACAGCAAGAACCAGTGTTTCTGGAGCTGTCAGTCGGGCTTCGAGGGCCACCAGCAGAGCTGCGACGGCAAGAATGAGAGATGCGAGGACCACAAGCAGAGCCACCAGGGTCACCAACAGAGCTACGACCTGGCAGCCGACGGCTCCGACTTGGACCGCGGGGTGGCGAAGGAGGCAGACGAGGAGGAGGAGAAGAAGGCAGACGAGGAGGAGGAGGACTACGAGGAGAACGGTTTTAAGAAAGATGACGACGCAGAGCTACGAACGCCACCTGCTGAGCTACGAGAGCCACCAGCAGAGCTACGAGGACAACGGTCTGGGCTATCAGGACCACGCGCTGAGTTACGAGGGCCACAAGCAGATCTACGAGGGCCACCTGCCGAGCTACAAGGGCCACAATCCCAGCTACGCGGGCCACAGGCAGAGCTTCGAGAGCCTCCTGCACAGCTAGGAGGGCGACGGGCACAGTAAGGGCCACGGGCAGACATTCGTGAGCCACCAGCCCAGCTACGAGGGCCACGTACTGAGCTACGATGGACACAGCATGAGCAACGCGGGCCGCAGGCAGAACTATGCGAGTCTCCCGAAGAGCTACCAGGGCGACGAACTGAACTGCAAGGGCCACGAGCATACCTTTGAGGACCACCAGTAGGGCCATATGCTGAGCTACGAGGCCCACAACCTGACCTACGCGGGCCACGAGCATGCCTTCGAGGGCCACCTGCTGAACTACGAGGGCCGCCCGAGGAGCTACGAAGGCCACAACCTGAGCTACGCGGGCCACGAGCTGAGCTGCGCGAGCCTCCAGCAGATCTACCAGGGCGACGGGCTGAATTGCAAGGCCCACGAGCAGACCTTCCACCAGCTCAGCTACGAGGGTCACTTGCTGAGCTACGAGGGACACAGCATGAGCTACGCGGGTGAGAAGAAGAATTGCTCGAGCCTTCCGCAGAGCTACCAGGGCGACGAGCTGAACTAGAAGGACCAGGAGCAGAACCTCGAGAGCCACCAGCGCAGCCACGAGGGCCACCTGCTGAGCTACGAGGGCCAAAACCTGAGCTGCGCTGGCCGCAGGCAGAACTACGAGAGCTCCCGCAGAGCTATCCAAGCGACGAGCTGAACTGCAAGGGCCACGAGCAGACCTTCGAGGGACAAAAATCAGTGTCCCCTGCCGGTGGCACAGTACAGGGCAAGTGGGGCAAGACTTTTTTTGCGATTTCGTTGTGCTGGGTCCGCGCGAGAAGAAGCTACGAACCCACTGGACAGATGCACGGTGCTGCAGCCCTGCGCCCCCATCGAGCCCCAGGACAACGCAGCAGCACGTGTGACCATCCTTTTCTCGAGCTGCATTGGTACTTCACTCCCTTATCCGGAGTGCCTGATCAAGACCGCTACGAAACTGTTAGCACGGCGCTGCTACTGTACGTGGTACGCTTATGTCTGGTACCACTCGTTATTGCAGTGCTGCGAACCGCGAGTTACGAGCAAAATACAGGGTCGTGAACAGCAACAGCATCTTTTGAGTGGCTCGGCCGCTTTCCTCGCCCACTGCTTCCCTCCTCAGTTTCGGTATCACCATTGTCAGGTTTCGGTGCCCCCTTCCCTTGTCTCTCCCCCTGGGAAAGGTAGCGTCTGGGGGCCCCCGCACTCGCGCGGGGCCCGCCGTCGCCCCACGGGGCGGCCGCGGGCGCGCGAACGCGGAAGGGCACGCTCGATGGCGCTGCGAGAAGAGAGAGAGAGAGAGAGAGAGAGAGAGAGAGAGAGAGAGAGAGAGAGAGACAGAGAGAGAGACAGAGAGAGAGAGGGAGAGGGAGGAATCTGAAACGGAGCTCGCCGAGGTCCCCGCAGTGGCGGAGACAATCATAAAAAGGTGAGGGGGAGGAGGGACAGAGACGAGAGAGATAGAGAGAGAGAGAGAGAGAGAGAGAGAGAGAGAGAGAGAGAAAGGGGGAGGACGAGAAGGGCGAACATGACAGCGTGATGGAGGAGAGGCTGGAACAAGAACCAGACTGTTACAACGAAGCCAAATACGAATGATTTTACCAATCCCACCATTCATAGTATGAGTACCATTATTACGAAGGGTACGGACCATCTCATTAACAGTAGAAGTGTTAATGCAGCTACTAAGCAGACTGCATGTGACACGGCTCGCATCCAGCATGGGACATTCAAGGGTACTACAGCGCACGTAACCATATGAGTTACACAAATTATCAACACCCATGCAGACAGTACTGATCTTGCCATTCGCAGTGCTACGCAATCTCAGCGGCATGGTCATGACCTTCCAGAGGTCCGCGCGGTCTCCCAGAAAGCTTGTATGTTTGCCGTCTTGGAGGACGAGAGGGGGTAGGGGTAGTAGTAGTAGTAGTAGTAGTAGTAGTAGTAGTAGTAGTAGTAGTAGTAGTAGTAGTAGTAGTAGTAGTAGTAGTAGTAGTAGTAGTAGTAGTAGTAGTAGTAGTAGTAGTAGTAGTAGTAGTAGTAGTAGTAGTAGTAGTAGTAGTAGTAGTAGTAGTAGTAGTAGTAGTAGTAGTAGTAGTAGTAGTAGTAGTAGTAGTAGTAGTAGTAGTAGTAGTAGTAGTAGTAGTAGTAGTAGTAGTAGTAGTAGTAGTAGTAGTAGTAGTAGTAGTAGTTAGTAGTAGTAGTAGTTGTAGTAGTAGTAGTAGTTGGTAGTAGGAGTCGTCGTCGTCGTCGTAGTAGTAGTAGTAGTAGTAGTAGTAGTAGTAGTAGTAGTAGTAGTAGTAGTAGAGTCGTAGTAATTAGTTATTAGTGGTCAGTAGTAGTAGTAGTAGTAGTAGTAGTAGTAGTAGTTGTAGTTAGTAGTAGTAGTAGTAGCAGTAGCAGTAGATAGTGGTAGTAGTAGTCGTAGTAGTAGTAGTAGTAGTAGTAGTAGTAGTAGTAGTAGTAGTAGTAGTAGTAGTAGTAGTAGTAGTAGTAGTAGTAGTCGTAGTAGTAGTAGTAGTAGTAGTAGTAGTAGTAGTAGTAGTAGTAGTAGTAGTAGTAGTAGTAGTAGTAGTAGTCGTAGTAGTCGTAGTAGTAGTAGCAGTAGTAGTAGTAGTAGTCGTAGTAGTAGTAGTAGTAGTAGTAGTAGTAGTTAGTATTAGTAGTAGTCGTAGGAGGAGGTTGAGGAGGGGGGGAGGAGTAGGAGGAGGAGAAGAGGAGGAGGGAGGAGGAGGAGCCGGGACGAGGAGGAGGAGGAGGAAGGAGCAGAAAGGAGGAGAGGATGCGGAGGACGAGGAGGAGGAGGCAGAGGAAGGAGGAGGTGCAGGAGGAGCAGGTAGAAGGAACCGAAGGAGAGGCGGAGGTGCAGGAGGAGAGGCGGGAAGTGAGGAGGAGGAGGAAGAGGAGGCGGAAGAGGAGGAGGAGGAGGAGGAGGAGGAGGCGGAGGGGAGGAAGAGGAGCCGAGGTGAGGAGAGTAGGAGGGAGGGGTGAGGGGCGGTGGGAAGGTGGAGGCACACAAGGGCGAGAGTATTGGTCGTGCGGTGGTGAGGAGGGAGGAGGAGGAAGTGCAGAGGAGGAGGAGGAACAAAAAGGAGAGAAAGGAGGCAGCGGAGGGAGGAGGAGGAGGAGGAGGAGGAGGAGGAGGAGGAGGAGGAGGAGGAGGAGGAGGAGGAGGAGGAGGCCCCTCCCCCCCCCCGCGTCCAGGAGGAGCAGCCGCCTGCCGTGTACTGGGACCTCCCCTGCGGGGGCCAGAGCGGGCCGACCGCGGGCGAGGCGGCGGGCCGGCGAAGAAGCGCTCGGGGGCGCCCCTCGCTGGCGGAGGGGGGGGACTGGTGCAGGGGGTCGCCCAAACGGTGAGGTGACCACACCGTGTGGTGAGCCAGTGCGGACTCGGTGGTCACTGCACGTTTTTCGGGTGTGGTTCGTTCTGCGAGGGTGTCTCGTGTGGTGGGGTCCTTCGGGATTTCGAGGTCGTCGCACGGTCTGTCACCACATGGTTTTTGGTTTTGGGACTCCCAAGCAGGGGGGGTGGTCCTGCCTCCCTCGCCTCAGCATCGAGAGAAGGACGCACGTGTACATGAATCCACGCTGGTTTCGAAAGTACGCGTTGCGCGAACTTTCGTATCCTGAGGCTGGTCTCGCGGACTGGGGGGCCGCATTCATGTACGTGGTTGTGCGAGTACGTCCTTGATATCTCCCTATCACCGACAGTCGAGGAATAACAAACGCCCTAAGCATAAACGTTTGGAGCTCCGCGCGGATTTTTTTGGATCTGCGCTGGAACCCCCTGTCGGCGCCTCTGGCGCCGCCCCTGGCGCGCTCCGCGAGAGACAGGGAGGGGGGGTCCAGCGCAGACCCAAGAAATCCTCGCGGACCTCCAAACGTTTACCTCTAGGCCGGCCTCCTTCCTCTAGACAGATATTCGAGTGTTTTCCGTTGGCAAACGCGTCGGACAAAAGGTGCCACCGTCGCAAGCCCCTCCAGGGCCGGGCGGGCGGGCACGATCGCATCGCGCCCGAGCTGGCTGCTGCGCGACACGCGGGTGCCGAGGGGAGGAGGGAGCCAACGGGAGAGTCAAAGAGCTCCCAGCAGGAGGAGGATATCCAGGAAGCGCTAACATGGGCCAGGGCGCGTGGATTAGCGACGGGCCCCGTGTCCCTGCGTAGTCGTCGTGCTTCGGTACGAAATCAGGCGGCAGTGGCCTCATGTTTCGGGATGTGCCTTCCCCGATCCGTGGACCTTGCGCCCACGCGCCAGATCCACGGATGTGTAAGATGCAGTTTAGCGTGTGCCCAGGAGCTCCAAGGTAGCGTCCCCTGGCAGGTACCTTCGGTCGCCCCAGGCAAGCGTCCTGACGAGTACCTTCGAGCGCTGGCGCCTCAGGCAAGCGTCCCGACGGCATTTTCGGGCGTCCCTGGCAAGCGTCCCCGCAAGTACTCTCAGGCGCCCGTGGGAGTGTCCTGATATGTAGCTGCCAGGACGCATCCTTGGTCCGCCCGAAGGGTCTCATTCCCCTGAAGGAGGAGGGGGAGGAGGAGGAGGAGGAGGAGGAGGAGGAGGAGGAGGAGGAGGCGGAGGAGGAGGAGGAGGAGGAGGAGGAGGAGGAGGAGGAGTGGGCCCGCGACTCGAGGAGATCGGGTCTGCGCAGGCCAGGGTGTACAGCTGGGTCCCCCGAAGGGGCGCGACTGCACTTTTCGCGCTTCGGGGCCTGGGTCGGAGGGCCGCTCTCCTCCAGGGGGCGGCGCGTGAGCGTGAAGTCCATCGGGCCTCGCGCTTGGCGCGCGCAGCGCGACACGCGAAGCGAGGCGACCGGGGGGGGGGGCCTGGGGCTGCGGCGGCCCCTCCCCCTCCCCGCTCTGTGCGGGCGGCCCCCCTCCCGTGTCCGCACGGGGCACAGGTGGACGTGGCAGAAGTCGCGTTGGCCTCCGTCTCCTCTGCCACCCGAGAGGTGCCAGCCATGGATTCCCGACCAGCGGGGCCAGGGAGAGGTGCCCAGGCCGTGCCGCCGCCTTGGCCAAGTGGTCTCTCCAGCCGTTCTGCATGTTCTCAACCGGCTCGGCGACGACGAGTTCGTCCCAGCCTGCAGCGAGTGTGGTACGCATTCTGAATGTACCCTCAAGGGGCTCCACGAGCAGTGCACCAGTGAGTTCCGTTTCATTTTTGCGCGTGGAGCTTGGGCCCCATTCAGTTCGGACAGGCACCCCCAAGGCCTCAGAAGACAAGAGCCCACTTGTTTTTGGTACACCAGTTTCCGTTGAAAGGGTCGCCCAAGGGGGTTTCCCAAGTCAAGCGCTCCAAAGAGGTTTCCCAAGTCAAGTGCTAGAAGTCGCTGCAATCCGTAGCCATTTTGGCTCAAGTCCGCAGCTGCGCTGGCTCCATACGAAGCGATGAAAGAAGTCGCGTTATCGGAGGTCGGAAGTCACAACACGGCTGGTGACTTCTGGACAGTGATACATGGCGCCGTTTACGACATGTCCCGCTTTGCGCCATTTCATCCTGGCGGCCCGATTATCATGTTGGCTGCAGGGACTGACTGCACAGTGATGTTCGAGCAGTACCATCTGCGCAGCCAGGCAGCCTTAGACAAAGTCGCAGGCTGCAAGGTCGCCGCTCTCAAGGGCAAGTCTCCCGCCATGGGCCCCATGTTCATTGAGCTCCAACGTCGCGTTGCAGAAAGACTGAGCGGAGAACCAAAGCGGCCTCGCAGCGTGCAAGTTTTGTTCCTTCTGGATGTGATAGCAGCTGTGCTTGCGCTGTGATGGTCAGTCCGTGCAAGTGCTACCACACCGACTTGGCAACTTCTTTCAGCTCCACTCGCCATTCAGCTCCTGTTATTGCGACTATTCGGACAGGCGCATGCCCTCGGCCACATGCAGATCTGGCCCGCACCGACAGTGACATTTTGGCGACGCTTGCTGACAGCGATTGGGAGTCCTGGCATCGGCCTGGCGACGGTCCCGGAGTCCAGCGAAAACCCGCGCAAGATGCTGAACGAAGCGCACGTTGCGGCGCAGTTCGAGTTCCCAGATGGGCGTGGACCGTGCGAGCACCAGTCCGTTCACCACGTTCGCGGTGCCGAGCTTGAGCACGACCAGTGCTACAAGGTCTGTTCAATGGGCGGGCTGTTGAGGATCGGCGGGCGCCAGACCTACCTGACGGTGAACACATTCCAGCGTTTTCGATGGTACCGGATTTTGGCTGGCGTGTTTTCGGATTGCATGTTGCCTGCCGTGGCCGTCATCGAGCGCGTCGCCTTTCTCTCGCACTCTTGGGTACCGCAAGCCCATTGGGTCGAGATCGGGGTTTGCACGTTGGGGATTCTCGCGTCATGCGCGTTTCTCAGGGCATCCTTGCTGCTGTTCGCGAAAGGCATGGGAGGAGTGTGCTGCTTCGCATGCGCGCAGTTTCTCAAGCAGCACCTTGTTGCATCCAATGCCGAGCTTTTTTTCGCACAGCACGTGTGGGACCGCGAAGTTGGCGAAGAAGAGGTGAACCAAGATTGGGGCAAGCACAACGCTGAGACGTCGGTGTCTCTGAGGGGCATGGAGAGCCATCCCGCGTGCTGGGGAATGCCGTGGATGGCAGGAGCCAATCCGTCAACTCTGACGTATCATCTCGAACACACGTTGTTCCCTGGCGTGGCCTATGCGAACTTGCCCAAGATCGCAAGGATCGTGGAGACCACTTGCGCCGAGTTCGGCGTCGGGTGCGACGTGCTGGTCGGCGGATCGAAGTTGCGTCGGAGATGGACGACTAAGCTCACCCACTACGCCACTGATCAGACGAAGGCTGTGGGCATTTCGAGTATTGTAGACGCCGCTCGAGAGTTGTTTCAATTTGTGTTTATGCTGCTCACAGGCAGGTGACAGAAGTCGCGTCTGGCGAATTCAGTGTCATCGCTGGCGTCGCTCAATCTACTTGGTGTTGTTTTCTCTACCTTGTTGTGTTTTGTATGTCCCATACGCTGCGTCTATGTACCCTCTGGCCTGCTCCTTCCCTTCTCCCTCACAGAAAACTTTACTTTTCACTCTCCTCGAAACTATGGCCCGACGATGCTTGCACTTCTCGGTCCTTGTCTGTGGATCAACTGTTCGGAAGAGCAGTGCCGACCTTAGCGTTGCAGGCTATGTCTCTTTCGATGATCTCTGTGAGTGGAGCTCCAAGCACATTGAACGCAATTCGCCTGCAGATGGGGTTCTGACACACATGCGCGCAAGAAAACAAGGTAATTCGGTGTTCTGGAGCTTATACAGCTAGCTTAAATATTGATATGATCGTATATGCATGCAAATTGGGTTCTTGAGTGATGCACTTAGACATCCGATCCTCTATGTTGAACTGAGGCAGTGAAAACATATTGCCACAATTTTTGGCTCGAAGGAAGCTGCATGGTGAGCGATGTCTCCCGTGTAGCTTCTGTCTCTGAGGCGCCGCTTGAGTGTATGGGGGTGATGAGGGCGAGAGGACCAGATCAAACCCAGCGGCGGGGGTGGAGGAGGACCTTGATTTTAGGATAGCTGCCGCATGCGTTCTTCAGCATGTGACCAGCCCATCCCTGCGGTGCGCCTGTGTGAACGTGGTGTCCACCAGCGCTCGCAGAGGAGCCCCTCCTGGCAGTTCAGGAGGAGGTGGAGGAGGGGGAGGAGCCTCACGCAGGACGAGGAGCGAGAGGAGCTGGGAAGAGGGGATGTGCGGCGATTGTCGCGCACGCGCTCTGGCGATTATTTTAACACCTCGGGTTGCCAAAGTGCTTGCCAAGGTTGGGCGGAGGGCGCATTCTGCCAGACCATGTGCACCAGTTTGCGCATGGATGACCTCTGCCAAGCGGTCTGCGTGGGCGCGATGTCCACCGCCGCTCTTAGATGAAGCTACTTCTGCTGCTTTATCTCATCTCTCGCAGGTGACCGCTTGTGTGGGCGTGGTGTCCATCGGGTGCATTCCTGCAGTGAGCCTGTGTGGGCGTGGTGTCCACCGGTATCATCTCTCAAAGGAGTTCGTCTTGGCATTGTAAGAAACAGGAAAAAAAAGTGCTAGAAGTCGCTGCAAGCGAAGTCGAACCCTTCCTCAGCCGTGCGACGGTCCTTCTAACTCTCACAGGCCCCATCCCGATCCCGATCTCATCCACCTTACTGGGATTGGGAGGCTGCCTGACTGCAGTGGAGTCTCCGTGCTGCTCCTCCTCCTTCTCCCTGTCCCTCCCTTGTGTCTGCAAGCTTCGGTGGCAGTTCTGGGACAGGTGCTGGCCACGACGCATGCATGTCCTGTGGATTCCGGGGACTTTGTCGTAACTGCTGCCTTTTTTTTTTTTGTGTGTGTGTGTGTGTGTTTGTGTGTGTGTGTGTGTGTGTGTGTGTGTGGCAGACCCCCGTCCGCCCCTGAGCGGCCTCCTCTTCCCCCCCCTCCGCGGCCGCCCTGCCTTCCCGCTCTTCCCTCCGTGCACGCTGGCCACTTCGCTTTGCGGCACTCCCGCCTAGCTCCTCGCTGGTGCAGCCACCTCTGCCTCGCCGCCGACGAAACAAGTTGTTTGTTTTCCCCGACCTGGCGGAGGGGTTCCCGTTGTGTGTTCCCCTGGGGGCTCTGGGGGGGGACCCCCCGGGACATGGCCCCGGCCACGGGCGGAACGCTGGCGGAAGACGGCCGCTCACGGACCCATTTCGCCAGACGCGCTTCTGGGTGGCTCGGACGGCCCCAAGATGGTCCACAAGATGGTTCAAGAAGGCCTCGTGTGGCCGAAAGATCGGCCCCAGACGCCCAATATGGCGTCCCGACGTCCCAAGAAGCCCAAAAGACGCCCCGAGAGGCCCCCAAGAGGCTTTCCAGGAGAGCCCGAAACGTAGCACATCTTTAGTTCCCCTTAGGTTTTTGAAGGGATTTTGGGTTTTCGCCTGTTCGGCTTCCCGTCGCTCGAAGACGGCCCAAGAGATTCAAAGAACGCCCCTTGACAGCCTCAGAGACCCCCAACAGAGCGCTCAGACGGCTCAAGACGTCCTCAAGACGACCCAAGAGGCCTCCAAGACGGCCTCCCAAGTGTTCCACGCACGCCCCAAGAGAGCCCCCGGAGCGGAGGTAGGGGCCGATTTTTCGGGTTCTCCATCCCAGTGACCCCTCCAGAAGCCCCCAGAGACGCCCGATATGGCGTCCCGACGTGCAGGGAGCCCAAAAGATGCCCCGAGAGGCCTCCAAAAGGCTTTCCAGGAGAGCCCGAAACGTAACACATCTTCAGTTTCCCTTAGGTTTTTGAAGGGATTTTGGGTTTTCGCCTGTTCGGCTTCCCGCCGCTCGAAGACGGCCCAAGAGATTCAAAGAACGCCCCTTGACAGCCTCAGAGACCCCCAACAGAGCGCTCAGACGGCTCAAGACGTCCTCAAGACGACCCAAGAGGCCTCAAAGACGGCCTCCCAAGTGTTCCACGCACGCCCCAAGAGAGCTCCCCGGAGCGGAGGCAGGTGCCGATTTTTCGGGTTCTCCGCCCCTCCAGAAGCCCCCAGAGACGCCCAATATGGCGTCCCGATGCCCCAGGGACTTCAAATGACGCCCTGAGAGGCCCCCAAGACGCTTTCCAGGAGAGCCCGAAACAGAACAAATCATCGGTTGTCCTTGGGTTTTTAAGAATTTTCGCATGTTCGGCTTCCCGCCGCTCCAAGACGGCCCAAGAGGTCCCAAAGAACGCCCCAAGACAGCCTCAGAGACCCCCAAGAGAGCGCTCAGACGGCCTAGGACGTCCTCAAGACGGCCCAAGACGCCTCCAAGACGGCCTCCCAAGCGCCACAGGTACGCCCCAAGAGAGCCAAGAGAGTCCCTGGAGCGGAGGCAGGGGCAGATTGTTCGGGTTCTCTGCCCCAATGACTGAGGCCCCCAGAGGTTCCCAAGAAGCCCCCAAGAGGCCCCAATAACCCCTGCAGAGGCCGCAAGAGGCCCCCAAGAACCCTCCAGAGGCTTTCAGCAAGCCTCCAGAAGCGCCCAAGATGGACCGAGCACTGCCCCAAGAGAGCCCCAGGACGGCTGGAGGCGCCTCGACAAAGCCTCACAGCGTCAATCTGACAACACGGGAACCTGATGAGACCCCAAGTGACGCCCAAGAAGACCCCAAGAGGCCTCAAGGCCTCAAGACGCCTCCAGAAAGCCCCGACAAGCCCCCAAGAGAGCCCCAGGACTGCCCCAAGATTTCAGGACTGCTGGAGGCGCCTCGACGAAGCGTCAGAGCGACAAACGGACAGCCCCGGGACTCCCTCAGGAGGGCCCAGGGACGGCTGAACGACCTGAGGAGGCCCCAGGAGGCCCCCAACCGTCACAACGACAAACGGACAGCCCCGAGACTTCCTAGCTCGTATAGAAATTTCCTGAGCTCACCTTACGCCTTACGAGGTCTTCAGCAAGTCCCCAGAAGCGCCCAACAGGGCATCAGGACAGCCCCAAGAGGGCCCCACGACGGCTGGAGGCGCCTCGACAAAGCGTCACGGCGTCAAACGGACAACACGTGAACCAATGTAATGCGCGTTACGCAGCACAGCGTCAGTCGGACCACACGGGAACCAATGTAATGCGCCCCCTGGCCTTCCTCTTATAGGCTCGCATGGAAACGAGCTGAGCTCACCCCGTGGCTCACCTCCAAGACGCACCGTTGTTTATCTGGCCGCCTTTCCCTCTGGACAGCTGTCGCACAGAAGCCCCAAACGATTTTTCGTATTGCCAGAAAGCCCTACAAGAAGCCTCCAGGAGGCTTCAATACGGCCGCATGCGGCCCCCGACCGCCGCAAGTTGTCCAATCCAGTCCTCATACAGTCAGACACGTCCCCGACACAACCTCCAACCAAACCCGACGGCACCCAGGAGCTTCCAGACCCTCCAAACTCGATCTTCTCGCCCGTCATATGCAACCGCGCCCCCTCCCTTACCTGTGGCTCGCATGGAAACGTGCTGAGCTCACCTCGTGACTCGCATGGTCGCGAGCTGAGCTCACCCCCTCCCTTCCATGTGGCTCGCATGGACACGTGCTGAGCTCACCTCGTAACTCGCCTAGTCGCGCACTTCCAAGGCGCATCGTCGTTTTCTTGGCCACCTTTTCTTCAGAAACGTTCCCGACACAACCTCCGACAAAATCCGAGGTTTCGGTTTCTCCGCCCCAAGAACCCCTCCAGAGGCCCCCAGAGGTTCCCAAGAAGTTCCCAAGAGGCCCCAATAACCCCTGAAGAGGCCCCAAGAGGCCCCCAAGAACCTTCCAGAGGCCTCCATCAAGCCCCCAGAGGCGCCCAAGATGGGCGCAGCACTGCCCCAAGATAACCCGAGGACGGCTGGCGGTTCCTCGACAACGCCTCACAGCGTCAAACGGACAACACGGGAACCTGATGAGACCCCAAGAGACCCCCAAGAAGACCCCAAGAGGCCTCAAGGCTTCAAGACGCCTCCAGGAAGCCCCCAGAAGCTCCCAAGAGGGCCCCAGGACTGCCCCAAGACCCCAGGACTGCTGGAAGCGCCTCGACAAAGCGTCAGAGCGACAAACGGACAGCCCCGGGACTCCCTCAGGAGGGCCCCAGGACGGCTGAAGGACCTGGGGAGGCCCCAAGAGGCCCCCAAGACGACCCCAACAAGCCTCAAGACCTCACCACGCCTCCAGGAAGCCCCCAGAAGCGCCCAAGAGGGCCCCAGGACTGCTCCACGACTCCAGGACTGCTGGAAGTGCCTCGACAAAGCCTCACAGCGGCAAACGGACAGCCCCGAGACTTCCTAGCTCGTATGATATTTTCCTGAGCTCACCTTAGGAGGTGTCCAGCAAGCCCCCAGAAGCGCCCACCAGGGCCTCAGGACAGCCCCAAGAGGGCCCCACGACGGCTGGAGGCGCCTCGACAAAGCGGCACAGCGTCAAACGGACAACACAGAAACCAGCATAATGCGTCCTATAGGCATCCTCTTCTTCGTTGTTCTCTGTCTCGCAATTCACGCCCACTTGTCCTCCAAGGTCGGGGTTCGTGACACTATCAGTTTTTTTTGTTTTGTGTGTGTGTGGTTCGTTCTCTCACGCCTGCCCTGTTGTCGTCTCTGCCGCCCCTACCCTGGGCGGCTTCGGCTGCTCCTGTGCCCGCCATCCGGCTTGGCCTGTCCGTGGTTTTCTCTGCTGCTCGCTCTGACATGCCCCACGGCCACTCCTGGCGCCGCTCAGCGGCGGCCCCCCCCGTCTTCTCCCCCCCCCCTCCTCGGTCGTGCCCTCCGTCGGCCTCTGCCTCTGCGCGCGCCGCCTGGTCTTTTCCGCTCCGGTGCCGCCTCCACCCGGGAGGGGAACAGCACAGGCGCACATAAACGTCGACTCCCAGGAACGAGCGTAGGGGAACGTATGAGAAGTGGAGGGGAAGACGATAATCCCGAACATATCAAAAAAGTACGGGGCATCCTTGGATTCGTGTTTGTATATATATATATATATATATATATGTATATATGTATTTATATATATATATATATATATATATTCGTGTCTCCAGGGGCCCCTTCATCCCGTGTGGGCCTCAGGCGTGAGGCTCACACGGGCCTCCGAGGCGGGAATTTATCCATATCCGCCGCCTGGAGGGTCAGTCTTCGGAGCCTCGGCAGGCGGTGGATATGGACCTATTCGGGCACCCGGGGGCCGAAATAGATCCACATCCGCCGCCCGCCGGGGCACCAGCACGTCGGCTCCCAGGCGGTGGATATGGATGAATCATCCCCGCCTCGCAATAACAACTACCTCGCATTGAGGGTGCCCGTTTCCTCGCCCCGTCCGCGTCCGGCGCCGCTGCGTGCCGCTCGCTGCGCCTCGAGGCTTGCCCCTCCCGCCCTAAAGAGGGCGGAGCCGGGGATCCGCTACGCCGAGTGGTTTGGGCTGGCCCGCGCGCGCCTCTCGCTGGACCCCGCGCACTCTGCGCCGCGCCGCCGCGCGCGCGCGGCCGCGACGCCAAGAAGTGTGTGTGTGTGTGTGTGTGTGTCTTGGTGTCGCTCGGACGTGTGCACTTTTTCTCGGCGGGGATTGTTCAGGAGCATCCTGAAGCATCCCGCGACAAGAAACACGCACACACGCACGAGACCGAAAACGGCACAGGGAATGGACGTCCGAGCGACGGGGAGGTGTGTGTGTGTGTGTGTGTGCGCGTGTGTGTGTGTGTGTGTGTGTGTGTGTGTGTGTGTGTGCGCGTGTTGTGGGCTCTCGCCAGGAAATGATCTTGGCTCTCGTCGCGTACTGGGGCGCACGGCAGGGATGAGCTAGGGGAGGTGTTCAGAGGTTGCATTTCGACGTCTTCTTTGCGTTTCGGTGAGATTCCATGAGGTCTTGGGATATGGTCTTACGTGCTGACGGGACGGTCCGGGGTCTCCATTGTCCTTCCTTTGCGCCTTCCTCTTCCCCCCCCCAGTTCTACACTCCTCCTTGGCCGCACTTGAAGTTCAGTCCAAAAAGGTGGACCCTATGCAGTGGGCGACTCTCACAACGCCCTTCGGCGGGATGAGGATCTCGTGCTACATGGCCGTGGGGTGCATCACCGCCCGGGAGATCCTCCATCGGGCACGCGAGACACCTTTCTACGCGATGGCGGCGCACAGGCTCATGTGGCGAGAGTTCCACCGCATGTACGCGATCAAGTACCACAGGCGAGGCATCTAGCCGTCTAGTGTGATCTAGCAGCGCCATCGTGCTCACCATCCGCCAGGGGCCACACATCTCGCTTGAGTCATGACGTCGCCGTTGTCATCGCACTCGCTACCGTGCCATGCGGTCGCTGGCGCCGGCAGGCGGCCGCGCGCCCGCGCGCTCGCGGCGCGCGGGCTCGACGGCCACCCGGCGGCCTGCCGCACGGAGCGGCGTGTGGCGGGAGCGGGCCGCAGGGGCGGCCGCAGCGGGCACGGAGGAGGAGGGGGAGGCGGAGGAGGAGGAGGAGGAGGAGGCGGAGGAGGAGGAGGAGGAGGAGGAGGAGGAGGAGGAGGAGGAGGAGGAGGAGGAGGAGGTGGCGGCGAGGTTGGTCAGCGCGGGTGCCGTCGAAGAATTTCTGGCGCCCCGCCGGTGGGCGCGCGCGGCGTGTGTCGGGGACGGCGGACCCAGTGGGCGGTGCTGAGCGTGTGGACGGTGGGTGGTTGGGCGTGGGCGCAGGCGTCGTGGTCGCCAGCAAGTTGCCCCACTCTTCCCTCCCCGCAGGGCGCCCTTCCTGTTCTTCCTCGCTTTTCCCTTTTCGCCCTGGGGCGCGAAGCGAATTGCGCGGCGCGACCCTGCCGATGTCTGGGTGAGGGGCATTTCGCCCGCAGACTTGTGGAGGCTTTGAGGCCAAGGCTGGCTGGAGATTTGGATGTGCGTGTTCCCCTTTTTCCAAGCTCGAAGCAATCTGCGACCGCATTTTGATTCTCCTGTCAGTTGCAGGATGCCTGCGCCGAGAATCCCCGCCGAAGTTCGTTGACGTGGCGCTCGTAAGTTGTTCGCGAGTGGTGCGATTCTGCGGCGCTCGGCGCGATGCGGCCAGTGTACAGGCGCTGCGGGTGCGCGCTGGAAACTGGGTGGACCACGTGGTCAAAAGGCCAGCGTCGGACGACGTGGACGCGCTGGTAGCGTCGCGCCCGCGGCAGGCCAGGCACTGGCCGTTGCAAGGAAGGTCTCGCCTCTTGGGCGGCAAGTCTTCTTTGGTCCGCTCTGCTTCGGGTCGCTCCCCAGTTGCCCGTCTTTTCCGAAAAGGGGGATCCTCGACGATTCAAGCAGACGAGTTCCTCGACGATCTGTTTATGCAATGGCTCTCGACTCCTGCTCACAATCCTAGTGAGCCAGTTCTGGGATCCGGTCGCAGCTCGGCCTGTGGCTAAGATTGCAACGCTGAGCGGCGCAGGGAAGAGATCGCTTCGGCACACACGCACGCGCATACACGTGCTTGCGCAAACCACCCGCTTCTTCGACGCTGCCGCCGCACACCCGCGCGCTTCTGGCACTGCCGGGGCGCTCCTGGCCTCTCGATGGCCCGCCTCTTTACCCCCTTTCCCTTCCCCCCCGCTGTCCCCCGCCTTTTCCTTTTGCCTCTCCGCTCTCGTGGTTGCTCTGTCGGCGATCGACTTTCGATCCATACCCCTGCTGCTGCCCCCCGCCCTGGGCGCCAGGGGCAGCAGGGCATGGACAAGAGAACGTGGCCCTGGAGGCCAGACCTTGGACCCATGCCGCCGCTCTGGCCCCTCGTGGGGTGGGAGCGTGAGGAGGGGGCAGGGGCGAGGTGTAGATCGCCCACTGCCAGGCGCGCCTGGGCGGGCACCTTCGGCTCGGTGGCTCGGCACAGGTCCCCCGCTGGTGCTGGCCGGCGGGCCGCCGGCTGGCTGGCCAGTGCGCGCCCAGCAGGCCTGCAGCGCTCCGCCGCTCCGTGTCTGCCCGTCCGCCTCGGCCTCTCCTCCGCGCCGTCGCGGGCGCGGTCGTCGCCGCCTCGCTGGCACGTGCTCCTGGCCGCAGGTGCTGCGCGCACGCGTTCCCCCCTGGTGGGCCCTGCGCGTCCTCTGCGCTGCGCGCCCGCCGTTCGGCTGGGGCCTCTCCCCTGCGCACGCCACCCGCAACGCAGTTCGGCCTTCCCATCCTCAAGGCAGGGTGCGCGCCCACCGTTCGGCTGGGGTCTCCCCCTTGCGCACGCCACTCTCAGCGCAGCTCGGCCTTCCCATCCTCAAGGCAGGGTCCAGTGAAGTTCGATCCCCGTACTCCGTAGCGACCGTGGTAGCACCTCGCCGGCGGAGGAAAAAGGTCCGATTGGTGCCGAGAGCTGTCCTATGGGTGGTTTTTCAAGACGGTGGAGCGGAGGGAGTGCAGCGTTGCGAAGGGGCGGCTGGACGCGATTCCCTTTTTCTCTCTTCTCGCTGCGTGCATGGTAGCGCTGCCCGCTCGCGGCGGCGGGCCTGGCGTGGCCCTGGTTCGGCCAGCCTCGAGCGCGACGGGTCGTGCCCAGGCGAGTCGACGTTATGGGGCGACCGCTTCCTCCGCCGTGATGTGAATCGCGAGGTGGCACTGCGATTGCCGTGAGCAGTGACAGAAAGTGAGCTGGCATTGCGATTATGCGCGTCGGTCTACGCATCAGTGCCGCCCAGTCGCCGCGAGTCGCAAGCACTGTGCGTGACTGAAGGCGTCGTTCGTGCACTGGCGTGCCCGCTGGGGCAATATTGTGATCCATGCGCCGCGGGTCGCCACGCCCGCGGGTGCCTGCCTTCGCCATCTCTGCTGGGAAACGCCTAGCACGTGATGGCGTTCTGGGTCTTGTTTTTGAGGTGGGGGCACTGAACACCGCTCCTCTGCCCCAGAGGTAAAACCATGACCATCGCCATGATCGCTATCACTTACCAGCAGTCGTGTGTGTACCAGCATTCATGAAGTCAATCTTCGCAGCGCTGTATATACTCTCAGCAGCGTTGTTGTTGAACAGTGTCAACATCAGTGGTCATACTACTTACAGTCGCAAGTCATGAACTCCACAAGACTCCAATTGGGGGTATACTTTCTAAGCTCCTACGTATGCGATGCAGATTCGTGCAATGTGATGCAACGTGAAGCGTGACAGTGCAACGCATGAGACTGCAGTTCTATCGCATTTCATTGTGGCATTGCGTTACATCGCACATCGCACCATGACATATTTTGCATATTTTCAGTGTGTAGCATAGAAGGGCATAGCATGGCAAGGCATGGTACAGCACCGCATGGCATAGCGTACTATGCCAGCGCGTAGCACGACTTTGCCTCGCAAACCGTCCAGTAGTGCCGCATAGCATGGAGTAGCATGCCACTGCATTGTCCAGGGTACCACTGCACATCACAGCAACTATTGCGAGGAAGCGAACCCAAGCCAGCAGGCACTGGCCTACAAAGTGAGAGCAGGCATCGTTGCTTTACACAAACCACTAGATACTCTTGTTGGCATGCCTGATTCGAGGGTCAGAGGAGGATGGAACTTGCTCCCCGTGTGCCAAGAGAAAAGAAAGCACAGGCGAATCGCTTGGCTTCAGGGTCCAGCGAGGGTGACGCGCACTTGGAACGAGGATCCGGAGATCGCGGATAAGTGGAAGAGGGGCCTCACCGGGGTACCATACATCGACGCGTGCCAGCGAGAGCTCCTCAAGACGGGGTGGCTGGCTTACAAGGGCCGCAAGACCGCCGCCCACTTCCTCGTGTTCGACCTCTGGATGGATTGGCGCATCGGCGCCTTTCACGACGAGGAGCGCCTCCTGGACTACGATTTCGCGATGAACTACGGCAACTGGGCCGTGGTCTCGAAGATCGGCAACGGCGGCTCGAGTGCTTGGGATGGGAGCCGCGATTTCGACCCCGAGCACTGGGATCTGAGGTTCAAGCTCCACGCGGAGCAGGCGAACGACCCCTCCGGCGCGTACATCCGCCGGTGGGTGCCCGAGCTCCGCGGCGTGGACGACAGGCGGCTCCGGAGAAGCCAGGGCTCGACCGAAACTGTGCTTTGGCGATGTCGTGGGCCGTTTTCGTTTCGGTGTCGTTTTGCAGCAACAGCTGGACGAAGACAGCACGAGGGGAAGCTGATTGTCCCAGCGAGGGGCACAACCATGGGCAGGTGTGAGTACCACAAGGCAGGCGGGATGAGTGAGGGGGAGCTCCATATGGGGTCACGACACGTACAAGGGGTGTGCCAGAATATGCCTGGGGACGCATGGAGGCCCTGCCGCTCGGGCCTTCTGTGGAGCTCCCTGCGGGGCCACGAAACGTGAGAGAGGTGTGCCGAAATGGGCCTGGGGACGCATGCGGGCCCTGCCGCTGCGGCCTTCGGTGGAGCTCCCCTTTGGGTCACGAAGTGTGTGAAGGGTGTGCCGAAAGGGGTCTTGGGACGCATGATGGCCCTGCCACAGGGGCCCTCGGTGGCCCATGCGGGCCCTGCCGCTGGGGCCTTGGGTGGAGCTCCCTATGGGGCCGAATGCGTGTGCCGCAGTGGGGCTGGGGACGCATGCCGGTCCTGTCCCTGGGGCCCTCGGTGGAGCTCTCTGTGGTGCCACGGGGCGTGTGGGGGATGTGCCGAGATGGGTCTTGGGACGCACGCGGGCCCTGCCACGGCGGCCCTCGGTGGCGCCTGCGGGCCCTGCCGCTGGGGCCGTTGGTGGCGCTCCCTTTGGTGCTACGGAGCGCGTGGGGAGTGTGACGCGTGAAGGCCCAGCCGCTGGGGCCTTCGGTGGAGCTCCCTCTTCATGGGGCCACGAAGCGCGGAAGGAGTGTGCCGAAGTGGGCCTGGGGACGCATGCGGGCTTTGCCCATGGGGCCCTCGGTGGAGCTGAGCTCCCTATGGAGCCACGAGGCTTCTTGTGAGGGGTTTGCAGACATGAACATGCGCAGAGCAGAGGCACGGACGCGAGGAGGGAGGAGGGAGCACCGGGAGGCAGGAAGGAAGGAGTGAACGCGGGGCGCTGTCTCGTCACAGCGAGGCCCCAACACCACAGGATGGGTGGGAACAAAACACTCCTCCTCCTTCCTCCTCCTCCTCCTCCTCCTCCTCCTCCTCTCCTCTCCTCCTCTCCTCCTCCCCCCCTCCCTCCTCCCTCCTCCCTCCTCCCTCCTCCCTCTCCTCCTCCCTCCCTCCTCCCTCCTCCCCCTCTCGAGAGGCACTGCTGAGGTCGAGCCCCTGGGAGAAGCGCGGGGCCAGCCGGATCCTCCGCGCCGCGCGGCCCGGGCCAGAGTGCCGCCCTTCTCTGGGCGGGCCGCGGCGAGCGTGCGAAGAGAACTGCGCTTTCCGCGCAGCGTTAATCAGGAGGGGGGAAAACACACAGACACAATCAATCATCGATCCTTCGGAAAATGTAGGAAAATATTGGAAGTGTGGGGGGGGGGAAGACAAAACCCCAGAGAATGTGAGAAAATATGGGGGATGTTTTATTTGTGTCTATGTATTTGTGTGTCTCAGGTCCCCTTCAGTGAGGGCGGTGTGGGCCTGTTCCTGAACGAAGGCGCAGGCAGGGTCACCTATGATTCGATTTGATATGATTCGATTTGCCAGCTGGGCCCGCGATTTTGATTCGGTTCGGTTTGGGCTCGGTGAGCCGACACCGGCTGGGGCCAGCCAGCGCCAGGCGCGGGGATCCGATTTCGATCCGATTCTGGAGGATGAGCCGGCGATCCGATCCGTGTCGGATACGATGCGATTTTGCGACTCGGTGCAGCTCAGGCTCAGGCCTGAGATGGGGCACACCTTCCTCGCTGGGCTGCCCCCTTCTGCGCGGCGAGATCGGCGGATCTCGCCCAGAAGCTCGGGCCTGCTGAGCACAGTCCTCGTTGGAGCCCGCCGTGCGTGTCCCGATTCATAGATGAAGACGACACTGAGCATGAGGTTCGCGTTGGAGAGTATATGGGAGTCGAGGGGTTATGTCCCAAACCCAGGTTCATCCACACGCCGTGGCTGATGTCGAAAGAGGACATGGATGCCTGCGGCTGCGTCATAGGCGAGCACTATCCTGCGTCCCTCGTTGGGCCATTAGACATCAAGTGCGACTGGGGAATGGACGAACACCCCTCCCAAGGGAACGAGAAGCCAAACTACGCGGAGCTCAAGGCATTGTTGGAGGCAAAGGACAGGGAGTTGGCCGCTCTCCGAGCAGACTTGGCAAAGTGAGGGGGGCTCGGCTCCTCGCTTTCTGTGTATCGATACATCTATGCGTTTATCAGCCAGTACACATGTTTGTGCATGGGGACGTATACTGGCACACATACCGATATGTTCATGCATTAATGCGTGTATTTGCGTGTCTGTATGGGTGCATGCATGCGTGCATGTATGGATGTATGGCTGTGTGCATGCACATGTGCATTTGCAATGCAGCACAACGTAGCGCAATATGTTGAAAGGTGCTGTAACGCAATGTGGTGTAAGGCAACCTGATCTACTACCCTATAATGTGGTGTAGTGTACTGTAATGTAAGATCATGTGTGGTAGTAATTGGGCTGATTGGAATGTAATGGAATGGCATTGCGCCGTGTGTACTGCAATGTCTTGCCATGCCATGTGATGTAATGCGATATAGTGTAGTGTGTGTGTGTGTGTGGGTGTGTATCTGGGAGATCCTGGGGCCCGTTCCTCCAGACTGGGACTTGCACATGCCCCCACTCCCCCAGACTGCTTCCTTGGTAGGCCCTTAGGGATCCGAGACCGCCCCAGAGCGTTCCAAGAGCGCCCAGGATGGCCTCCAGACAGCCCAAGAGGCCTCCAGGATTCCCCGAGAGCGCCCCAAGACGCCCCAAGATGGCCTCAAGAAAAGCCAAAAGGCCTCGAAGACGCCCCAGAGCGCTCCAAGAGTCCTCCCAGAGGGCCCCAGGAGGCCAACATCGTCCCATTCCTCTGGGGCAACGTACAATTTCTGGCATGCTCGATTCCTTGGATCACGATAGCGTCCACAACGGCCCACGGAGCCTTCAAGACGACCCAACAGGGCCCCAAGACGGGCCAGGATGGCCCCAAAACGGTCCAAGGGGCGCCGAAGACGGCCAAAGTTAGCCCCAAGAGGGCCCCACGGGAGTCCCAAGAGGACGCCAAGAGGGTGCCAAGAGGAGTCGTGGGGCACTATCTAGGGGGGCTGCCTCTCAACATGCTCCAAGACCATCCGGAAGGCCTCCCACGGACGCTCCTCGGAGGCCCCCAGACGCTCCCGAGAGGCCCCCAAGGAGGCGCCGAGAGGCCTCCAAGAGGCCCTGCAGAGGCTTCAAGAGGCCCCCGAGAATCACTCCCCGAGGCCCCGAGAGGCATCCAGGACGCCCCTAGCTCTCGACCCAGATACAGGTACTGTTTGTCCATGCTTCTGTTTGTGTGTGTGTGTGTGTGTGTAGCTGTATGTATGTACGCATGTGTATGTATGCTTTGCAAGTGTTCTAGACATGCTTTGTGCATGTACGAGTGCGTACGTTTGCACGCATGCGTGTACACATGCATGCATGCATGCATGCACGTATGTTGGTGCATGCACTTCTAGTTGTATGCATGCGTGTATGTGGGTCAACTGAATGAGAACACGTAGCCTGACGAAGGACCCAACGATAGGCAGTTGCGTATGACTCAGGGCGCGACCCACTCTTCATATACTGTGCGACGCGGGGCAGTTCGGGCAGGAGGCTGCAGTCCCTGTGAGGCGCGATCCGCGTGAAAAGGGGACCCCCTGCGCGGGCGCGCCCACTGATGCCGTAGGTGGAGCTCTCCGTGGAACGCGATTTGCGTGAGGCGTACGCCGAAAAGGGCGTGGCGATGCCATACGACATTGCCCATTGGTGCCATAATAGGTGGAGCTCCTTGCGGGGCACGACCCGCGTCAGGGGTGTGCCGAAATATGGGAGCAGACGCCATGCGAACCCTCGCTCTGGGTCCGTCGATGGAAGTCTCTGTGGGGCACGATCCGCGTGAGGGGTGTACTGAAAGGGCGTGGGGACGCCTGCGAGCCGTCTCTCTGGAGCCTTCCTTGAACTCCCTGTGGGGCACGATCTTTGTCAGGGGTGTTCGGACATGGGCGGGGCGGCGGGATGCGAACCTTGTCTCTGAGCCGTCGGTGGAGCTCTCTGTGGGGCACGATCCGTGGGAGGAGTGAGTCGAAATACGCGGGGGGACGCTCTGCGAATCCTCCCTCCCGCTGGGGTCGTACGTGGAACTTACTCCCTGTGGGGCACGATCTGTGTGAAGGGTGTGCCGAGATAGGCGGACGGACGCCATGCGAACTTTGTCCCTGACACAGCTCGTGGAGCTCCCAGGAGGGCACGATCCGTGTGAGGGGCGTGCCGACATTGGTGGGGAGACCCTCCAGGAGGTGGTGGAGTGTATTTCAGCTGAGAAATCTTCGAAATATGCTTTCCGAGATGCCGCCTGTAATATGGTCAGGCACGTTTCGCCCGAGTCGCCCTTGCAACACAACTCTCCGATATACCGCCCGCGAGGTGGTCTGGCCCATCTCCCCTTCGACATCCTCGCCACTCTGGTCTCCCCAGAGCGCGCGAGGTGGTCTGAACAGTTTGACGCGAGACATCCTCGCATCTGCGGGAGCCAAGATGCGGCGCGCGGAGTGGTCCGGCCCTTTTCGCTTAAGACACCCTCGCAATTCTCGTGCGGCACCAACTTCGTCAGCCGAAGACGACGAGGGTTCGACCATGTGCCAGAGCTATGCCTCCAGAACGCGCTCGCTCCACCACATCTGCGGGAGTTTGTTCGCTCCCTCTTGCTGGCATGTTCGGCGCTCCTTGCAGCTCGTCCTTCGTGCAGCTCACCGGCAATCGAGGAACGGCTGTTTGGTGCGATTCCGCGCCACATGGGCACACCGGGCATGGGTGTCACCAAATGTCGCTAAGCAGGAGCGCGGAGCCGATGGCAGCACAACGTGGAGCAACTGTGGGTCGAACCTGAGCGCGCGAAACGCGTGCGTGGTTCCATATATATATATATATACATATACATACATACATATATACATATATATATATATATATATATATATGTATGTATATATATATAAATATATATAGATGTCCATGTCAGCAACCAATGCAGACAGACGGCCAGCTTGCGAGCATTGTATTGTGTGTGTGGGTGTGCACGCGCAATCACATCACATTTTTTACATTTTACAAGGATGGTGGTCCCCCCCCGCCGTCCCTGGCAAACTGAACTTTGCATTTTCTATTACATGGGTGGTGAGTCTACGCGCAGCAGGCAATATGCTGGCCTCCCCGTCGTCCCTGGTCTAAAAACAAATCGAATTGATCGCGGGCCGTCCGCGCATGATCCAGTGCACACGGCAGGCAATATGCTGGCCCCCTCCGCCGTCCTTGTTCAAAAACTAGTGTGATTTTATCTCGGGGCGTCTGCGCATGACTCGGATTTTGTTGCAAAGCGCGCGTGGCATTTTTGTTTGCAAGGGGTGGTGGGGGATGTTGGCATTGCGCACAGCAGGCAATATGCCCGGCTCCCCTCGTTCAGGTCCAAAACCAATGCAAAGTGTTCGCGGGGCGTCCGCGCATGACCAAGATTTGGCCGCGATGTGCATTTTGTACGGTTCTTTGAAAGGGATGGTGGGGGGCCCCGCGTTGTCCCAGGTTTGTCGCCGGTCGGGAGGGGAGGGGGTGTATTTTAGTAGGTAGCAGTGATACCCCTCCCCCGAGAAGGGGAAGGAGGTTTTCTTTCCAAAGAGGGAAGAAGGCAAATCGTTAAACCACCTTCGCCCAGTGGGCTGGTGAGATTGTAATAGGGGCGCGCGGATGCGCCAGGACCTGTATCTATCTATCTATCTATGTATGTATATATATACACATAGATACATACATATACACATGTCTAGGTATGAAAGTATAAGTATGTTTGTCTGTATGTGCGTACATTTGTACACGTAGACTCGTCTTCCCTCTCGGGGCCACTCTGAGTCCAGGGCTTCGTCGCAGCTTCGACTGCCCAGATTCGACATTTGTTTCAAGTGTGCATTCCTGTGACCGACGCCAGTTTCGGCGACAGCTGTGATGCGCGGCGTTCTTATTTTTCAACTATACGACGTTGTGTTCTAGCTTTGCCTGGATCGGAAGACCAAGTTTCGGCCGGCTGCGTGTTCGCATCGCATCTGGGAGGTCTGCCTTTGAGGGCATCCTTCGTCTATCGATAAACACCTGCAGTTTTGGCAATAGGTCCCCACACCTGGCGTCTGACCGCCAGCCTGCAGGACTCCACAGAAGGGGCTTCGCTACGTGAAGCTCGACCTCGTCACCGCTGTGGCAAAATGGCTTGTGCCGCCGCTGTCGATGCTGGACGAGGCGACGTCTGAATCGTCGCCGTTGTCGCATTGTAGCCAGCGCCTCCACTGCTGTTACTTTCGTCGCCGCCGTCAAGCTGACAGTGCCGCCTTTATCGTCAGCCCCACCGATCTCGTGGACAGGGACCGGCTGAGTTATCCATATGGCTCCGAAGTATGGAGACTCTGAGGCTCTGGGTCTGGAGCTGGATCCGAGGTCTCAGCGCGCTGCCTCTGGATCCTCACCCTTCGCCTTCCTGCCTCCTCCATCTCCTCCTTCTCTGTCCACGCTTCTCGGGAGGATGGGGCTGGTGGGCTTCTCCCCGACTTTGCGCGTGGATGGGGGCCCCTTTGTGGTGTTCCCCTGGAGATTCAGGGGGCTGCCCCAGAATCCACCCATCGGCACGCGCGGAACGCCAGCGGAACTCGGCGGAAGTCCGGTCTCCAGCTAGCCTTCCGCAACCCGGCGCCTGTGAGGACCGATCCGGCCACCAGGAGCATTTCCAGGATCGAAAAGAGGTCCCCGAGAGTTTTCCCAATCACACCTTCTGTCAACCGCTAGAGGGCTCCTAGGACCCCAACAAAGCGGAAAGCAGGGCCCAAAGAGGCCACGGGATAACACAGGAGCTCCCCAAGACGACCGCAAGATGGCTCCAAGAGGCCCCCCTGGAGGGCCCCGAGAGGCTTCCAAGAAGGGTCACTAGACGCCCCAAGAGTACCCCAATACGACACCAATGTGACTCCAAGACGCCCCCGTGGAGCGCCCCGAGAGGCTCGACGAGGCTCCCAGGAAGCCCTAAGAGGCCTCCAAGAGACCTTGAAGAGAGCCTCAAGTGGGCCCCAGGAGCCCAAGACGGCCGAAGAAGCTCCTAAGTGCTTCCCGATGCCCCCCAATACTCCTTCAAGAGAGCCCCCAAGAGGCCCCTGGGGTCCCAAGACGCCTCAGGAGGCTCGCAAGGGGCCCTCCAGTTGTCCTCCTTTGTGTCAGTTCTTCCTTTTCCTCTCGTCTCCCTCCTACCTCCTCGCTTCTCCTCTCTCTCGCTCTCTTTCTTTCTATTCCCGTCCGCCCTCTCTGTCATCACGGGCGCCGCATATGGCTTCCCTTGTATCCCCTCCTTTACTGTTGCTTCATCTTCTATTGATGCTTCGTCCCTCCTCCCTTTCTCCTACTTGTCTTCGCCCTCCTTCCCTCTCTCAGCTCCTTCGGTCTTGCCCTGTCTCCTTCCTTCGCCCTTCTCCCTGCTCTTCTGTCCTCCCCTCGTTCCCCCCCGCCCTTCTTCCGTCTCATCCTCCTTGGTCCTGCTCCTCCCCTCCTCTATCCTCTTCCTTCCGAGTTCTCTCCTTTATCCTTCTCTCCTTCCTCGCTGCTCTCTTAAAAGGGCCCCGACACGACCTGAATAGGGGAACGGACAGCACGGGAACAGACATGTGGCGATTTTCTTGCACCCTCCTCCTTGTCATTTTTTCTCTCAAGTCGCACCCATCTGTGCTCACAGGTTGGGATTCGTGGCTCTATCAGGTTGTTCGTTTGGTTACCATAATCAAGACTACTTGTCACGCGGCTGGTTTGGAGCTCAGAGAGCATGCGGAAAGCACATGGAGCGCTTCCTGTGCCCCCTCCTCCTCCTCCTCCTCCTCCTCCTCCTCCTCCTTCCTCGGCCGCATCCCGTCCTGTACGTTGGCCCACCGCCCGCTCTTCATCGAGGGACCGAACTTGAGCCCGACAGGTTCGGCCCCGCTCTGTGCAAGGATCGCCAGGGCCAGCGCGGAGGGGAAGAGGTGGCATACGGAAAACACGGCGGAATGTGTAGCATCACCTAGCAATGCTTGAAATTTCTTACGGCGTCAGGCTTCCAGGGGCCCATGAAGCAGCCAGTTGGGCTCAGCACGTGCAAAACCAATGCTGCCAGCATCACCAGCGATGACAGTTATGCGAACGTGTGCGGGCGGCTGATGGTTGTTTGTGTCGTCTCCCCTGCACCTCCTTTTCCTTCTTCTCCACCTTGACGTTGTGAGCAGCGATCTCATCACTTGTGACGGTTCGTCTGGCAAGCAATCGTGCTCTTTATTGCTGCAGCGTCTGCGTCAAACGTATCGATTCGTCATGGGTCGCAAGCCTTTGTGTACGTGGCCCTGGCCCTTGATTTGGATTCATCGACCGAAGCAGCCCAGGGGACTCGACCATGCCATCCCAAATGCATAACCATTTGCTATGGGCGTGGTGATCTCTCTTACGCCCCGCCGGCAAAGCATGACGGACAGGCAGGTTACGAGGGAGATGTCTTCGCCAGCATGGGTCCCGACAAAACAGTTTTAGCGCAGCACCCCTGACTGAACACCGTCAAGGGAGTCAGTTCACTTGCAGACCCCGCGCCGCGGGAATAGTTTCGCTAGCTAGTGAGCCCTTCGAAGAAGATATCACGGCATTAACATCAGTTTTCTGAACTCCCTGCGGATTTCTTGGATCGGCGCTGCCCCCCCTGGCGGCTTTTCCAGCGCAGACCCTGGAGCGCGGGGCGCGCCAGCCATAGGGGCAGGGCTCTTTTCGATTCCTCCGACTTGATTCGGGTCTTTCGATCGATTCTGAGTCCAACTCGATTCGGCCTCGGATGCTGACTCGGATTTCAGTTTCTCATTGGAGGCCTCAGCAGCCTGCCGATTTCCGCCGATTGGACCTCTCCCGACTTGGCTGCCGATTTCCTCCGATCCGATCCGTTTCGATCGCAGATCGGACCCATCGATTCGATTTTCTGGGCTCTCCTGACGGGGCCCATGGCCGGTCCAAGAAATCCGCGCTGACATCCGAAAGTTTATGTGTCGCCGCGCCGTTGGCTCCGGCGCGCGGCCTTCTGTCGTGGGGAGGGCGCCTCGGGCGCCGCGGACTCGCTTTGGGGTTTGCCACGTGGCGGCCTCGCCTACTTGGGGGGCGGGGCGCGGGGTTTGCCGTGGGTTTGCCGTGGCGTCGGCGTCGTCCACCTGGGCGCGTCGAGAGCACACTTTGGCGCTGCGACGTGTGTGTGTGTGTGTGTGTGTGTGTGTGTACGTGCGTGCGTGCGTGCGTTCGTGCGTGTGTGTGTGTGTGTGTGTGTGTGCGTGTGTGTGTGTGTGTGTGTGCGTGTGTGTGTGTGTGTGTGTGTGCGTGTGTGCGTGCGTGTGCGTGTGTGCGTGCGTGCGTGTGTGTGTGTGTGTGTGTGTGTGTGTGTGTGTGACGTGAAGGTGTTGTCTTCCCCTGCGCTCGCCGGGCGGCCGGTCCCCGGTTGCTCGGCGGCGGGGCAGCGCCCGGGGCGTCTCCGGCCCGCCCGCCGCACCTGCTCCTGCCCCTCCTCGCAGCGGCGCGCCGAGGGTGGTGAGGGAGTCCGTCGACACCGCGGGAGCTCAGGCCCACCGCCACCTGCGCATCTCTCTCTCTCTCTTACTCGTCTTCTCTCTCTCTCTCTTTCTCTCCCTCTCTCCCTCTCTCTCTCTCTCCCTATCTCTCTACTTTCTTGTTGTCTCTCTCTCTCTCTTTCTCTCTTTTCGCTGGGCTTCTGGTTTAGCCTCGCGTTCATGTCAGCGCCGTCGACACGGTAGCCCGTTGTCCCGCACAAAACCTCTTGCGTTGATCGTCAGAGAAGACAAGATTCTTTTGGGGAGGGTGAAAGTAATTTGCCACGCCCCCCCAAGTGACGTCAACGCGAACGTGCCCAGGGTATAGGGGGGTCGGTAGCAAATCATGGGAGCCCTGTGTATTCTCGCATTTCCCTCTTCAGAGTGGATTGGCGTCGATTCGCGACCAGTAATCGATGAGATAGCGCCGTGATTGCGTCGATTACACCCACCAGGCATTTCAAGAACAAAGATCAACGTTCATGGGCTCTAGATTCCATTCTTTAAAGCAAGGATGTGGACTGGATCCCGGGCGTTTCCTTGGCGCCTCCTTTCTTGAATAACTGTCGTATATCTGGACCTGGGCTACTGTGTATGAAAACCCTTGGAGCGGAGTTCATTTTGTTAGCGACCTTTTTTAAAACTCTAAGCAGGGGGGTAGCGTCGATGAGCGCCGGCTCGCAAGAGCCAGCGAGATGGTATGGGAGGCTCCCACGAGCTGCCGCCGAAGGTCGAACGGGCCTAGAATCGAGACAAATCCGATACAGAGTGTTCCGGAGCGTTCCGGGACGCTCTGAGACGGCCGCGTCGCCCAGTACATCCTCCAAACCCGCCGACTCTCAGAGATTTCCGATTTGCATTGGCTTGATTTTGTCTCGATTCGGACGGGCGGGGCGGAGGAGGAGGAGGAGGAGGAGGAGGAGGAGGAGGAGGAGGAGGAGGAGGAGGAGGAGGAGGAGGAGGAGGAGCAGGGGGAGGAGAACATGCGGGGAGGAGGGAAGGAGGAGAAGGATTCTTCTTTCGTCCCAGTGGGCGGGCGGGGCGGAGCGGCCTTTGGGCGCCGCCCGGCCGGCCTCCCGTGGGCGAAGCCTTTTGGGGCACTCACGCCTTGCTGCAGCCGCCGCTCCTCGAGGCTCCTGCTGCGTTGCTGCTGCAGCTGCGTCGTCGTCGTCGTCGTCGTCGTCGTCGTCGTCGTCGTCGTCGTCGTCGTCGTCGTCGTCGTCGAACTCGGGGTCGGAGTCGGAGTCGTCGGGGTCGTCGAGGTCGAGGTCGATCCTCGAGGCTCCTGCTGCGTTGCTGCTGCAGCTGCGTCGTCGTCGTCGTCGTCGTCGTCGTCGTCGTCGAACTCGGGGTCGGAGTCGGAGTCGTCGGGGTCGTCGAGGTCGAGGTCGAGGTCGAGGTCGAGTTCCTTTCTCTCGTTCTCTCCTCACCGCCACGGCCGATCCCCCTGGTCTCATCGTTCGACATTCGGGTCTCGAATTTGGACACGGAGGAAGGAGGAGGAGGAGGAGGCGGAGGAGGAGGAGGAGGAGGAGGAGGAGGAGGCGAAGGAGGCGAAGGAGCACGGGCGCTGTGCGGCGGACAGATGTGGTGTACAGCTGGAGGCTTCATCTTGGTGTCCGCTCCTCGCATCGTTCGAAGAAGGCGCAACGACATAAGCATAAGCCTTCGGAGCTCCGCGCGGATTTCGGGGATCTGCGCTGGAACCCTGGCGGCGCATCTGGCGCCGCCTGGCGCGCTCCGCGAACCAGGGAGGGAGTCCAGCGTCGTTCCAGGGACTCCGCGCGGACCTCCGAAAGCTGATGTCAAAGCAGTGTCTTTTTCGTTCTCGCTCTCATCGGCGGCGAGCCCGGGGGTGAAGTGACAAGGAGAAGGCCTTCTCAGAAGGCTCGGAAGTCCCACGGCCTTCCCAGAAGTTCTCGGGGCCTCCCCCGAAGACGCAGCACGCTCCTCGGCAGGCGCGACGGCTTCTGAGAAGCACCGCCGCCCTCTGAAGAGGTCCTCTCCCTCCCCCTCTCCCCCCCCCCCCACCTCGGTTGCACGGCGCTGCAACTCCTCCTCTCTCGTTTAAGATTCCTCTCTTCCCCTCCCGCAGCGCCAATACCTCTCTCCCGACAGTTTTCGGGACGAGAGCGGAAGCAGCTCAGCGTCCATGCTCTCGGGCTTCTCGTGTGCAGCCTGTGCCAGTCCTGTTGGCCGCTGCGCCCAAGCTACCTGCAACGAGCTTAGTACAGTCAAAAGCCCCCCACCTCGCTCGCCGCCGATCTCGTCGTGACGCCCGGCCTCCTCCGGCCGGGCGGCCTCCGCGAAGCCAATTTCGGCTGGACCTCGGGCCGCGCCGCCCGGGCAGCGCCGCCCCTCCTGCCGCCGGCCCCCCGCGACAGCGAGCCGCGCGCCTGCGCGCAGGGGCCCATGGCCCGCCTGCCCCTCTCGAGGGGCAAGTACGGCGTGGGCGTCTCGTGGGACCGCGGGCCGCACGGCATCGATATAGACCTCCAGGCCGTCATCGTGAACACGAGGGGCTCCATCATCGACGCCGTGTACTATCCGGGAGGCCGGCGCACTCGCGCCGACGCCCCGAGCGAGGGGACTCGTGGAGATGTCCTGGGGTGGCCCAGGGCCTCCTTGGAGAGCAGGGTGAGGAGGGAGGATGAGGATGAGGAGATGAGATGATGAGGATAGGACGAGGACGAGGACGAGGACGAGGAGGAGGAGGAGGAGGAGGAGGGCGAGGAGGAGGAGGAGGAGGAGGAGGGGGGCGAGGAGGAGGAGGAGGAGGAGGTGGAGGAGGAAGGCGAGATGAGGGTGATGAGGAGGAGGGTGAGGGAGCGCCGAGATCAAAAGAAGGAGGATGTTGTCAGTGACGATAGAGGAAACACAATGGGGGGAGGAGGACCATGAGACGGAGTGAAATACGTGCGGGGCACAAGCGACATGAGCCTCGAATCGTCTAGCAGTCTGCAATGCCTTGTTATCTTGACCTGGCCGACTGTGCGATCATGCATCAGATTTCAGTCGGTTCGCGCACTTTGCCAGCCCGACATGCTGAGTCGTGCAAATGCCCAACTCATTGCAGCTTCGTTTGCGTCTTGTAGGTGATGCGAACGCATCGCGAAGCGTAATGATCCAACCTTCAGTTACGCAACAATGGAGTTTTTGCCAAACCTTCGCGGCGAGGGAGCAGAAAAGAGCGGCGCATCCCTGGTAAGTAGGGTCGGCGGACAACAACCTGAAGGCCCTGAGGTCGATCACCCACTCCGGGGACGAACAGACGGGCGAGAAGGCGGGGCTAGACGAGGTTATTTGGGTCAACTTGGCAAGCTTGGCCAGGCTGAGCGAGGAGCGGGGGCTAATTTCTGAGCGACATCCCACGGTCCTACGGTAGGTTTGCTCCGCGTTGACGCGGCGGCGACCCCAGCGTGGGCGTTCAAGGTGAAACGCCGCCAGTGTCCCAGAATCGGCCGATGTCGAGCGATCTGCCCTATCGGAGGGCCGCGATCGTTCAAGGCTGAGCGATCCACGTGGCGTCAGAAACCACCTCCCGCGACATCGCGTCGCGAACCAGCCGTACCAGACCGAGTAACATCCACGCCGTATCATGATGGCTTTGAGGCGGCAGCAACGCTAGCAGTTGACCGACGATTTCTCTGGACACACAGGATGCGTGCTTTCTTGCTTTGACTACGAGGACGAGGAGGTGATGAAAAAGTAGGAAGGCCTAGTGCCTCCTCAGATCGCTTCAGAACCCTCCCAAACCTTGAAGCCTCCAGCAAAACTCCAGCATGAAGAGGGAGGGTGCCCAAAGTGGGTTTGGCATTTCGCCTTCCGAGCTCTCATGCCAGACGGTGTGGTCTCCGAGCGCTCTGGATCTATCCCCAGAGCCGCCGACGCGCAGCGTAGACTGGCGAACACCCTGAAACCACTCCTCTTCCGCCTCCGCCTCCTCCTCAACGTCGACCCCCTCTTAACTCCGCGGCCAGCTTGTGTGCACCGTACAGTCGGCCCGGATGAGCAGGTCGACCCTGCCAGCTCAAGGGTACCCTTGTGTCCTGTGCCTCGCGACACGTGCCTTCTTACACTCCTATGACGATGTGGCCCTCGGAAGGGTAGTGTGTCCTCTCGCGTGTCTTGCCCAATCGTGGGACAAAAACACCAAAACACACACACAAACACACTGTGGGAAAACACACACACACAAAGATGTGTGTTTTTTTCCATTCGATGTGTGTTTTTTTCATAATTTTTTCTTTTTCCCCCCCACAGTTTTTTTTTTGTTTGTTTTTTGTTTTTTTTGGTTTGTGTGTGTGTGTGCGTGTATGTGTGTGTGTGTTTTTCCCACTGGCCGACTGTACCGCGTTGACGTTTTCCGAGATGTCGCCGATCCTCGACCCTGGAGCGGTGCGGTGTGCAGTTCTGCGGCCCTCAGGGCCGAGAACCATGCACACCGTGCCGCATGTGGCACGGGAGTGCTTCCGGCGATCGCCCGAGGAGGAGAAGCAGGTCAAGCTCGTCATCTTCGTCGTTGCCGCGTACAGCGGCGGGAGCTTGCGGGACGCGCCCAACCTGTCCATGCACATTCTGGAGGAGCCCTTTCCTCGTTCCTCTGCCTCTGCTGCTCTTCCTGCTTCTCCCCTTGGCCCTTGCGTACTTCTTCTTCCCGTCCTCGTCCTTCTCCTTCTGACCTTGCCTGCTGCTCCTCCTCCTGCCGCCAAGTACGCGACCGCCCACGCGAACAGGGTTACGGCAGGTTCGTGTCGTGTGGACGCGGTGGCGACCCCGCCGCGGGCGTTCAAGGTTGAACGCCGCCAGCGTCCTAGAATCGGCCAATATGGAACGATCTGGCGACTGGAAAGCCGCGAATCGTTCAAGGCTGAGCGATCCGCGCGGTGTCAGAAACCAGCGCTGTGGTCGTCACGCCACGAACCTGCCGAATGCCCAATCCCAAACAGAACGAACGACGCTGCGCGAAATCCACGCCGCTGCGCATACGCAGGACTCCTGGGCTGGCCGGGGCGCTGCGTGGCACCGGGTCCGCTGCGCACTGAGCTATGCTGCCACCTGCCTTCTGCTCATTGGTGCCCTCTTCTTTGTGCGCACGCGCCCTGCCCGTCGTCGCCGTCCTCTCTCCTCCTCTTCTTCTTCCTCCTCCTCCTCCTCCTCCTTTTGGGGACGTTCGCTCCTCCTCCTCCTCCTCCTCCTCCTCCTCCTTGTTCGTTGGCCAAACTTTGAGCGAACTTTGAGCGAGCTCGTAGCTTCGTTCCTCCTCCTCCTCCCCCGCCACCTCCTCATTATCTATCGTCCTCTTCCTTCTCATCCTCCTCCTCTCCCTCCTTGCCTTCTTTTTTTCCCGTCCCTTTCGTCGTGCTCCGACGAAGGCCGTCTTCCGCCACATCCCACCTGCCGCTCTCCCTGCCTCGACGAGGAGGAGGAGGAGGAGGAGGAGGAGGAGGAGGAGGAGGAGGAGGAGGAGGAGGAGGAGGAGAGGAGGAGGAGGAGGAGGAGGAGGAGGAGGAGGAGGAGGAGGAGGAGGAGGAGGAGGAGGAGGAGGAGGAGGAGGAGGAGGAGGAGGAGGACGAGGAGGAGGAGGAGGAGGGGGAGAAGGAGGAGGAGGAGGAGGAGGAGAGGAGGAGGAGGAGGAGGTGGAGGAGGAGGAGGAGGAGGAGGGCACCACGCTGCAGCGGGACCACGATTCCAAAACACCGAAAGCAATCGGATTGCGCACGAGCCACAAGGAATAACACTATGGTCCAGTGCTGGGTCTAAGCGCACTGCGCGGAGAGTGCGGGACATGTTCCGGACAGCGTCAGGGTAGAGAGTAACATCGTATTCATAACGCGTAATTGTACGGGGCGGTTTTCTGGTGGGGTGGAGGAGTTTTTCGCGGGCCCCAGTGAGTTTCGAGGGGATCCATGGGGTTCTCGGGACGTCTAGACAGGAAGGCGATGAAGATGAGGAAGAAAAGGAGGATGAGGAGATCTCTTCCCTCTCCTCTTGCCTTCTCCTGCCTGCACTGTGCCGCGGCGCGGCGCGAGAAAACCAACCAGAGGAGCGGAAGGAGAACGAGGTGTCCAGGCCTCCTGGAACGCCGACGCCGCCCCTGCTCCGACGGTGGCCGAGCCCATGCAGGGCCAAGGATCGGTGCGCAGGACGGCCGACGCCACGACGGCGGACCCCCCGATCCTCAGCCCCGCATTGGCCCGGCCAGGGTCGGTGCAGGCGTGCCGGCGACGTCCTCGTGAGGTCTGCTCTCTCGTCGTCTGACCACGCAGCAGCGCCCGTGGCCATGCTGGTGCGCGGCGACCGGGGCGAGTGGGCGCTGGAGCTCGTCAGCGCGCCCGCGTCGCCGCAGGGCGGGCGGCATTTCGTCGACATCCTCGGCCGGCTGAGGGCCAGGGAGTGGTCTGGCAGGTGGGTCCAAGGCTGGTCGTGTCAGTCTTGAGGGCGTCGCAGGTGGGAGCCCCATTCTGAAAAGGACTTGCCTTCCGTCCGTGTGGTGCGCTGGGCGCTTCAGCGCGGGTGTGCGCGGCGCCCTGGGGGGAGCCCCATTCTGGAAGCGCTTCGCCCTCCATCCGTGTAGCCGCTTGGAGCTTGCAGGACGAGTTTGCACGGCGCCAAGGGGGGAGCCCCATTCTGGAAACGATTCGCCCTCCATCGGTGCGCTTTTTTTTGTTTGTTTGTTTTTCGGACGCTTGTGCGCGGCGCAGGGGCGAGAGCTCCATTTTGAAACCGGCCCGCTCTCCATCTGTATAACTGTTGAATTTCTAGAGGTTCAAATTCGTTCGCTGCGAGGAAGCTGGAGGAAGTCTGAGAAAGTCGAGGGCATAATGCTCGGCCCGCCTTGGCCACACGTTTAGTTTTGCGAGAGGGAGGAGTTGTTTAGAAGGAGAGGGGATGGAGCAGGAGGAGGAGGATGAGGAGGAGGAGGAGGAGGAGGAGGAGGAGGAGGAGGAGGAGGAGGAGGACGAGGACGAGGACGAGGGAGGAGGAAGGAGGAGGGAAAAGGACAGAGGGAGGCAGGGAGGAGGCAGGGAGGGAGGGATGGAGGGATGAGGCAGGGAGGGAGGACGCGGGGAGGGAGGAAGGGAGGAGGGAGGGAGGAGCATGGAGGAGTCACGAGGGAGGCAGGGATTACCCTAAATGGCGTCGCGGGCGCGGAGTTATGAGGGAGGGAGCCCAGATCTCCGACGTCGTATTCTTGTCGCTACGTGGACCCCCTGAGTTCTGGACGACGAAACGGCGAGAACCACCTTTGGGGGGGGGGGTAAGGAGAACGACGAAACGGCGAGGACGATCCCTCCTCATCTTCCTCCTCCTCCTCCTTCTCCCCAGAACTCCGACGTCGTGATTTTGTCACAACGTCGGGCTCAGAGGTATGATCCCATTCCCCGGGACCGGATCATTATCCTGAGTTGTTTTTGACGGTCCCAGGGTACGGTGAGGGCTCCCAGAAGTCGAAGATTGCCCCCCCCCCCCCCCCCCCAACCTCCCGCCGTGATTGAGAGGAGGTGGTCCTCCTCCTCCTCTTCCTCCTCCATCGTCATCTCTTTCTCCTCCTCCTCCTCCTCCTCCTTTTTTTCTTGGCCAAGCCGTGGGTGCACTCCGCCTGCGGCGTCAAACTCTCCCTCCTCCTCCGCCTCCTCCTCCTCCTTCTCCTCCTCCTCCTTCTGCTCCTCCTCCTTCTTCTCCTCCTCAGACTCCTCCTCCTCCTCCTCCTCCTCTCCTCCTCTCCTCCTCCTCCTCCTCCTCCCATGGAGGGTCGACCCCCCCCCCCCGGGGGTTGCTCCGTGGCCCTCGGCCAGCCAGCCGTCCTGGAGCCCTCGCTCGGCAGCCTCATCCGCGCCAACATCCCGGGCGCCCCGGCGCGGCAGAAGGCCTTGCGCTGGAGGATGAAAAGAGGAGGAGGAGGAGGAGGAGGAGGAGGAGGAGGAGGAGGAGGAGGAGGAGGAGGAGGAGGAGGAGGAGGAGGAGGAGGAGGTCAGCTACGAGCCAGGAGGAGGAGGAGGAGGAGGAGGAGGAGGGGGAGAAGGAGGAGGACGAGGAGTAGGAGTAGGAGTAGGAGAAGGAGGACGGGGAGGAGGAGGAGGAGAAGGATGACGGGGAGGAGGAGGAGACGGAGTAGGAGGATGAGGAGGATATTATATGATTTACATGAGATGATCTGATATGAGATGAAATAAAAAGAGACCATTTGCGAAACGAGTCTTTATATGTAATGACCGCGAGCCGCCTTCTCAGCCTTGCTGAGATCCTCTGGCCATAGTCCACGATAGCTGCGGTCGGGATAATCTCTCCGCGTCTTGGTGAGAGGTCTGGGTTGATCATCCTTGGTACAGCAGACTCCTGCCATGCCGCTGAGCTGAAGCTGGCTATAGCCCCCTCGCCATCCACAAAACCAGAGAGACAGACCTTCATGGTAAACCATATTGTGGGAAGTATGAATTTCCCCCCAGCAAGGCACAAAGTCCGACCCCGAGGCGGCCTGAACGAACTCACAGAAATCTTCTCAAGCTCAAGACATTCAGACGTCAACCATTTACTTTGCCAGCTTCTGTAGTAGAGCCACGACATCTAGAACAATGTTTACCACATTCCATGCGAACGTGGCTCGAGTTAAAAACAGCCACAGCCGCAGGAGGCGGGGGAGTAGCAACGACAACAACAGCAGGGCGCCGAGCTTTTTCCCCTCACCCTTGATGGACCCGAGCGTAGCGCGAATAATCTTTCACGAATAAGCCGTCTGCAAACGCCTGGCACGTTCAGACGGATTGACAGCCAAGAGCTTGGCGGCCACCCCAGCTAGCGAGTCAACAAACACATTCCCAGCAACTAAGTGACTCGGAAATTCTGACTACGGGCTTGGACGGCATTGATGTGGGAAGAGACTTGAGCACTGCGATGTCACCAGGGTGACGATCCGTCGCCTGAATGACAGCTCCAACTCTCCTCCACAAGTCAGCACTGGGGCCTCGCGCTTCATAGAGCTGGGCACACAAGCCCTTGCACACTCCTTCATTCTCAGTAACAAAGGCCACGGGGCCTCTGGATCATTCCAATGCACAAAGCAAGCGGTACAACTCACCGCTAGGAGCAGACTGGCGCCGCCCAGGCAGCGGGCCGTACAAGTATCTGGGCCCCGTCCGAAGATCAGGCCTGGCAGCGCAACGCGCCTGAGCCCAGGGTCCTGGGAATCCTGGTCCCCCGAGGCGCCCCCAAGAAGTAGCCAGGGGGCCTTTTGGGAACCAGGGCTTACATGCCTATCTTGAAGATCGTCGGTCTCGTGGCTGCGAATCGAAAGAGCCTCTGAAACAGGTGGGCTGGCAGTAACCAGATCCTTCGGGAGCAGGCCTCGCAGCCAATCGCATTCGAGGCTGTCCGCTTGGGCGATAGTCCGAGGTACTAAGTTATCTGAGGTGGCAATGGCAGGAGAGCTGTTGCTCGACGCATCTGCACTCGATGTAGCATAGTCTCTGGCTCATCCATGCAGCGTGGACACAGTGGTCGGGTGTCGCTGTGCACCTCGTGCTTCCCGGCTGCTGGCCACGCTCCGCCCATTGATATATTTGGGAGCGGCTTGGACAACTGTCTCCCGTGATCTGGTACCTGCTCCAACTGGAACGCATATTTCCTGAGAGAGCATCATCCGCGCCGTTATGCATACCACCCCCCGCAGTGGCCCCGAGCCGCGTCACGCCACATGCGCAGGTGCAACGCGTCGGTGGAATGGTCGATGAGATCTGTGGCCTGATCTGTGGCAATGAACTCCTCGCTGCTGAAGTTTCAGCCCTCGACCTCCGCGCCGAAGCCTGCAGGTGGATGCCGCTCCACAGATGAAGGTATGTGCCAGCCAGAGCCCACCACAAAGCGAAGAATAGCCGTGAGCGGTCCACGTGCGTGCTTGGCCCTGTGCTGGGCTTCCAGTTGCTCAAACTCCTGCACCGTAGGCCTCCGTATTATGTCAATGGGCGTTCTGAACCTAGGCGTGTCCAACCAGCACCTCAGCCATTGCTCGAGGCATTGGCGTGGCAGGGTTTGCGCTGGATCTGACCTGGGCGAACGTAAATCCAAGAGCGTGGTTAAGCAGCGGCCGTGGCGATGCCCTGCAACGCACCCTAGCCGTCGCCTCATGGAAGGAGCGCCGTATCTGGCAGACCGTAAACGTGATGGTTGTACCGAGCTCCTGCTTGAGGCCCCGCCATCTCGATCTTCTTTAAGACGCGAAGCCTCCTCGAAGCACGCGCGCATTTCCTCATGGCAAGATGCTGCCTCTTGGTCGTGCGCAACCATTCGGCGCGCGTGGCTCGATGCAGCCTGCGCCCGCTGCTGATATCTACGCCGAGGTAGAATATCTGCTTGGCTCAGTGTATCGTGACCCCCCGCTTCCTGAGGACTCGCACCGCAGCGCGTGCATCTCCCATGGGCGAACATGGCGCTGTCCTTTTGCTGGCCAGCTCCAACTGCACATCTTCCAGAATATCATGTGTGGCGGCGATGATCCCTTCAATCAAAGTCGCGCGTGCGTTGGCTCTCGGGCCTACAGCGGGCTGTGACGCATCATCGATCCACGTTGCCCCTGAAAGCGTCGGGCGCATGATCGCGGGCCCCTCCGTCGCCAGGTTGGTCGCGCAACGTGCGACGCGAGTGCCCGATCGCAGCCCTTGGATGATGCCCCCCCCCGGTGGCCTGGGGGGCTCTGGATGCAGCGCCGCCATGATCGAGCATCCATGGGCGCGCGCAACTCTGAAGCTCCAGCCCTGGCGTGGTAGCTGGGGGGGCATGCCGAAAAACGCCCTGTACAAGTGTGTCCCATTCCACCGTATCGTAGAAACTCTGAATAGCCACCAAAGCGTGCACGTTGGCCATCCTGGCCATGGTGTATAGCTCTTCGTCCAGCGCGAGCATGGAGGCTTCCCGCGGCGCGGAGTTGCCTCTCGCTGCAGCGCCCCATGGCGGTTGATTGATTTGGGCCCAACTCTGCGCGACAGGTTGACGCGCCACCGACCGCGCCCTACATATCATGCAGATGAGGCCAAACACGCGGAACTGCCCGAGAGCATTCTTCGGCAACAGTTCGCCGAGGACTCCCGTCAATTGCCGCAGCCATGTCTGGCTCGCTTCGAACATATAGAACAGTTCTGCCACCTCCTTGAGCGCGGGCCCAGAAAGTCGCTCGAGGTCCAGCGGGTGCAGGCGGTTCATGCCTTGCCCCGCTCTAGCTTTCATGGCCCGTAAGGCCTTCTGAATATCGTCGACGTCCAAAGGCTCGACCGGTTCTTCCTGCGCTCGTGCCTTGACGGCGCCGAAAATCCGCCGAATGTCACCGATGTTCTGCTGCTTTGCCGAGGCCCATAACATGCGCCACTTGGCGGCTCGACGGGATGGCCCGCCAACTGAATGGGTTGAAAGAGAATCTCGCCACTGCCTGGAACAATCTGGTCTTCCTCTTGAAACGATTCTTTCGTGGCGTTGAAAATCGCGCGACTGAGCTCCCGCTTGCCAATCCAGTCCTGAACTCAAACAAGGATGATGAGATGCCCCTGCTCCGAGCACTGCCTGCGATGCGCGCGAGCTCGGGGTAGTAGTTGTCCAGCTGCAGGTAGCCGATGGTGCGAATGTTGGCTAGCATCTCGAGTCGCGTAGCCCATGATGCGGCTGCGGGAGTGGCGCCGGCGCACTTCTGGGCGCCGTCAGGGTAGGTAGTGCGCGCTCAGCTTGGTAGCCGCATCTGCAAGGCCTTCCAGCTGGGCGCGACCATTGCTGCGACGAAGCCGTTTAGCTGCTTTGCTTGCAATGGCCTGCGCCCTCTCCCGCCGGTTGGCGATCGCGTCCTTGGACGGCACGTCGCGAGTGTGTTCGGACTGACGAGCGGCTTGAACTGCCATCCAAGGTCCAGTGGCCCTAGACGGCCTGCCAGAGCCGTGCCCATCCCAACCGCCATGGCGCTCGAAATGAATGGCCTCGACCGCTGTGATCGAAGCTGCGAGAGCCCCGCTCGCGGGGGGGGTCGCGGGGGCCTGCCGCGCGATGCGCAATCGGCTGTCGGATGGTTTCCCAAACAAGGCCGCGTGCGTGCACGTGGGGGCCAGAATCAGCTCGAGCCGAAACCCAACGAACAGGGTCGGGTTCGAAGGCGGGAGCAGCAGCAGACACAGGAGACGGGGCGCTTGGAGGAGACCCCGCGGCGGGAGAGGGGTGGTCGTCTGCCGGGGGGGCCTCGGTCGAGACGCGTCGGGCCTCGCTGGGGGGGGGGGGGCGCTCGACTTGATCATTCGTGGCTGCCGTAGAGCCAGAGCTAGATTCGCCATGCGAATTTATTGGGTCACTCACCCCGACGGAATCCTCGCGGGGGCAGGCCGAGGCCGAGGAGGGGTGTGCGTGGACGGGGGGGCTCTTGAAAGTTGGGCTCGCCAGCCCATGGATCCACCTCTTCGCCCCAGCAACCTGCGCGACATCCTGCCAGGAGCTGAGGGGCGTCTTGATCCTGGGGGCCCAGGGAGGGGGAATCTGAAGCCGAATTGTCAGACAAGAGGTCCCCGAATTATGTCTGTGCCCGCTCGAATTGTTTCTCGCGCGCGATTCCTTGGCGAGTGACGAGCTCGCGCCTAGCCGCAGAAGACATGCATCCTTCGGTGGCCTGAGCGCGAGGCACCCTGGACAGCATGCAGCCCGGGAATGCACGGACGGGCCGGCGCCGGGGCGAGAGCGAAGTCAATGTGCGAGGGCCCCGTGGAGCCCGTGCAAGTGAAATCTACAGGGGCCTTGGCGACCGTGACGCCTAGCCTGCCACAGAAAACCCACGCGCTGAAGCTCAGCGGGGGGAATCTTGAAATGTCCGAAGACAGTCCAGGGCAACTGCAAGGCCTGCAGGAGGGAA